GCATAAATGACGGAGGATACCGGTGAGTATCTGTAGATTATGTGCATCAGCCAGAGCTCCTCATTGAGTGGAATGTAATGGGATTGACATACCATGACCACTGAAATGGGTACCAGGATCCAGTAACTGCGCAAAAATCAGCATCGTTAGCACGCTAAAAACATTAGGAAGACGTACAAGAGAGCTGGATCCCGCAGGATTGTCTGATCCAGGCCTTGAGCGGCCATGATAACTGCCTATAAGCTTGTCCCTGGGAAGTGTCTGCTTGAAAGGCGCATCAAGTTCGACTTCTCGATAAGCTCGACGATCCTCGACGGCCCGGGCCAAACATGCATCACGTGACAGATTATCGCCAAAGCTGATGATGCCAGTTTGCTCTTCTAGATGGACAAAACACTTCACACCGCGGCGGACATTTCGTTCGCTTTGGCCAGTGCTGACGGAGTGTTATACTTATGCGATTTTCTATAGTACTCTACTACTTTTTCAGTGTTTCAATAACTTTTTTGTGCTGAACTTTGAATTGAACACGGCAGCTCTATCTTGTGTCTGCTAGACATTCGACCTCGACCAATACACAGCTTGATTTCTGATATCCCCGAGAGAGAATCAGGTCCCTGCATAGCTTTTTCTAAAGTGCCTACTGCTAATTGCGAAATATTCTCAAAATGCCGCTCAATTCTCCAGTACCGGTTCCTGTGTATGCTTCGTCTGGTACGTCCCTGATTCTCGGATCGAACCCAGCTTTCAAAATACTATACCATTGGATCTTAAAGACCAGTCCGCTAATAACTAATTAGAACTCAAGAATACCTCCGACGATGCTATCACAACATACCTCACTCTCGGTCTCCCTAAACCTAACAGATTTGTCGCAAGCCACACCAAAACAGATATCCGTCTTATCATTGGCTATTGCGCAGTCACAATTGCTGGAGCCTCTTTCTACCTTGACTATACGAAAGGTTGGGAGTTTACGGCGCCATGGATGATATATGCCGTAATAGCATATTTCATACTAAACACCGTATACACCGGATGGGTATGGCTGGTCGAGAACAGGCAGGTGTTCGAAGGCACCTCGCCTAAGGGAGAAACGGTATAGTCTCCTGTATTCCCTTCATTATATATATGTCTAACATAGTTCTATGACAGCTTCAAATACTGTCTCTGTCGAAGAAGTTATCTTCGACATACAAGCTTCATTTCCGACATACTTCTGCTTCAGGAAAAGTGGTACAGGAAAATACAATCGAGGCTCCTTTTTCCAAGTGGTTTTCAGCAGACGGCACCCTACACTTTGAACCATTTTCAGAGTGGCTCAAGAACGAGATAAAGCTTGTACAGACATCTTCGTTGGAAGGTTCCTCTAAATAACGTCGGAGTGCGAGGCGTAAGTTTGAATCGGAATTCAAGAAACAAGCAAGAACTGGAATAAGTTGGTTTAATGTATAGGCAGTGACTTTAAAAAACAATGATACCTTTCTTTATCATTCATGTTATGGATACCTCTGTCTGACTATACCTAGTCCTTTCCAGGAGCAGAATATATTTGGAATCATTTACGAAGTCGAGCAGAATGATACCCCGTATGTCTTGATTTCAATACTCCAAGTTCTTAGACTTGCTTAAGACAACTTGATTTATGAATACAGAAATAAATAATACATTTTGAAATGGGTTTGGTCTATATCTTTTCAACCTACAGTCTCATACCTTAAACAGCCAGCTTACTTTCAGCTTGACGAGTTCGTAGTGCCTTCGAGAGTACCAGGCTTCTCAACAGCGTCTGCTGGATGGCCACCTTCTGGTTTGCGGTTCTGAGCCAGTCTCTGCACACATTTATATTGATTAGAAATAATACCCAGGCAAAATAGGAGACTTGAGCAAGGTATAACTCACCAGTAGGTTTCGCAGAAGAACCACAATAGTGACTTTTCCAATTGCCGGAACATATATCGATGCCTTCTCCTTAACAGCTGGAGTGAAATTCTACATTATACCCACGCATCAGCAACCAATGATCATGTCCACGCATCAGGAGAAGGGTAACATACCTTCTCACTGGAGAAATTTATACAAACGGCGCCGGGTCTTAGCAAACTCTCGTCAAACTTGAATGCTTCTCCCGGAACACCAGAAACAACCACATCACAATGCGGCACAGCATCCTTCAACGTCCACCCATCCATATCCTCAACCTCATGTCTGCGCTTCTTGAGCCCTTCTCCGCGAGTAAACTTCTGTACACCAGTGATATCAACACTATACACCAGGGCACCATCATTCGCCAGCAACGCGGCAAGCGGTCTCCCTACAACCTCAGACCGATTAATTACACAAATCGTATGGCCGAACAGCCTGTTCCCGTACGGTAGTATAGTGTTGTATATCTGCAGGTATTCGAGGATTTTGATAACCGCAAGCGGCGTGCATGGTAATATGGACTTTTGCTGCTGAGCGCTATCCAGGAAGCGTATGTTCTGGTACATGTTGAAGATGTATCTGTGGCTCAGGCCCTCGACGTCTTTACTTATGTCGACGATTTGCTGCAGGTATTGGTCTTGCCGGTTGTTGAAGATAGGGTAGTATACCATTATACCGTCTACATCGTCGTCGGAGTTTGCGGCAATGATAGCGTCCTCGATTTCATCTTTGCTTACTTCTCGACAGGTATAGCGGAATCCACTGGTGATTTCCGACTTGTTAGCTTTTTTTGATGCGTCGTAGATGTTAGATGTATGCGACTGGGTCTAGATATGCGCACGCGAGCAACGCAGGGTGCGGTCATACCGGAAGATATCAGATAGACAACAACAGAGACACTTACTTCTCTTTACATGTCTTCTCCGTCCAATTCGCATACATCCGCGCCGCAGGGTCAGTATTTGCAAGGAATCCAACGAGGTGGGGTGGTTTATCCAGTGCTTTTCGCCCCTCTGTGACTTCGGCCAGCAGCCCGCGGGCAACAGAGGCAGCTAGGACGACTTTGCATGATGCCGGGCCGCTTTCAGGTTCCGCAGCCATGATGAATAGATATAATTATGAGAATATGCAGGTTGAAATGGATTTGTTTGCTTATCATGAGTAAAAAAGTTGGCCTGAAGAAAAAAGTGGCGGAAGTATTTTTTTTAATTGAGTTTTTTTTTCTCTTTAATTTATACTTAGCGACTTGCATAGTAAAATGACGATGACTCTTATATGCCCTGTGAGATAAATATAGATTTAGTAGATATTATTGGACGGGGGTGGTATGTTTATTTATCGGTAGAGGGAGAATGGTCCTCTTTGCCGCGATAGCCATGAGCGACATCAATCAATCCCGGTGTATATATCATTGACATTTGATAGTACAAGCAGGCTTGGGAGAAAATGTACAGGAAAGACAAAAGGAAATACAGGATAACAGGGAAACCAAATGAACAGCGGCAAAATTACAAATGGAATTTCTGACTAGAGCGGGATAAGTGTTTTCTGATCTCGAGATTTTACACAAGCTATCTTTCTATACATAGAGTCAGGGAAAACGGAAAGGGAATCTGAGGGGTGACCAAATGCCATATGCATGCCCACACACATCATATCGCACACATGGACGGTTTGTTTGTCTTGTTGTACAGGTTAACTCTAAGAGAAGCTCTTGTTGAAGGCGACAATGCAGTCACGGATCTGGGCCTCGAGGTCCTTGCTGATCTGGCCCTCCTTGTCGATCTTGGCGAGAATCTCGGGTTCGTTGGAGCGGAGGTGGGCGAGGAAGTCAGCCTCCCAGGCGAGGATCTTCTCGACAGGGATGTTGTCGAGGAGACCGTTGACACCAGCGAAGATGAGTGGAACCATCTCGTTGACGGCCATGGGTTGGTACTGCTTCTGCTTGAGAAGCTCGGTGAGACGGAGACCACGGTTGAGGGTCTGCTTGGTGGAGGCGTCGAGATCAGAACCGAACTGGGCGAAGGCAGCGACTTCACGGTACTGGGCCAAGAAGAGCTTGAGGGAACCAGCGACTTGCTTCATGGCCTTGAGCTGAGCAGCGGAACCGACACGGGAGACGGAAAGACCGACGTTAATGGCTGGTCGGATACCCTTGTAGAAAAGTTCGGACTCCAAGAAGATCTGGCCGTCAGTGATGGAAATGACGTTGGTTGGGATATAAGCGGACACATCACCACCCTGGGTCTCGATGACAGGAAGGGCAGTGAGAGAGCCACCCTTGTGGGTGTCGTTCAGCTTGGCAGCACGCTCGAGAAGACGAGAGTGGAGGTAGAAGACGCTATATTCAAGTTAGTTGTTGAACATTTATATATATCAAAAGAATTTAAGGAATTGACGTACTCTCCGGGGTAAGCCTCACGACCTGGGGGACGACGAAGCAAAAGGGACATCTGACGGTAGGCAACGGCCTGCTTGGAGAGATCGTCGTAGATGATGAGAGCGTGGCGGCCGTTGTCACGGAACCACTCACCCATGGCACAACCGGTGAAAGGAGCAATGTACTGCAGAGGAGCGGCCTCAGAGGCAGTAGCAGCAACGACAATGGAGTACTTCATGGCGTCGTTCTCCTCAAGGGTCTTGACGAGCTGAGCGACGGTGGATCGCTTCTGGCCAACGGCAACGTAGACACAGTAGAGCTTCTTGGTCTCGTCGTTGGAGGAGTTCCATCGCTTCTGGTTGAGCATGGTGTCAAGAGCGACGGCAGTCTTTCCAGTCTGACGATCACCAATGATCAACTCACGCTGGCCACGACCAATTGGCACCATGGAGTCGACACACTTCATACCAGTCTGGACGGGCTGGTTGACGGACTTTCGGGGCAAGATACCAGGGGCCTTGACCTGGGCACGGCGCTTCTCAGCAGACTTGATGGGGCCCTTTCCATCAATTGGGTTACCAAGGGCATCAACAACACGGCCCAAAAGCTCAGGACCAACTGGGACATCAACCTGGTAAATATATTAGTATTATGGAGTGTGCCGTAGGACGATGAGTGGCGAATATCAAAACTTACAATCTCTCCGGTACGCTTGACGGTCTCACCCTCCTTGACGAGACGGTCGGAACCGAAAAGCACGACACCGACCTGTCCAGCTTCCAAGTTCATGCACATTCCCTTGACACCAGAAGCGAACCTTTCAATTGCTGTTAGTCTGATGATGGAAAAAGGATATTGCTTATTGTTCGTATATCAGAGTGAGACTTACTCGACAAGCTCCTCGGCCTGGACGTTGTGCATACCATGGACACGGGCGATACCATCGCTATCAACCAGCAAGTCAGCATCATCATCATCGAGCAGTATCAACCAAGGACGCAGGTGTCCATCCAATGAGCCGGTTTAATGGCCTGGGGACAGCAGTCCGACTTACCCGACGGAAAGGACACGACCAGTCTCGGCGAGACCAGCCTCCTCCTGGACACCACGAATTCTCTGCTCGAGGATGGAGGAGACCTCAGTGGGAGCTGGCTTGGCCTCAGCGGCGTAGGATCTGACTTGCTTGGACACAGCGGCCAAGGGGCTGGGAGTACCGGCTCGGACCTGCAGGCAGAGCAACCTCTCGGGTCAGCAACAAACAACACCTAACGTCAATTTGGCAAACAGCCGAGCAAAACAAGCTGCCAACGCCATCGAAAAGCCGACGAGGCCATCGAACCCATCGCCCCGGCGAGCTCAATGGCTCTTATCCGTGCGATTGAGGATGGAATTGGGCGTTGTCCGGGCGAGGGCGGCTGCAGAGGGTGACGGCCTGACGTTGGGAGAAGGGGAAAACTCTTACAGCGGAGACTCTGCCAGAGACAGAGACGGCCGTCACGGAGCGGCTCGACTGCCGTAGAGCACTTCTGAACATTGTGGACGGGGAGACGAAGGAGTAGAGATGGGGAAGACGTGCGAGAGGGCGCGCAATGGCTGAAGCGGTTGAGGCAGAAGAAGGAGAAGCGGAAGAAAAGAGAGAGAGAGAGGAAGAGAAGTTGAGGTTGAAGTTTGTGGACGGCGAAGAAAAGAACAAGCTTGGAGGTTTCTGAAGCGGCGCTAGGCCGCATGCGGGCGTGCCGAGACCGCGAAATACGCAGACCGTACGGGCCGCTCAGGGCGATATCAAGCAGAAGACGGCTGTATTTTTGGATTCTGCAGATGTATTCGATGAGAACTATACTGATAGATACTGGCGGCAGCAGAGTTGAAGCCGTAGATGTCGTTGAGCCAGACTGTGACTGCGATGTTGCGGCGGGAAGAACCGGAAGTGCGAGCTGACAATACGGTATTGGCGTGTATTATGGGATATAAAAACTAAAATCTACAGCTTTGATATAGAGTCGAACGACAGACAAGCAGGCAGCACAACAGCAAAGACGGATATGAATAGGCGAGGTGAATCTCTCTTCCTGCGATGATTTCTACTTGGCCTTGGTCTTCTCGGCCTTCTGCTTGTTGAATTTGGCGACCTCCTTGGCTATGGCGGCGTCGAGGCGCGACTTCAGCTCGGGACGGTAGCCCAGGTAGAATAGCACCTCGAGCCAGACAAAGAAGGGCGCAAGGAAGAAGGCCTGCACCAGGTTGTCGAGCAGGGCCGGCGCTCGACCCTCGAACACGCCGTGGCCGACAAACTGCAGAATCCAGGCAACGCCTTGCACCGCCAGCGACCAGTACACGGCCGTTTGCCCGTAGGCGGCGAGAAGGTAGTTCGTGTACGCTGTTCCGCTCAGCAGCAGCGGTGTCAGCATGGCGCCGGCTACTGGTTCCATCAGCATGTACAGCATCAGGTAGACGAACGCTGCTATCGTTCCGCCATTAGGAGGCAGATGCTGGATGCTGATGGCCTCTGGCACAGAGAACAGCGGACCGGCGCTCCCCACCTGTGTATACACAGTGAGTATAGAGTATATATACACACACACCCATTATTATGTGGAATTATATTCAGTGTAAGGGAACCCACCAGTAGGAACATGCAGAGCATTATAATTGGCACGCAGGTGATATGGATCATAACATTCACCTTTATCAACCCGTTAGTTTTCTCTCCCTTTTTTTTTTTTTTCTTTCTCTCTGCTCAGAACACTCACTGGATGATGGTGGTATGCCCCATACTATAAACCCGTTAGCCATACCCCTATTGCTTGCTATCTCCTCTCTTATTTTCAGGGTTATCAATACATACGAAGAGGAACTGCTTCTCTAGGTCCAACATGGTTGCTTTTGTCCCTCGACCAGCGTTCAATCCGCTATCTCTCCGGCTATCGTGGATTGTTTTCTCCGAGTCGCGACTTACGGAAGAAGTCAAAAGGAGGTCGACGAGGGGCGAAGTCAAGACGTTGCAAGTTATCAAGAACTAAAAGAAAAGCCATATAACCGATTAGTTAGCATGTGAAGATAAGCGAGTTAGCACCACCACTGCCATCATAACCACTATAGTCTCGTCTCTTCCCACTCACCAACCGTAGCCAAGTCAATCACACCGCTTCATCGATCGTCTCTCCCACCGTCCGCTGGCTCTCGATGTTCATTCTTCTCGTCTCGCAGCAAAAAGCAGGAGCAGAAGAAAAGAAGACACGACGAAAAACCGCCCGAAAGGAAGAAAAAGAAACTTTGCACGGGGACAAGCTTCGATATCACGTGATGGGAGTTTTTGGTGTTTTTTGCAGCAGCGTCAAAGGAGTCGAAGCTGACGACGAGCACGATTATTCACACTCACAATTCACGTTTGAACCTGGACCTGGACTTCGGCTTCGGTTGTCGCCTGCATCGAGCGCGCTGTCCTTGCCAAAGTGGTTTTGCCTGGGCAGCTGTTTCCGCCTGACGTGCTGAAACTGGAGCTGGGGTAGAGCGTGTGCCAGGAGAGAAAGACATGAACTGATAGCCGTGGATTGACCGAGCAGCTAAAAGCGCTGCTTCAAGAGAGGGAAAAAAGAAGCTCTAAGAAGCGACTGAGGATTAGATACCGGAGTGGACGAGCCTCAATACCGCACGGGACGAACGCGCGCCGCGAGACTGCGCCCGGGGGCCGATATAAGGGAGGAGGAGGAAGAAAAGGAAAGCGAAGAAGCTCACGCGTTTAGACAGAGATGTTCTTCATACACTTCCTTGAGCATGTCCTGACGCTGCATCCGTCGTTCTTCGGGTCGCATGTGAAGGAGTACCTTAGCCAGAAGCTGCTGGACGATGTGGAAGGCATCTGTACGGGCGATTACTACATCGTCTGCGTGATGGACATGTACGATATCTCTGAGGGCAAAATCATACCCGGCAGCGGTCTGGCAGAGTACACCATCGTCTACCGTGCTATTGTCTGGAAGCCGTTCAAGGGAGAGACGGTAAGAGATCGAGACAAAAGCGCTTTATATTACTTGGAAATCTCCTTTCCGTGTCAAGCTAACTGCCGGTGGAGGTTGATGCTATCGTCACCTCTGTCAAGAACCAGGGCATCTTCGCCGAGGTCGGGCCGTTGACGGTCTTTGTCTCGAAACATGTATGCTACCACCGCTCTCTACGGGAGGAGTGTGGTACGGAATTTAGTAAAGCTGACTAGAAATAGTTGATTCCGCCGGAGATCAAGTGGGATCCAGATTCGACTCCTCCACAGTACACCGATAACGCAGACCAGGTCATCGAGACGGGAACAAACCTGCGAATAAAGTTGATTGGACTACGAAATGATGTGCGCAACATGTTTGCGATTGGAAGCATCAGAGAAGATTACCTTGGGTTTGTTTGCTCTCGCTATCACCGGCTTACAATGGCCTGTTGGCTGACGCATTTATCCTCTGCCAGGACTCTGTAATGAACCGAACACTTCCTTTTTATATCTTCACTACCCTTGCACGACTGGCCTGCTGGCTCCCGGCCCGACATAAACTATCCTAACTGCACAGCCACCACCTACATCTACATATTATGGATATGCTTCTCACCAATGCAGACCCTTAGACCTCTGCTCTCGAGCTACCACAGTTCGGCTATATGGAGAGACATAGGGCGCGAGGGACACCCCCCTGGTGAAAAAAAAAATCTCATCCGTACATCCATCCTGGTGTCGAGGACTTCTTACGCCTTTCTCTTCCTGTGTGTGACCATCAAAAAACACTTGTAAACTAGAAGCTCTACCAAACAAAACTTAATTAATTGAAATCAAACGCGTCGCAGCCAGCTCCCTTCCAAGGCGCATCCCCAAGCCAACGACGAGACTCTTGTCCTGCTTCCACCAGCTCTCTCCCTCGGGCCTTTTCTGGGGAACGGCCTATCTCTGAAACAACGGTGCCTGGAGTCTAAAATGGCCCGGCCTGCATCACTATCAAAATCGGGCCTATAGAAATTCACCCCCGGCAGCAAAAGAAACCAAGCAGAAGAACCTGAAACGTCGTAGTTTGCCGTGAACTGACGGGCATGAAGCTAGGCCAGGGGCTCTGCTGCATGGCGAATCCACTGCCAGCACTTCCGCTAATATCATTCCTGCTGTCAAAGTACGCTTGCGCCTGTGTTGTTGCGGGAAGAAGCCAGGTCTGCCTCTTGTTCCAGCCGGCCTTGTCTCTCTCTCTCTCTCTCTCTCCCTCCCTTTTTTTCTTCTTCCTGTCCTGCTCGACAGAGTCCCGTTTTAAACCAGCTTCCCCTGTAGCACGCTCTTTTTCTCTCCAACTCTCTGTTCTCTTCTCGCTGGCAAGAAGTTGTGGTTTGTTTACTTCGCTCCCCCGTGTATACAACAAACGCGCGCGGAGGTTACGCCTTTGGCCAACTTTTCTCCCTCGCTCCGTCTCGCCGGTGACAAGAAACCACAAACTACTTAAAGAGCTGCCTCAACCGCCTTTCGTTACTCTCTCTCTCTTTTTTTTTTTTTTATCGTATACAAGCTCTCGCTGCGTCTCATCGCTGCCGTCACGATGACCCTTCAGGCGATCTATGAGGGTTTCCTGGCCAGGCCAGAGCCGGAGTTGCTCGCGGAACAGGCCTCGCTGCACTACATCACCACCACGACCTCGCACGCTGGATCCCAGGACATCATCAAGCACCTGCAGGCCGTCCGCCGGACGCTGGATAAGAAGTCCCAGGTCACGCTCAGCGCCGTCGAGGGTGCCAACTCCCTCTGCCTCGAGGTCGAGACCACCTTGCTCTTCACCTGCGGCGGGGGACCTTATCTGCTGTCCCTCGACGATAACTTCGTCGTCGATCAGACTGTCACAATCCCAGTGGTGCGTTATATCTCAAAGTCTGAAGGATCTAAACCAAAAGAAGAAAAAAGACAATGCTGATAAACTTCGAATAGATCCATATCGTTCACTTTGATGGAGAGAACAAGATCGTACAGATCCGCCAGTACTGGGACCAGGCTTCGCTGTTGAGAAAGCTCAATGTCATTGGATCACGGAACAACTGGCCAATCTCTGATAGCGTGGAGCAGAAGCGTCTAATCAGCTCGTCCATCGCAGCTGCAGCCAAGTGTTCGAAGAAAACTGAGGCTGAGGCTGAACCCAAGAAGACGGAAGAGCGAGCACCCAAGAAGAAGGCCGCAAAGGAGCCGGAGACTCCCCTATCCTTTTTCGAAGCTCAGAGCGTCGAGGAGCCGGTGCCGGCTACCAAGTCTCGTACTTCCACTTTCTCTGCAAAGCCAGCTCCACGAGACTACAATGACCTGTTCCAGGGAGATGACGAACCCCTGGTGACTCCTCCTAGGTCGAGAGACCAGGTCCTGGGTACTCCCAAGACCCTCTCAAAGACGTATACCCATTTCGAGTTTGGTGAAGGAAAGCTGCCTGGCGACCAGCCCATAAGACCGTCCAAAAAGCCCAGCCACTTTGAATTCGGAGATGAGGTTGAGCCTCATGTGCTAGAGGAACAGAAGAAGGCCACCGAGAAGTCAAAGTCCAAGCATCCGGGCCACTTTGAGTTTGGAGAAGCCGAGGACTGTCCCATGCCCGTCCGTCCTCGATCATCCAAGCATCTTTCTCAATGGGACTTTGAAGACTTCGTCACTCCCGAAAAGCCCAAGAGAAGACCCGTCCGAGGTCAGGAGGTGCGTCACTTTGGCTGGAGCGACGATGAGGTGGAGAACGTCACTCCCAAGCCAAAGCCACGCATCGCCCATCCACGACGTGACGCTGAGACCCATTTCAAGCTCCAGGATGAGCAAACCCCCCTTCCAGCTGAGAAGGCCACTGCAGGTGCTGCGCATAACAGAGGCCTGAAGCTGTATGAACACAATTTGTACGATGAAGATGAGAAACGAGAAGAACCCCTGAATACCTCCAACGGTACCTCCAACGGTAACAGCAACAACTGCAACACTTATAGACGCAAAATCTTTGACCCCCAGTGGGAGATGAAGGACGAATTTGTGCATGAAAACGGCAACGCGGCCGAGGAAGAAGAGAACAAACCCGTCTCTCGAAGCCGTATGGGCGTTGTCAAGCTGATGGACTCCAGCTGGGACAAGTTCGACGAGAACAGCCCCCAGGAACAACAGCCCGTCGTCGACCGTCCCATCCGCGCCAACCCAGCTCGCCAGAGCGTCTATTCCAGAAACTGGGGCTTTGGAGACGAGGATTAAAATTCCCCCCTTTTCGCCTCTTTCGGCTGGTTTTCGGCAGGAATACATTCCCTTTTTTTCTTTCCGCTTAATATATTTACCGTATTCCACCCATATCTTAACCCTCCTTTATTCAACTTTCTTTATTGACTCTCTCTACCGAGATCTTTACGTTTTATGATCATTACCTCGCCCTTATTTTCTTTTTGTTAACTATCCCTTTTGCCCTTCGGCTACTAATTAGGGAGAATTCTTCTTTTTTGAAATCATTGCTTGGACTGCACTGAAACGACTACACGGGCGATGGCTACGAACTCCGACGAAATGATTCCCATCAGCGTCACTCTTTATTTCATTTCTGCTTTATTACATGTTATCTACTCTAGAGAAGTGTTTCGATATTGAAGTGCCATTAATTATTCGATATGCGCTGTGTACTCCCACTCGTGATTTGTTAACTAGTGAGTTAGCTTCCAGTTAGGAGGAAAGCTGCTTATCTCCGAGAGTCAGAAAAAAGAGCTCGGCGCAAAGTCAGCCATCGTCACCTTTTGCTTCTAATACACTATAATATTATCTACTTCGAGGCACCTTCCGGGGAAGGTTCTTCCTCTCTGCTTCGTCTGTCCTGTCTCTCTATCTTGTCTCTGCGGCTTACTATCGGAATAGCTGGTGGGAAATGCGGTACTGTTAAATGAGTCTTCATGCCGGCCGGGATCAACCCTTGACTACTTAAAAGACTCCATCAACCCAACTTCTGCGCATTTCTGCAAAACAGCCTAGCAAGCAAAGGACTTTCTCAGAGCCACTGAGAGCGCCGTGAGTATATCTCTTCTGACTGCTGAAAGCCCTTCTTGACCCTCAGAATACTCTCTCCCGCGCTAGTGCCTGACTTGTCATCCCACTTTGATGGAAATGAACCACGCTGATATACTCGTCTTCACAACCAGATAGGCCTCCATCTCTGGCAGTAGCACTTCCGGTACCGCATAAACACCATCGAATACATCTATATTTCACGCGAGATTACTCCCTCTGAGTCCAGGGAGGCTGTTTCGAGGTGCCGGAGTAGACAAAACAGCTCTCAGTGGTCAAAATATACAACCCACCGCTGTGATCTACAACAGCTTATCCGGAGCTCGCAATTCGGCTACCAACTACCAGTCTTCCGATATAACCGGACTCAAGGGCCTCCAGTTCTCATCAGAGTGATTCTTTCGTCCGATCTCCTTTCGTTTGTGCACGGAAACCACTCATACCCTCCATATAAGTACTGCACTCGCAATACAGATACAACAAGTGGACATATACTGTCAAGATGTCGCCTACCCCACCCACAACATCGCCCAGTACGCATTCTCCGGAAGGCCAGTATCGCGTTGTTCGGAAAAGAAATCGTGTTCCAGTGTCCTGCGCGCCCTGCAGAAACCGAAAGTAAGTTGCGTTGCCATACTATCACTCCACACAATTGCATTACTTTACACGCAGCCTCGCTAACCACAAGTATTACTGGCTATCCGTAAAGACTGAAATGTAATCGGGCTACACCTTGCGAAAACTGCGTGAAGAGAGATGATATTGCTTCCTGCTCATACGCGCAATCAACCAACAGACGGAGGCACCAGAATACTCAGTCTGTAGTGTCATCACCAGATGATATGCAGAATCGCATAGACAGATTGGAGAACCTGGTTTTGTCCCTGATGACCAATGGCGCACAGTCGGCTGGACCTACTGCAGCGATTGCTACCGTGTCCGGGGATGGTAGTATAGGTTCACAGGGCCCGCAGAGCGCAAGCACCAATACGGTTGACATCGACTTGAAAGATGAAGAAAGTGACACGGAACAGGTTACAAAATCGTTTGGAATCATGAAAGTGGATAACCAGAGCCAAAAATCATATTATGTCTCTGAAGCACATTGGTCAACAATCCTGAATGATGTATGGGCATTTCTTCCTTTATATGCCATGAACCGGATGGCTAATGCCTTTACTATCTAGATTTCGGAAGTTAAGCATTTCTGGGCTACCCATAAGAAGCAATACGAGGAGCAGATGCAGAAAGTGCAAGCAACCAAGCAGACACAGGATTTGAAGGGCTCTGCTCTAATATTTGGCGCCATGTCGTTACCCACTGAAGCAGAGATTATGGCGTCTTTTCCTTCGAGATACACTGCAGATATGCTTCTCCGCCGTTTCTTTGCTACCCTCGACCCTTCTATCAGTAAGTTCAGTTGTCTGATAATGTATAAAATCAAGGTAACTAACAATATATATAGCGCTTGTTCACGGCCCAACATTCTGGAAAAAGGTATGCACGTACCCGTATAATATTTTGTTTTCCTGTCGCTAACCTTGATGTGAAGTACGAAGCTCACTGGCACGACCCCTCTAAAACAAGTATGGTCTGGATAGCAATGGTTTTCGCAATGCTTCGGCTAGCGATGCTATCATACCATAGAGAACGAGACGAACCCCCAGAATTTCGAGGGAAGTCATTAGATATAGCCAAAACATACCGGATTGCAATGGCACAAGGCCTGGTATACTCAGACTTCACGAAGCCTCATCGATATCTACTTGAAACCTTGGCATTCCATTTACAGGCTGAGTACTCTCAGAGCTGTGATTCCGAGACGTCAGTTTGGATCCTAGTTGGAATGATCGTCCGTCTTGGGATGAGAATGGGATATCATCGAGATTCTAAAATGTTTCCAAATATATCTATTTTCCAGGGAGAAATGCGTCGACGGCTTTGGATGTGGGTGAGACAGGCAGACTTGTTATTCTCTTTTGAAGCAGGACTTCCAAGTATGATTCGAACGGGAGACGCGGATACAGACTTTCCCCGATGTCTATATGATGAAGACATCGACGAAGATTCCAAGGAGACTCCTCCGGAGAGGCCATTTAACCAACCAGCCCCTATCGCGTATACCATTGTTCATGCAAGGCTCACAACTGTCTTTGGTCGAGTACTGGAGCAGTCACAGAAACTCCGAGGATCTTCGTACGAGGGGGTTTTAGAGTTGGATCGAGAGCTACGGCACGCTCGCGAAGTGATACCCGAATGGCTGCGGATGAAACCCCTTCCTGAATGCTCCCATGAACCATCTACTCTAATAATGAATAGAATCGCGGTATGTGCTTATTCCTACTGCCTCCTTCTTGTCCCATTTTACTAAGTTTGATATTACAGGTTGAAAGTATATACCACAAAGCCCAATGTGTTCTACATCGCCCTTATCTAACAAGGGCTCGTGAAAATCCACGGTATACTCTGTCACATCGGGCCTGTATCGATAGTTCGCTCGAGTTATTACGACTTCAAGCAATGCTTCATGCAGAAAAGACATCCGGCAGAAGAGTCCTACATCCGAGATATTACACTACATCACTTACTGGCCACGACTTCCTGCTAGCCAGCACCATTCTTGCCCTTGATCTCTACCATGAAGCCCAGCTAGAAGCAAATAGGCGACAAGGCGACAGTCCATACGGCTGGGGATGCGGAATGCAGGAAGAGATGCTTGCTACCCTTCGGCAATCCTATAATATCTGGAACGAACTAAAAGACGAGTCTATGGACGCATGGAAGGCATCCAGTGTTCTGGGACTGCTTCTGGAGAAGATAAGTTGTCGACGAGAAAATAGAGATGCCACGTCAATGGATAGCAGCTTTGACCCGCAGGATGAGAAACAGAGCGCTGCTATGACTCTGGGCCTTCTCAGCAGCGGATTAACCCCCCAGGGGCCAACAAGTCCGCCTCAATTTGGAGATTCCATGATAGGAATTGACCGGACTTCCTCGGCCCAACAAGGAGGGCTACCTTCTAACATAGACCAGTTAGCGGGCCTAAATTCTCCGTTTGGCATGTTTGGTCAGATGCCAGACATGCAGCCATTCAACCTCGACTGGGTACGTTGATAACGCATCAACTAAATCTGGTATCTCTTTTACTAACAAATTTTCAATAGGAGGCCTGGGATAACTATATCCAGTCAGCTGCCCTTGATCCCACCAACCAAAACTGGGCAGATGTAAATCAACGACAAGACTTCCAGCAAGCACACCAGCCACAGACTACCGCTGAGAACGAACCAAATATGTCTATAAGACCACCAACATACCCTCTACGCAATGGTACATATGACGCGAACGGCAATACCTCCACTCACCCCACATATATGGATAATAGTGACTATCAAGGAGGCGCAAATGGCTCCTGATTTGGTTTGATACCGCACTTTTGTTTTTGCAGCTCTCCTCATTCGATATCCTTATAGCACTTAACTGAACTGTTTGTTTTTACGTATATACATATATACATTAATACCACGCCCGGAAGCAAAAGTACTTTGTTGCCATGAATGATTTCGTATGATAGACATATCAAATGAATGAATGCTTTATTTCTGTTTCCTTCAATATCAAGATCAAAAATAAACTCCACAATTTCTAGAAGCATTTCACGTGACTTGAATTTAAACTTTCGTACTAATCTCAATATGGAAAAGTGCAAATCTTCCCGTCGAAACTTTTTTTCAAAAGTTTTTTGCTTTGCTGCGAAATCTTCGTTGCTTCAACTCCATCTTCAATTCATCTTCAACCTCAACCGTCAATATCACCTTCTTCTGTTTATTTTCTTCTTAATATCCGTCTTATTAAGTGATATCATTTTTTTAATTCCATACTTTGTATAAGACCTTTATTTAGACATATCTTCGACAATGTTCGTTCCCTTCTACATCTGATTACTTGTCCCAACCAAATTCCAAGCCATTGAGCATGCTAACCATCTGTTTCTTGTATAGGATTTCTCTTAGACATGCGATGTACCGCGCTGCCTCCGCCGCTGGCGGAAGCGCAGCAAGGTCCTTCCTCCCAAAGCCACAGGCCGCTAGCTCACAATTGAGCCAATTCACAAGAGTGATGGGTAGCCAGCTCTGGGCCTCGCAACGACGATTCTTCACCGAGGAAGCCAGAGAGCCTGCAGTCGAAGAAAAGAAAACTATGGTCAGATCAGTGCGAAATTCTTTTGGCCTTCCACCTTCCCGCCCTGAGCCCCAGCCAAAAGCCACAGTCTACGTTGGAAACATTCTCTTCGACATCACTGCTGCGGACTTGAAGGAATATGCTAGCAAGTACGGCAAGGTTTTGGGAACTCGAATCATATATGATAGTCGTGGCCTTAGCAGAGGGTAAGTTGCTGAGCTTGCCTTGTGTAGCTTCCTCTTAATTTACCTTGCTAACTTGCGCGGTTTAGATTCGGCTATGTCAAATTTGAGAGCGTTGAGGAGGCTAAAAAGGCCATTGATGAAATGCACCTTAGCGAATATGAAGGTCGTAAACTAAGTGTCAACTTTGCCCAGGTTGACCTTAGGGATGAACAACCCCAGAGAAAGATGGAGCCAACCCGTACCATCTTCGTCGGCAACATTGCCCACCAAGTCACAGACCGCGACCTCCATGCCCTTTTCGATGACATTCCCAACGTCTTCGACGTTCGTGTTGCTGTTGACCGCAGAACCGGTATGCCAAGAGGCTTTGCTCACGCTGAATTCACTGATGTCGAGAGTGCGATTGCTGGGTTTGAAATGTTGAAGGGCCAAGCTCCATATGGCCGCCCGCTCCGATTGGACTACAGCCACAGTGCCAGACGCCCAGGCGAAGTTGACAACTCTAAGGCCCCTGCCGCCAACTTAGAGGGCCAGGCAGAGGCCCAGCAGGAGACCAATGCATCCCCGTCCGAGGAGGCAGCTCCCAGAGCCGCTCTATAAATGGACCCTTCAAAGAAAGCTGTTTCTCGATATCTCTTTCTCCCCAATATATACCTTACCAATATTTTCAAAGTCTAGAGGCTGTGTCTACATCTCTATTCGGCGTTCATGCTTGGTGGCTTATAAACGGAGCATCTTGCATGATTTGATGCTGTCCATGTCTCTTTCATTTTCATGCCCGGAGCGGGCCAACCTAGATGACCTCCCAGCTCTTCTTGCGCCATTATTTTACCTGATTCCCTCCTTGCTCTCGAATGTTTTTACTATGAACCCATTTGTCCCTTTTCCAGGCTTTTAAAAATTGCTTCGAAGCTGCTGTAGTATATAAAGGTTTTAGTGTTTTGTTGACGAGTTTTTTTGCATGGGGTGTCTCACGGGTTGCTTTTGTCCTCTCCTGTATCTACCTGGCCATTATATATCATTATTACATTCAATATCACCGTTCCCAAACTCCACTCTCACCTTATCGTCTTTTATCTACAGATAATTAAGCAAGCGCGTCACATGATTTATTCCTCGGCTCGCTGAATAAGCATTTTTTGCCTCCAAAAAACGGCCGAGGAAAGAAACAGTTCTTCTGCCTGCAACTAGTTGAGTTTCCCCACGCCAGCTCAGCAGAAGATACAACATCTCGTTTTACATCCACACTCCCTTTCAATCATTTAACGCCATATACCCGTGTCTTATAGTCGATTATTTGTTTTTTCATTTCAAAGATCTAGTCCTCAGCCCTTCGTTCGGAGCGTTAATAGCTTTCGTTATACCTGATCTATCCCAGCCGTCATCTACCGCGAGCTCGTCGGCTTTATCTGCACATATATACTGGAGAAATGTCGTTCTTAGGCGGCTCCGAGTGCTCTACGGCAGGAAATCCGCTTACCCAATTCACAAAACATGTCCAAGATGACAAGTCCCTCCAGCGGGATAGGCTGGCGGGTGCTGGCCCTGGGCGCCAGGAGACGATGCGGTCAAGAGGAATGATGGGGGGACAGGATCATGTAAGTGGTGATGGAAGTATTATTTTATTAACAAAAATCAAGTAATTAATGCTTTTATTCATTCTGAGGTCTAGATGATGGATGAATTCCTCAAACAAAACGATCAGATGCAGGGACCGGCACAGCCCTTCGCCATGGAGCAGATGCGTAGAGAGCTAGAGAACTTCCACCCCTCCCCTCAAAGAACAGGATCACCCGCATGGGCAGCAGAATTTGACCCTGGCGAACAAGCTCGTATGGAGGCTGCTTTCCAATCCCCAGCCCCGGGAATGATGAAGGGCAACACCACATTTCAGGCATCAGAGTTCGCACGGTTTCAACAAAGTAGGGCGGGTGCGGTACCAGGAGCAGCGAGCCCGATGATGTCACAATATCAGGGACCAATGGCTAGGGGATATGGCATGGGGATGGGTCAAATGGGCATGATGGGTCCTGGATATATGCCTATGGCAATGCAACAGCAGCCTCAACAGCAGCCGATGGAACAACAAGACGTCAAGGGGAAAGGAAGGATGATTGAACTAGACGATCAAAATTGGGAAGCCCAGTTTGCTGAGATAGATGCTTCAGGCCAAGCAAACTTGGATGAAGAGGCGAATGCTGCCATGGAGAAAGAACTTGATGATTTGGATAGGTCAGTTCCCGCAGAAGAGCACGACTTCGCTGATTTTGAGAATGTATGGAGAGGAATTCAAGCTGAAACCGCTGCAACTAGACAACTGGTGAACGAAGACGAGAAGATCGAGAATATGGCGATGGGCGATTTCAGTGAGTGGGAAAATTTTGACGGTGGTTTGAATACCCATAACTACAGAGACCCCCAACTTGGGGATTATCTTTTTGAAGATCAGAACGCATTCCGAGCTGTTGGCAACCCGTTTGAAGAGGGAGTACGCATCCTGGAAGAAGGTGGAAACCTATCACTAGCTGCCCTTGCTTTCGAGGCGGCTGTTCAGAAAGACCCAGCTCACGTCCAGGCATGGACACTGCTTGGATCTGCGCAGGCCCAGAACGAGAAAGAAAGCCCGGCTATCAGAGCGCTGGAACAAGCTTTGAAGCTGGACCCTAACAATCTCGATGCGCTCATGGGCCTAGCAGTTTCCTACACTAACGAAGGCTACGATTCGACAGCCTACCGAACCCTAGAGCGATGGTTGTCCGTCAAGTATCCACAAGTCATCGACCCGAATGAAGTCGGAACAGAAACAGAGATGGGCTTTACCGATAGACATATGCTACACGAGAAGGTAACGGACCTTTTCATCAAGGCTGCCCAACTCTCACCTCATGGGGAGCACATGGACCCCGACGTACAAGTTGGGCTGGGTGTGTTGTTCTACGGCGCTGAGGAATACGACAAGGCAGTAGACTGCTTCTCAGCCGCTCTGGCCTCGACAGAGTCAGGCAGTTCGAACCAGAAGGGACAGATACATCTGCTCTGGAACAGGCTTGGAGCTACCCTTGCCAATTCAGGGCGATCGGAGGAAGCCATCGAAGCCTACGAGAAGGCTCTCACCATCAATCCTAATTTTGTCCGCGCCCGTTACAACCTAGGCGTATCTTGCATCAACATCGGCTGCTACCCTGAGGCAGCCCAGCATCTACTTGGAGCTCTCTCAATGCACAAGGTGGTTGAGCAAGAGGGTCGTGAACGAGCAAGGGAGATCGTTGAGGGCGTTGACGGTATCGATGACGCTGAACTCGAGCGCATGATCCATGTGAGCCAGAACCAGAGCACGAACCTGTACGATACCTTACGGCGAGTGTTTAGCCAGATGGGTCGTCGGGATCTCAGTGATATGGTGGTCAGTGGCATGGACGTTTCGGTATTTAAGAAGGAATTTGACTTTTAAGGTTTGAGCAATACGATAATGCCCTTAATAGACTTGGAGTTCGTCTTTTACAGTCACTCTCACGGAGGCGGAGGCTGCTTGCAAAGATATCTACATATCTGGGTACGGTGGTAAAGGGGACCTTGGACAGGCTATAGTTATATTGATTTCTATATATGATGAAATTTACTAAGCGAGCTCGCATATAATGACAAGTCTCAAGACACAACGTGATTCACATCACTATCTGGTCTCCACCTTTGTCTTCATATCTCATCGTCTATAAAATGATCGTCTTTTACCCCTTGAATGTCTGAATAACACTTGAGCCGCATTTTGTTTTACCTCGGCAGAACTCCGGATGGCGTCACCGCCCTTCCCGATCGGGACATCTCGAGCTACGAGCTGAACTTCTCCAACTTCTCCAACTTTCTCCGCATAACCAGGTTTTTTTCATACTTAACACAGAAATTTCTCGACATCAACATCTTCAGTCACTTGGTTGTCTCTACTCAACGTTGATGATAATCCCAATTGCATGAGTCAACACCTGAAACAACATATATAACGAAACTACCTGGCTCCAAGGGCCTTGATTTATCAGCTCCCATCCCCATCTCAGCCCCGATCCTGAAAATCAAAAATGAGCCAACCAACCGGTGCGCAGGCCGTTGCAAGAGCTCTCAAGAACCTCGGTGTTACTGTCATCTTCGGCCTGGTCGGCATTCCTGTTATCGAAATCGCCGAAGAAGCAATCAACCTAGGAATACGGTTTATCGCGTTCAGGAACGAGCAGGCGTGTAGCTATGCGGCAAGCGCATATGGATATATCACTGGGAAGCCAGGCGTTTGCTTGGTCGTGGGAGGCCCCGGAGTACTACATGCAATGGCGGGAGTATGTCTATTGTTTATGTATTACTCTCTCTTACAAAATCAACTGACTGGTTACTAGATTGGAAATTCAAATGTGAATGCCTTCCCGATGCTTATTGTGGCTGGATCGGCGGAGACTACTCTGGTAACTAAGGGAGGATTCCAAGAGATGGATGCGATATCGTTACTCACTCCGCATACCAAGCTGGCCGTCAGACCTATCTCGGTGGACTATGCCGAGAATGCCGTATATGACGCATACAGGACATGCTGGTACGGCCGCCCGGGAACAGCATTTGTTGATTTACCGGCAGATCTGATCCAAGGGAAGGCTACAGGGAGCTTGCCGTCCGCTGGCCTCCAGCTGGTTCATGCACCTCCGAAGCCTGCCGGTGACCCAAGTATCATTTTTAAAGTGGCCCAGCTTCTCAGATCAGCCCGGGCACCCTTGGTGGTGGTCGGTAAAGGATCTGCATATGCAAGGGCCGAAGAGTCCATTCGCAAACTGATTGACACTGCACGCTTGCCATTCTTGCCAACTCCAATGGGAAAGGGTGTTGTACCTGACTCTCATCCACTTAATACTTCTAGTGCACGGAGTGTTGCGTTGAAGAATGCAGATGTTGTCTTGCTTCTTGGAGGTAGGTTGAATTGGATACTACACTTCGGTGAAGCGCCTCGCTGGTCACCGGATGTCAAGATTATCCAGGTTGACATACATGCGGAGGAAATTGGTCGCAACTCTGGAAGCGGTGAACTGGGCATTGTTGGCGATATAGAGCTAGTGGTTGACCAGCTTATCAAATCACTGGGAGACTGGCACTATCAGCCACTTAATTCACCTTCCTCCTATCCTTCTCTTATATCTGCCTCTGCCACGAAGAATGAAAACAAGTCCCAGGAGAAGGCCCTTCAGGCCACGGCTGCTGGACAGTATCTAACCTTCCAACGCGCATTCCACATTATCAAAACGACCCTCAACTCACTCTCACCTCCAGAGAATGGAGGTATTGTCTACATATCTGAAGGTGCAAATACCATGGACATCTCTCGTTCCGCCTTCCCGCTGCAACATCCACGCCATAGACTAGATGCCGGCACATATGCTACCATGGGCGTCGGATTGGGATACATTATTGCTGCCCATGCAGCTTATAACCTGCCCCAACCACAAGGTACACTTGAGGCACAATCACCAAAGAAAATAGTCGCCCTAGAAGGCGACAGTGCGTTTGGATTCAGTGCAATGGAAGTAGAAACTCTTGCTCGACACCAAATTCCTGCCTTGATCTTCGTGATGAACAACTCCGGTATATACCACGGTGACACCAAGACAGAAGACGACTGGCGTAACATGCAGCAGGCCACGCTCTCAAACGAGACAACTTCGTCTTCCGCTGGTGATAAAAAGGGTCTTCGCTCGACCAGCCTTTCATACGAGACAAGATATGACCGTCTGGCAAGTGTGTGCGGAGGACAGGGTTTCTTTGTGCGCAATGAAAAGGAGCTAGAAGATGCGACAAGGTCAGGCTTCCTGGAGAAGCACAAGTTTACTATTGTCAATGTCATTGTCGAGCCTGGCATCGGCCAGTCTATCGAGTTCGGATGGCAAGCTGGCAAGAAAGATAAGACAGCACAAGCATCGAAGCTGTAGACACCTTTTGCCGGTGTACGCCTTCAAATTCTACCATTTTCTGTACATATAAAATGTATTCAGCCAGTTGATATCAACCAAGATGGGTATATATTAGAAATGAGTATAAAAAAAGACCCCCTTTCCCGGCCCGGCATGCAAGGATAGCTAGCTACAGCCAGCCAGCACCACCCATGATCAAACCAGGATCCCGCGGATTCAACACTCCTTAGCACCTTGCAGTAGTATCTTCGAGCCGCCTATTGAAATATATTTCCGGCAGACTGTCGACTTTGTCTCTATTCAATATGAGCAATTGACTGTCTGCTAAATAGCCGTCAATAAGACAATAAAGGCGGCTGACGTCACTGGCGATTGGCTGGAGGCCACATGTCATCTTCTGGACAAAAAAGAAACCATGCAAAAGAAATCTCAAGATAAAATAATAAAATAGTCTTAAAAGGAGGTTTTAACTGCCCGTCGAGCCACCGCTGCAAAGATGGCCTGACTTATAGACTTACCTCCTTGATCGAATATATAAAGCACGGTCCCTTCCGGCATTGCACCCTCGTTGGCCTCACCATCAATCCATCGTTTTTTAACTGACTAGTCTGTCGGGGCTATCTTGGAAGCTCCACCAAAGGCAGCAACTCAACAGGCGTATACACGCGATATCTGTGCTCGATACCTGGTCTGACAGGCAGTTTCAGACTGATCCTTTCGCTAGTCAAGATGGGCGGCGCTTCGAAGCTCTTTTACCTTGCTGTGTTTAGCCTCCTCGCCCCGGCTCACGGGGAGGACAGCATCAGCAGATCTAGATCGTGTGCAGTATGCAATTAGCCGCTTTACCCTGTCAATATATAGGTTCAACCATTTGCTAATGGAAGATGTTTTCTCTAGATTGATGCCAGGTCGACTGTCTCTGATGCCTGTGCCTCCTTCGCTACGTTTGACGGGCTGAATAACCAGATTAGACCGGTTCTCAAGTCCCTTACGCAGCATTCGGATTTCTTTTCCTATTACCGCCTAAACCTCTTTAACAAAGAGTGTCCGTTCTGGTCAGACGATGCTGGAATGTGCGGGAATATCGCTTGTGCCGTCAGTACGTTGGAGTCGGAGAAGGATATACCGTTGATATGGCGAGCGGAGGAACTGAGTAAACTAGAAGGCCCTAAGGCTGGACATCCGGGCAAGAAGCTGCAGAAGGAACGGCCGAAGGAGAAACCGCTGCAAGGCATGCTGGGTGAAGATGTCAAGGAGTCCTGTGTCGTGGAGTATGATGATGAGTGTGATGAAAGAGATTACTGTGTCCCTGAAGACGAGGGCGCCACAGGCAAAGGTGACTATGTGAGCTTGTTGGACAATCCGGAGAGGTTTACGGGATACTCGGGACCAGGAGCAAGACACGTTTGGAATGCAATTTACCGAGAGAATTGCTTTATCAAACCAATGCAAAAGTCACGGCTGATTCCAAACAACGTATTTGGAGCGCCAATGGGTTCACAACTGCAGGCCGTGGATGACTTCCGGCATGTCCTTGAAAGCCATGAGGTCAACCAAGTAGTCTCAGGGGCTGTACGTGATGAATTATACCCTCTAGACGATGAATGTCTTGAAAAACGTGTCTTCCACCGACTAATCAGTGGAATGCATGCGTCTATCTCGACTCATCTCTGCTGGGACTATTTCAACCAGACCACCGGGAAATGGGGTCCTAATATGCAATGCTTCAAGGAGAGGCTGCACACCCACCCAGAACGGATCGCCAATCTATACTTCAACTTTGGTGTCCTTACTCGAGCCGTTGCTAAACTACAAAAGCATCTTCAGGGCTATAGCTTCTGCATCAGCGACCCAGACCAGGACTACGAAACCAAGCAGAAGATGAATAGCCTCACGCAGATTTTGGCAACCCATCCTCAAATCTTCGATGAGACCACAATGTTCCAGGATACTGTTGCCAACGGTCTTAAGGAGGATTTCCGTAACAGATTCAGAAATGTCAGCCGAGTGATGGATTGCATTGGATGTGACAAGTGTCGACTCTGGGGGAAACTCCAGACGGCTGGATACGGTGCGGCACTGAAGGTGTTGTTTGAGTACGACGAGACCAAGAATGGGGAGAACCCTCCTCTGCGAAGGACCGAGCTTGTTGCCCTTGTCAACACCCTCGCCCGTGTGTCACATAGCCTGGAATCCATTCAAAAGTTCGAGGACATAATTAAGAACGAGATTGCTGCCAATGAGGCTGAGACGGCTAAGATCGAGAAACAAGATGAGCAGCCTATTTCGGAGAACATTGATGATGAGCCTGAGATATATACCCATTCGGATGGTGACGATGAATCACCGAGTATCATGACGATGATTAAACAGGAAGCTGCCCTCATATGGCGTGCCTATGTCTTCATCGTAAAAAGTTGGATCAACTTCCCTTTCTTAGCGTAAGTCACTCTTATATCTTGCTATACAGAGTACAAGCTAACATATAATTTGTATAGGTGGGAAATTATGGTATTAGAATTTAACCGTTTATGGAACTTTTGGCTTGGGTTACCAGTCCCACCGAAATCATGGGAGATCCATTTCCCTAATGTAGATGAGCTATAAACCACTGACTGCATTTGGCGGCACTATTATTGTTCGTTGTTAATGTTGTTTTTTTACATTCGGGATTGTATAAGTTTAATACCACTTCAGGATACCTAATGCATGTACTTTGGTTTATGAGACACCGATTCATTTCTATATAGATATTATACAAGCGGTAGACAAGCTTGGTCAATAAGAAAAATGTACGACGATGATCGATCCAAAAGCAATGTTTGCCAATCTACTCAGTTGAATATCGGAGGAAGTCCCTCGGCCTCCATGGCAGCCACGGTAGACGGGCGCTTCGAAGCTTCAACAACAAGAGCAGTAAGTTTCGGGTAGTCCGATTCCATAGGCAGCCCAATCTTTTGCCCCCATCGGTACATGGTAAGCAGGTATGCATCCACGATAGTAAACGAGTCACTAACAGCATGTACACCTTTGAGTTTATTGTCGATATACCGGAAAGATTCCTTGATAGTCGTCATGCCCATGGCCTGAAGTTTATGGTGATCTTCGGGATCGGCTGTGAAACGCTGCGGCCTCCAAAGCCCGGCAAAGGCCTGCCCGTGGAGCGTGCCTGATATATAGTTTGCCCACTCGATCACACGAACTGTATCCAGTGGCGTCTTGCCGAAGAGATGCTTTTCAGGAACAAGGTTTGAAATCGCCATCATGACCGCGGGGTTCTCGGTAATAATCTCGTTGTTAACCGATAGTGTTGGGATGCGAAGTTTGGGGTTAATAGCTTTGAATTCGTCGCTGTGGATGCTGTCGAATGCTACTTTGACTAGTTCGAAGTTCGCTCCGGCCTCTTTGAGGATGATGTGTGGAGCGAGGGAGCATGCTCCTGGAGCGTACCATAGTTTGGTGCTTGGAGTGGTGCTGGCCATAATACTGGCTTGTGTAAAGCTGAGGATAAAGTTAGAGCTTGAAGAATTGATATTGATCGTGAGCTGATAACCTAGGAGTGTTAGGTGTTGGGGGGTTTTTATAAGCCACGCTTCGTGATATAAATAGGTAGGCATACTGGTCCTGATTATGAATGCAGGTGCATTTATAAGCAGCTGAATGGATGCCGCTAGTAAGGCCGAAAACCCCGAGGCCGTGTTTTCGCTAAGCAGCTCGCTTCAAAACAGCCATACTTTCTGAGAATCTGGCATAATTTGAATGGCGGTGGAAAATGGCCTGATCCGTCATTTTTGGGACTCGCTGAAGATGGTTATCTGGAAGAGCTTTTGCTCTCCAAACATGTTCCTTCGTGGTGAAAACTCAACCTTTTGGTTGGCCTGTGATCTCAAGGTCACTTAAATCCGGATGTATTGACCGTTCGCAGATTACAGCGCTAGGTAAGGCTCGTAGCAAAGGGTATATATACGGAATCATAAGGACAAGGAGCATAACAGCCCTTCTCTGATGCAGTGGACCGGAGGGGACATCTTCACAGATGCATGCTCTAGTCTGTCCAAAATCCAGTTCCACGCCTTAGGCGCATATTTTGCGAAACTTTCCCATCAGCCTTGTGGTAATAATATGAAGAACAGATCCTTCGGTCACAAATCCACGACCATGGCGTTATTGCTAACCGGTGAGCATGCAGAGTAACCATCAAACGCCACTCTAGAGAGTCGGCTATTTCATCTGTGATAGACGGTGAGCAGCCCCTCTGTAGATCTTGGTAACGCCATCTCAACGGGTATAACCTGCAATCCGGGCACTTGCTGCGGTCCAATTCAGCTTCTTGGTATCAACATTCGACTTGCTTAGATTTAACAGCATAGTATATATACTAGCCCATCAACAGGGCACCCATGGTATATCTATCCTCCACTTCTGTCAGATCTGTGACTTGTTGATATCAACTTGTTGTCTTTTGATATAATCGATTGCATCTCGAGAAGAAAAGGAGGAGTTGCTACTTTAGGCTCACCGCCCGTTTATGCACGTGACCACCGTTCCTCCCGGAACTAAGTAATGCCGAGACCGAAGCATGTGACGCGGCGGCGAGTCATGGGACAAGGAACTTTTTTACATCCTCGGCTCGTTTTTCGGCGACGACGAAGAGAAAAGGGCGAGAAGGCGAAGAGAAGAAGAAGAAACGAAGGTTCGGCTCTCGTGAACGAAACCCCCATTATTCGATCTTCTTCTTCTTCCCCCGGGACACCTGCTTGTTGCTTGTTGCTCTAGACTGTGGATAGCCGACACGGTCTTTCTTTCTAGCGTTCGCATATATAGACACACCGCTCCCAGCCATTACAGAGCTGTTGGGCAGACTCGCACGTTGACGGGTGCGCCGCGGGTAAAGGGGGGCAAAAGGGACAGCATACAACAGACATACCACAGACTCCGCGATGGCATCTGTGTCGCCTCCTAAGCCGTGGGAGAGAGCAGCTGTTGCAGCTTCAGGTCAGTTCAGGAGAGAGTGATCCCCCTCGCAGCTGATATCAGAGTGATATCTACCAATATCAAAATCTTCAAGACACAGTGAGCTGACCTGGTTTACTATGGATATAGGCTCCTCTGTAGCCCAACGGGTTGTAACGGCCTCTGCTGCACCTCCGTCTTCTACTACCGCTGTTGCGCCGTCTTCTTCTTCCACTACATCTTCCTCCTCGGCACCCGAACTGCCATCCAGGCCCAGCGCGCTGAACGCTGTTGTTAACCAGACAGCCTCTACATACTCTCCCTATGGCGCATCAAGACTAGGCACGTCACCCTATACTGGCGGGTACAACAACTACTCCTCACCATATTCACGGTTTGGGGCGATGGGAGGCATGGGCTCGATGTACGGCGGCTACGGCGGGATGGGGGGGATGTATGGTAGTTATGGTGGGATGGGAGGAATGTATGGAGGCATACAGAACGGTGACCCCAACAGCTTGACGCATTCATTCAACCAGAGCACGCAGGCGACCTTCCAAATGATCGAGAGCATCGTTGGTGCGTTTGGTGGGTTTGCGCAGATGTTGGAAAGCACCTACATGGCCACCCATAGCTCATTCTTTGGTGAGTTGATAAGTCATGCCATAAACCGACATTTATGTCTTGAGGGGTCCAGTTGACTAACATGACGTAGCTATGGTATCTGTTGCAGAGCAGTTTGGGACCTTGAAGAACACGCTTGGTTCTGTCCTGGGTATATTCACACTCCTTCGATGGCTGCGGACACTGCTTGCCAAATTGACCGGCAGACCGCCCCCAGCTGACGCAACCGCCTTGACCCCGTCTGCCTTCTCTGCCTTCACTGGCAACAATGGAGGCGTTCCCGACGGCTCTGGCCGTCCCAAGCCTTCGAAGAAGCCCTTCTTCTTCTTCCTTGCCGCCGTCTTTGGCCTTCCCTATCTCATGTCAAAGCTCATCCGCGTCCTGGCTCGGTCACAAGAACAGGAAGCAAAACGACAACAGGAACTTCTCAACGAAGCCCAGCAGCAGGGATCCATTGACCCGTCCAAGCTCGACTTCTGCCGAGTGCTGTACGACTACTCGCCCGATACACAGGCCACTGGCGGAATTGACCTTGCAGTTAAAAAGGGCGATCTTGTTGCCGTACTGAGCAAGTCCGACCCAATGGGAAACCCATCCGAATGGTGGAGGTGCAGGAGCCGTGACGGCTCTGTTGGATACCTGCCAAGCCCCTATCTCGAGGCCATTCAACGCAGGCCACAGCAGCAAGCGATCACGGCTGGAGCCGCCAGCAGCACGAGCAGCGCCCCGGCTACGAGGACGAGTACCCTGGTTGGCAACGCTGCCGAGTCGCGAACGAAGAGCCTGACTGCATTGAAACAGGCTCCAGAGCCCGTCAAGGGAAAGCCAACTGACATCTCGCTGGAGAACTTCCAGAAGTCCAATTTCTACTCCTAAAACAAAAGGAACTTCCATTTTTTCGTCTAATCTTTTTCTTTTCTTTTCTTTTTTTTTTTTTTTCTCTCGGACGGTGTTAGTTGGTTATGAGGTCTTTGAGCGTGTTTGGCCTGGTGTTCGTTCAATTATTATTGCTAAATCCATATGTGTTATTCATATAAGCCGGTTGGTTGGGTGGGAAAACGGCTGCTGTGTATATATATATCAACCTCACATCATCAATTCATGACTGACTCTCATCATTCAACACAACCCGCAACGTACGATACCCCCATATCCACAACCCAATATTGAGATACAAGTCACTGTCTCGGTACCCACAGGCTGGAGCATGCATGTAACGAACTTCTCCCCGGCCACTCTGAAGCCAAAAAAGTACCCCCCTCCGGCGCTCGATCCCAACCCCTAACATGGGAGCCCCCTGGCCAGCGGGCTTTGCGCTCATCCAACAGAACCAATCGACTCTGGCCTGAACACGGCTGACGGCAGAACACTTTTCATGCGGACAGGAAGCCAAATAACCGCGTCCTCTCTCCTATCCAGGCTAGCCCGTGAGCGAAAATCCTGCACTAAAAGCTGCATGGCGGCGGGCCTCTGCAGCGTCACCTTGGGGTAAAGAGCGGAATTTATCCCAGGGAAAGGAAAGAAACCCGTTCATGGGCGCAGGCGGGATTCGAAATGATGCTTGCATGCTGTCCAGCCAGGGACCGAGTCATAGGGTGGCCTAATATATATATACGGGAAGCTGCGTTGGCGCTGTCAGGGCCGGCGTCAACATACTTATACGTATAACCCGCTATACTCCGTGCAGGGGGATTGCCAGCCAACCTTGATCCAGAATACACTATTTGATGCTGGGGATTCCTTGATCGAACGAAGAGCAGCCGGACAATTTTTTGTGCAGTTTCCCGCATTTTTTCATGCTGCGTGGTTGAAGTGCATATTCACAACGGAGATACATGCATGATGGCTTCCTCGTCCTCCAATCTGATATGTCTCCCTCTAGATCGATATCTAGAGAAGTTCGAATTGGCCCGAAGGCGCTTGATCGTCAAGCATAGAGTCGCCCGCGCTCTTCGAAAGGCCGAGAAAGCGTTTCGCAAGGCCAATCCAACATACGCGGACACTCTTCGATTGGACCATATACGCCGGATCGACTATACAGTCCTCGACAAAGAAAACCACATATATCTGGATTATGCCAGCTCAGGCATCCACAGCGAATCACAGCTGCAGCGTCGTTTTGAACTGCTGCGAAGCAACGTTTTTGGCAACCCGCATTCCATCAATCCAACCTCAAGCGCCATCACGAAGTTGGATGAACAGGCCAGAGCCAGGGTACTGTCCTTCTTCAGGGCCGACCCATCTGAATACATCGTCATCTTCACCATCAACACATCCAATGCACTCAAACTGATTGGAGAAGCCTATCCTTTCACCGAGGGAGGTGAACTGCTTCTGCTAAACGACAATCAGCCTCCCGTGATAGGGCTGCGAGACTTTGCCAGGAGACGGGGCGCGGCTGTCTCATATCTACCCGTTAAACAACCCGAGCTACGATGCGATGACGACGCGGTAAAGTCGGCCCTGAAACGCAAGGAGAGCATTGACGAGATCCCCGTCCGTCTCTTCGCCTTTCCCGCTCAGTCGAACTTTACCGGCGTCCAGCATCCTCTGGAGTGGATTGCCGAAGCTCAGGAGCAGGGATGGCATGTCTTGCTAGACGCTGACAATTATACCCCTACAAACATTCTGGACCTTTCTCGCTGGCACCCGGACTTCGTCAGCGTGTCCTTCTACAAGATGTTCGGCCATCCGTCTAGTGTAGGTGCCGTCCTGGCTCGCAGGGAGGCCTTTGCCAAACTGGGCCGTCCCTGGTTTGCCGGAGGTACTGTCTGGGGCAGCTCGGTCCAGGCAAACGGACATATGTTGCTGGGAGACAACGAGGGTTTTGAAGACGGTACTATCAACTTCCTTTCCCTTCCCGCCATCCGCATAGGCCTCAATCATATAGCCGGCATAGGCATGGAAGCCATCCATACCCGCGTCAGCTGCCTTACCAACTGGCTGCTCAAAGAGCTTAGCGGTTTAACCCACACCAACGGGGAGCCTCTGGTGGTGATATATGGCCCATACACCTCCGACTTGCCTCGTGGTGGTATCATCGCCCTCAACTTCGTCGACATGAAGGGATGTCTGGTCGATGAGGACCTAGTTGCCCGCCGAGCTGCTGCGCGCAACATCACATTGCATGTTGGGTCTGCCCTTCAGCCAAACACGGAAACATCTGGTGCTGTCGAATGTGATTCTCCGGATGCGATACAGAAAGTACCCGGAGAGAATCGGGAGCGCAAAAAGACGACAGAAAGGAGAAGGGAGAGTGAAACTTCCTTCAACGAGGTCGGCCTGCCCACCGGTGGCTTCATTCGCATCTCCCTTGGCCTGGCATCTAATTTCTCTGATGCCTTCGAGTTCGTTCAGTTTGCATCTACCTTCCTCGACACGATTCCTATTGACGATGCTCGCACCGCCTGAGATACGATTTATGACATTAATGACAATATTTGGAGATGAAAGTCAAGAGACATTGCTTATGACTTGTTCGTGCGGCCATCTGTATTCATGGACGGCCTTTTGCTTGCAATTGTACTATCCTCAGGCAACTCGATGTTGTCTGATACGACTAATGTTCCATCTTGTTTTGTAGCAGGCCTGAGTGAGATTGAAATGTGCTATCATATGATTGATTTACTATATTTTGATAGTTCATTGGTTTTCTTTGATAGAAAAATGCTAGATCAACATGTTATTAATCCAAACAGCATTGAACACCCTTACACTTCTAAATTTCACAGTGATATTAATACATTAAAACAAAGAAACTGTACATTTGGCATCAGACTTCCTACAAAGAAATTCCTCAAGTGTTTGACTTGCTCGAGCCTGCGTTGCTTGCATGAGCGAGCAAGAATTTACAGCATGTAAGCGTATACTTGCAAGCGCGGGTCCAAGTCTCATCACTCTGGTTGAAACCAAGTCTTATGCTTGCGTCACCAATCTTATCACGCTTGATCTCATACGGCAGTTTGAGACCTGTGACTTGCGTTGAATTTTGACGTCGTGGCGTGTTCCCCGGTCTAGAAGCCGAAGGCTCTGCGGGAGTGGATATCGAGGTTGGAGTCTTTTCGACCTGATTACCTAGCTGCCGGAGACATTCGAGAAAGGCAACCATACCTGCATCGAATCGGCGATGCATCCACGGTAGATTTAGCGGCAATTCACCAGAAGAAAAAAGGTCAAGGGGAGTGATTTTGGGTTGTATCTTGTTTTGTGCCCCGTTTGCTCCGTCCTGCCGATTCGTAGATTGAGATTGAGACTGATTTGGTTGAGGGTATTCGATCTTGTCGATCCTGGACGTCGAGCCCATAGGTCGTAGCTTGTATCCTTGGAACTGAAAGCCTATCCGTTCGGCAATGGTGGCAAGAAGAAGTACAGTTTGACCCCAGGCAGCGTTTGTCTCTGACCATTCGACGGGCTGGCTAGCAAGTCGCCCGAGTCGTAGCCCATTAATGGTGCCAAAATAGCCGTCGTGGCTAATACAGAATGCATCGTTAAACAAGTTTGTCCGTTGTAGGCGTTCAAGCTGCCGGGAGTCGTGATCGTATTTCACATTTAAAGCGTCCCGCTCATTTTGGAACTCAGTTAGCGTCAAGGCAAAGGCATTACGATCATGCCAGAACTTCTGCTCTTCCAAGTCTAGTTGTCTTGACTCTTCCTCTAACTTGGCGATCTCTCTATCCACTGCCCTCTTTTGGTTCTCCAATGCAATTAACTGGCCAAAGGCCTCGGCTTCTGCTTGAAGGGTTACCTCCAGCGTTTCCTTCACAGCCGCCATCTCATCCGCTGATGGGATAGAGGTATTCAGACTCTTGAGAAATGAGATGTATGCATCCCGCTCCTTTGTGGCTGTTGCAAGTTGGCTCTGCAACCCCTCAACTAGCATTTCTGTACAGTCAGTACATATAGGATGATCAATATCTGACCGGGCAGATACTATCTCAAATATCCGCGCCGTCCGCTCTACCTGGTCTGCAAATAATGTTTCGTGGCTTTGTGGTTGAACACCCGAGGTCTCCTGTCCCTTGTGTCTCCCCATCAGCTGTTGACTGGGTCCGTTTGGCTGGTAAGACGAGGTGTGTAAGGACTCATTCAGCATTACAAAGGACATTCCAGACGCTGGATCCTGCGCTCCGGACTCAGAAGTACCTCGTCCATGCCGTGATGAGGCCGGTATCTCTTTTTTATAAACCGGGGAGGTTACGCGCTGCGACGCTTGATCATATCGTTCTTTGCGCTCTGGAGGGTACGAGGGTCGCGAGCGAGCCAGACTAGCTGGCTTTAGAGTAGATTTTCCTGTAGAGCCTGTTGGAACAGTTAGATCATACCATATAGTGGTCCATGGCGCTGTAGCTCAACTTACCTACTAGAAGATCGTATGCTGCTGGGTTAAGCTCCTCAAGAGAACTATCCAGCTTGAGAGGCGTGCGGCATTTCTGGCAATACATGATTCCAGTTGTATTTCCCGGAGAGCATGACTGTTATACAGGATTCACAGAGAATTCCAGCTACATGCTGTTGTCGTAGATGGCGGGAGTAGCGGTAGTCGCAGGAGGCGCTTGTAGTTTGAGCTTTGGACGTTTTGGCCCTATGACGACGTTTGCTCTCTTGGCGTGTGATTTAACTAATTATTTACTTCGTTCGTGGTGTTCGACCAAGCGAAGCAGAAACATGTGGATGGCAGCACAACGAGAAAACAACGAAGGGTTTGTTTCGCTCTTTCACAAGTGTTCCTCATCTAGAACTTGTTTGTGCTGGTACGACTTTACAGCAAACTGCAATGCGCTGGCGCATAGTGGTACCTATTTACGGAGATGTCACCACCAAGCAAACGTCGCCGGATGGACGGTCAGTTCAGTTCAAACGACGGCCTTTTTCCCGATTTCGATGTGAACCAAGCTAGAAAGGCGAACGATCTGCGGCTAAAGTCTCGATTTGAGTCCATATTCGAGAAGTACGGGAAGGATTTCAGCTCCGTTGGCGACGAGATAGATTTGGCCAAAGGGACAATAGTTGTGGACAATGGACATCTCACGGAGATGGGAGATGAACACGACGTTGGGAGAGGACTATGGGATGATTTTCACCCGGAAGATGAGAGCGAAGCAGAGGAAAATCCGGCAGACCAGAATACTCAGCAGGCGGCGGACAATACAGGGGATCCTGAAACGGGGAATACATTTTTCAAAGAATGGGTGATTCAAGATGATTACGATGCTACAACTGGAAAGGAGGAACAGTCTGCTACAGTCGAGGTAATATCTTCATCTATTCACCCAGAAAATTCCCCATCTGTGGAAGATTTGAAAACGCCACAAGAGCCAGTTAATATACCAAGTCCTCAAGCTATTGAAAGCGAGAACATTGTATGCTGTGGAGACTCCAAAGGTCACGAAGACAATAAGATTGCTGGAGAGTCCTTGTGGGAGGCACCTCCGCTGCCAACAACTGCCCTATCAGCCAGCTTAGAGGATATGACAATCACAACGACCCAGCGTCTTGAAAGGATGCCTTCTCCAGACCACAACAGATCAATATGGGCTGCACCTCGCTCAAGACGCAGGCGGCTACCCCATATCAACAAGCCAAAACACCCTTCAAAGAAATCCGCAACATTCAAGTCAAAGTTGGCCTTCAATGATTCCGATTCAGATGACCCCATTCAGGACCATACACCCATAGCCTCTACTCCTAGGCGCCCTGCTACTTTTAATTCTGTTACCCCAGCCAAGGATACCATGGTTCGAACGCTTATTGAGTCTAAAGATATATATATTTCACCGCAAAACGACCCAACCGCCACTATAGCGGAAAATGATACCAATGGTGTCACTATTAGAGAACCGGAAACAATGGCCAATGTTACCATAGATACCCCTATGACTACCAAGAAGAAAAATCCTGAGACTCCAATACATCAACCCATTATAGATCCTGATAGTGACCCCGATCTAGCCGTCGACACACCTATTGCAGACCCAGGCCCCGAATCGAGCTCTGTTAATGGAAGCCCAAGGGCTGAAATAACGACCTTAAGAGGCTCGTCTGAAAATCTCACCCCTCAGGAGGTAAAAACATTAGTCACTTTACGGTTAGCTAAACGGAAGCCCTGGCGCGAAGTGTCCTTGGCTATTCCCTCCCGGTCATCAGCTCAACTTCGACAGTGGTATTATGCTTTCTGTAAACACATCAGTTACAATTTATCTACCTCATTAACGTGGACGGATTCAGATCGAGAGGCGCTTGCATCTCTTAAGCTAGATACTGATAATTCATGGGATACCGTACAATCTAAATTTCCAACGAGGAACTTAGTGGATTTACAGCATGAATGGATCAAGATTTGCGTAGGAGAAACGATCTGGCAAAGTTGGGTCAATTCAAAATCTCCCAGAAAAGCGAAAAAGCGGCCATTTACGCAGGATTCATTGCTTCAAACACCAACTCGACCTTCTGTCACAGTTCCTTCCCCACTACGGCTTAGAACCGGTTCCAGTAACTCTTCGGTGCATCTGACAGTGGAAGATTCTCCACCTGATGCTGCAGCAGGTACAAACAATCGGGAAGAAAGTCCCGATCCTCTATCCAAAGCTTTCGAAAGAGCATGGCATAGCTCCGGTTTGTCTAGTGTGCAGATCAGCACGCCACCAAGGGCTTCTGGCTCACCAAAGAAGCATCTCTTATCAAGTGGTAAGACCCGGAGCGCTGTTGTACAAAGAGGTGGTAGGTAATGCGTCCTCTTCTGGCACAATTTGGCCCCAATATTCTTGAAAATAACGGGTAACTGCTGAGGCAGCTGATAACCCAACAGGCGACCGGGTATCAAATGATGTCGCTTGCTCTTCACTCCTTAGCATTAAGAACGTCCTCAAGCTTAGTGCCGACGGCTCCTCCAACGTTGCCTGCCTCTGCCCAGAACTTTGACAAATGTCTGGTTCCAGAATCACAGAGGATTGTCACAACTCTATGGCCAGGGCCTAGCTTTAGAGCCGTTTTAACGGCAGCAAAACCTGTGCAGATAAATGAGTTAATACTTCCAGTCAAAATATATATTACGGCAAGTAAAGACCTACAATTTACAGCACTGCTGCTGCCAATGAATATACCATCCTTCTCCACCAGCCAACGTGCCATTGCAACGGCTTGTGCATCAGTGACTCTTACAGCGTCATCCACTAGCTCTCGGCCAGCTTCAAAATTTGCAGTGACCCGATTAATCCCTATTCCTTCCACAATAGAGTCGACTTGCTGCCTCCTCCTTGTACCTTCCCTTTCTTTTGTGTCGAACATCACGCCGTAGCGGACTCTGTTATACAGTCCACTGCCTTGAGGGTCCGCAAGGACGACGGTCATGTTCGAGACTCGAGGTTTCAGATACCGTGCAACTCCAGAAATGGTACCTCCCGTTCCAGCGCCGGCAACAAATGCGTCCAGCTTACCCTCGCACTGTACATAGATTTCTGGTCCTGTCGTTCGATAATGGGCTTGCCAGTTGGCAGAATTCTCAAACTGGTCTGCAAAGAAACCCCGGCTTTGTTTAGCAGCAGCATCCGAGGCCATGGCCTCTATATTTGGCTTTTCGAATGGCGAAGATTCACGCGAAGGTTGTTCCGCCTGTCCGTGGGAATGCGCCAGACTCCTAGCCCTGTTGACAAAGTGGCCGGTTTCTACAATGGGAGCCGGGGTAACTCTGTCAACGACCGCCCCCAGTTTAAGGAGCAGGTTTGATTTTTCTGTCGATTGATCCGATGGCATGCAACTGTATAGGATATGTGAATATAATGTGCTTTGCCAGAGAAGGTATGATCATTGATTCCATACATATGTGCTAGGTATCCTCTTGCTCTTGCTAGGGTGGCAAGGGATATTCCTGTAGATCCTACAGTGCCTTCATAGATAGCATCTCCCACAAATGGAGTAAGAAGGCTATTCGCTTCAGCCTAGTCCACGGTATCAGCACAGAAGTATTGGTCTGGAATAGGTTTTAACCTAACCTCCTGTATCATACTTAACGCAACGCGGTCCTTAGGACTCCCTCCAGCGCCATTCAAAAACTGTTGGATGAAATTAGGAATCGGCTATAATAAAAAGGGTTATATTCAAGCAAACGAAACATTCATCTTACCTCTGCTTTCGCTAGTATCTCACATCCTGTCGCCTCTGATAGAGATCGGATACGGACCATAGGGGTGTTTCCGATGCATCCTTCAATGCCGTCCACTATTGGGGGAGGCTGTGGTTTCTTTGGGAGCCCATGGTATTCTATTCCGTTGGCTATCGAGAGTTCATTCATTGCATCTTTGCTTCCAGGTACTGTCCGGCTTATTAGTCCCTCAGAGCGAAGGAGTCTATCAATTGCGATGGTGCATATAGCTCCTGTTGCGAAAGCAGCAGCCACATAAATGGGCATGCGAGATGACGCTTCCATCCTGAAAAGAATTGACTTAATATTTCTCTCCCTACCTCGACCTTCATAGACGTTTCAGCATCCTCTGTAGAGAAACCTGAAGATGTTCAAACTTAACTCTTCATTGGTGGTGGTGGTGGAAATCATGGATGGTTGAAGCTCGGACCATCTTGTTCTCTCCTCCGAAACGAAAAACATCGAACTTCGAGCTCAAACAACCATCTTTGCTTTTGACAAGCAATGGATTCGCCGGTTGTCTCGCACCTCTTCCGCCAGCTATTCCGGCATCAGGCGACGCGGTCTTTATCTTATTCCCAGCCATTGCGGGCTCAACGCTCGTTACAGCCATGTTCGTGTGGACATCAGCAGTCGCGCTATGCGTCCAGGAAGCTTGGGAGCCGACGAAAAAAGGAGGACGAAGACGACACGATATGGAGGCATAGAATAGACCATTTCCCGAAGGACATGTCGCAGGAGCTCAGAGATTATCCGTTGGTTACCGCAGTAGAACTGCGGAACCGCCGTGAACGGCCGAGAAGAGTGAAAATGTTGACAAGAGATTTCATCGAGGGTATGGACCCCAAAATTGAAAAGATCATACAGCTTTCAACCGCCGCTCAACAAGTCTATTCTGTCAATTGCTAATTTCATCTTCTTTAGACAGCCTATACAACCCGCATTACGGCTACTTCTCGAAGCACGCGACTATCTTTTCGCCTGGCGAACCTTTCGATTTCAATAACATCGAGGATGGACCTACATTTAACAAACTGTTAGACCAGCGATACGTGGAATTCGAAGATAAGCTTGATGAGACAAATTACGATGAAACCAGACAGTTGTGGCACACGCCCACTGAGCTCTTCCGCCCTTATTATGGGGAAGCTATCGCCCGGTATCTCGTTACGAACTATAAGTTGACACTGTTTCCATACCATGATTTGATAATCTACGAGATGGGAGCCGGAAACGGTACGATGATGCTCAATATTTTGGACTACATCCGAGATGTTGAGCCGGAAGTATATCAAAGAACGAAGTACAAGATCATCGAGATTTCGAGCAGTCTCGCCAATCTGCAACAGCAGAATCTTAACCACTCCATTCATGCCGGTGGCCACGGCGGCCATGCTGAAATTATCAATCGGTCGATATTCGATTGGAATACTTACGTTCACTCTCCATGTTTTTTCCTAGCATTGGAAGTCTTTGATAATTTTGGTCACGACGTGATCCGTTATGACATGGAGACTGGGCAGCCCAGGCAGGGATGTGTTCTAATCGACTCTGACGGGGAATTTTATGAATATTATGTTCCGGACTTAGATCGTTCAGCCGCTCGATTCCTGCGTGTTAGGCAAGCAGCGGCCCGCCGACCGTTTACCACCCCACTAGGACCCCGGTTGTGGCGCAAGTTGCAGACAGCGCTTCCGTTTGCACCCAATATGACACTGCCAGAGTATATTCCAACTCGACTAATGCAATTCTACGATGTTTTGCATGATTATTTCCCGGCCCACCGTCTTATTGCGAGTGACTTCAACTCTCTCCCGGACGCCGTGCCAGGTTTCAATGCTCCGGTTGTCCAAACTCGATATCAAAGAAGGAATGTTCAAGCAACAACTCCATATGTAAGTGGTCTCTGCAACTTATTCTCGGGTATAATGCTCACCCAGCTATTTCTTCAGGTACATCAAGGATATTTTGATATATTCTTTCCCACTGATTTCAATGTCATGGAGGATGTGTATCGGGCGATCACCGGTAAACTAACACGGCTAACGGGCCATGATGACTTCATGAGGCGTTGGGCATATCTCGAAGACACTCAAACGAAGAACGGCGAGAACCCCCTCCTAGGTTGGTATAAAAATGCCAGTGTGATGATAACTGTATAACACGGAATACTTTCCCAATTTTTTGAATATACTCGGTGATGAGGTGTATTATTATTGTGCAGCCTTCAAATAATTCCCGGTATAGTAAGTCATAATAACAAATATATGATTTTAATCAAAACATTTCACACTATGGATAGTGAATAGTTATTCATATCCACAATGGACAGCTGATACGAAGATGTTGGATTCAACACCTTGATGATAGTAAAATTATTGACTTAGAGTTCATTATGATAACATTTATTATATTAGGGGAAAGTATGTTACATATTCGGACATCAAGGTATTAAGATATACTAGGTATATAAACATTTTCGTGGACGCTGAACTTTCCCCTTTTCCCTTGCCCGGATATTTATAGGCATTATATACAAAGAAATGTCTAAGTAGATGGAAAGCAAGAACAAATAACAGTTAACAGGCAAACGTGCTAGGGAATACGGGACGAGCGACTACAAGCGGCTATTAACATCACGCTTCTTGGAAGCAGACTCGGCAGCCTCGGCTTCCTCACGCTCAATAGATCTAGCGCGCTTGCGCAACAGCCGACGACGCTCGATGTCATCCTGGTTATAGTACGGATCCATTAGAGTATCGCCATCTCCGTAATTCTGTTCAACATTAGCCAGTTGTCTTGACAAGAGTCAAGTGTATGAAGGTATGGTAGAGTGACTATACTTACATATCCTGCACTGCGCTGGAGATGGGCAGGGGCTTCAACCATCACGTTGGTACGCGGATAGAAGCTAAGAAATCGATCCGTAAGGTCTCTGGATCCTGGAGGGGAAACAGCATCTCCATCTGATGGGGAATGCTGGGGGAGACTACCGGTATCTCTGTCGCTCGACGTGGCATTGAGCGCTTCCTGGTTTAACCGAAGCGCTTGGACGGGAGCACGGTCAGGGAGTGCGTTCCTCTCCCTCGTGACCGGATCGTACGGCCCTTCATGATGGTAGAGGCCGGCCACATTGTCCAGACGATCAATACGGTCTGGCTGAATATGCGGGCTAGGTGTAATTTGTCCGGGGCCTGAGTCTTGCTCTCTCTGCAAGCGAGCGCTGCGCAGTCTCACACTCTCCGGTGAGGCATAACGTTGACGCCGGACAGATGAAGGGCCTTCAGGTTGGTTCAACTGTCGCCCACGCGTGGGTTCATCTTCAGACACAAACGCAAGCACAGCAGGGACAGCGAAGAAGCGACGGCGAGCAGGGATAGCCTTGTGGCACATTTTCGAGCTTTTTCTGCAGCAATAACCCTATTGCCAAGGCTAGAATATGTAGAACAGTTCGCTTTAGGAATATAGGATATAATGTATGAGTCTAGCGTGTTTTTATAGCCAGTGACTAGTAATCAGAGCAGAAGTGGGTATGGATAAGTGTGGAAGAAAATATCTGCGAAGCCAGCTTTATACCTGCCTGGGTGGCATGGTGTCCTGCAAATTTTGCATAACTCTACTGCTCTTGCCCCAAGATGTCATCAACCAAGCCATAGTTCACCTCCGTTGATGTCAGGTAGGGTCGATGGTTGGATGATACAATCGTCTGGTGAGATTTTTTGTAAGATGCATCCATGGATTGGGAAATGTATATCGACAAAAACAACGTCATTGACTTTCCTGACATATGATTGGCTAGGGGGCGCGCCTAGCAAAGCTTAGTCATTAAGGGTCCGAGCCGCAGGTGGGTATCACGTGCATTTTAAGTGATTACTCAGCAGTTAGATTCAACGTCAGTGAAATTCATGAAAGTATCAAAGCAAAGGAAAGAAAGGTAACGTCTATTGAGGTGTTAGCCAAAACCAATGAGAAATAAATATCAACATGATAGAACCACTCAGAGAACCTGCTGTACTAATATTTTGTTTGTTCATCGACACTCGGCCGTAATGGTCTCCGAAAATCCCCCCACATGACTATACCCAAGTCATTGAAATGCTGGGGGGATCATATTCTAAATGTTACCGACTTATCGTCACGGAATTCCTGCTGTTTGAAATAACGTTCACCAGAGCAGCTATTGCGACATGTTAGTGAGGATCATGTCAGACTGGCCACGGTCATATTTTCCTACCTCCAATGAATCAGTCCCATGGCAACGTCCTTGCACCCTTTGGTAAAGGAGCCGGCGAGGATTTCGGGTATTTCGAGATTCTTATTTTCGCCTCCCTTTTGAAACAGGTGTTCTACCACACGTATACCTTTGACTTCGTCTTTTGCCATTTGGAAGCTAGTTTGCATTGCTGTGTCGCAGTCTAGCCCATAGTTCATCATAATGACAGGGATAAGGTTCTCGATTTGGTTGTCTCTCTAGAAGTGGCAAAGGTTAGATGGGAGGCAAGAACGATAATCGAAGAAGAGCAACTAACTGCTTCCTTTCGCATAGATAGCATGTCGTTTGTGCTACTCTTTCGTTTAGCATACTAGCACTCGGAAGGAGCATGCATGAACTTACATATGGACAACATATGATGTTTGTCTCCACAATGCCGCAAATGCTGGATCTTTCAAGTGTTCCATCGAGATATCAATACCGTAGGCGAAACTATGTCGCTTAGTATAGGCCTATGAGCAGGTATAATTCACTAGTCACATACGGGAGAGTGGCCAGCACGGGATAAACCCCTGCCGTAAGGTCTCGCCTTTGCCAGTATTCTGCTAACGAAGGGACCTTTCCTTCGTGGAAAATGGAGTCAATTGTGTCGACGCTAGCTACGTATCGTAGCATCTTGTCGAGGAATACTTCGCGCACATCTGAACAATCCTCCCTGTCAGAATATGATCTGAAGTCTGAAGCTTTTATTCATGCAATAAAAGAAAGAAGAGAAAAGAGAAACATACTTTTGCTACATGTTTTGCGGATGTGTTGGCCAACTTCATTCCAGCAGAGTAACGCCTTTTGTTGTTCCTGGGGAAATTCTGACAAATCCGGTTGTTCCCCGATCTCCAACAGGTGGTGCTGGAAATACTCCTTGCTCTTTTTCAAGTAGCTTGCTACACCTTTTGCATCATAAGTCAAGGATCCACAATCGAACTCTAAAGCCACATATCCTTGGTCAGTTATCATATAGTCCTCTCAATTAGGGGTATACATACGATCGTCCCAAATAAAGTACTACGTCAAATAATTAGCAAGGTTCACAAGTGTCTTCAAGAGTCAAGCGATACTAACCCATGCAAAAGATTTAGCGACTGTGCATAGCTTGTCGAATGATACGTCCGCACAGATAATCGCTGCGAAAATAGTAAAATCGGCCTTTTTCAACTTCATGCAAGTTTGCGGGTCATCAACCCAGCTACTATAGTGAGAAAATGTCTCACATCAATTGAATATATAGAAAAGAGTGCTTACATGTCAAGCCAAGGGTTGATAACTTCGTCACGGGCTCTTGTATACCCTTCATGCAATTTCGGGGACCACTCTGGGAATAAGCTGTACAAGCTTGGGATAGAGACCTTCTGGCCTTTCAGGGCGTTTCGGAACCCCTGATGGGGCAAAAGGGTTTCCGGCGCTGTAGTAGCTTTATTCAAGGCACCCTTTTTATAATGGCTCTTATCAGGTGCACGGATCGCGCCAGTAAGGAACTGGAATATATGACTTTGGTACTGTCAATCACTTATCCACAGACTTTTAGAGAGTAAAGAAAGGACTTGGGGAGGTGCAGATGAGACGTACTACATTGAAGCGAAAAACGTATTCACTGAGTTGACGAAGTAACTGCAGACGTGCTCAACGATCCTTTGCTTGGACGAGGATTGGAAAACAAGGCTGTGGATGAATAAATGGGAAGACGGATATTCTCCCGAGTTCAAAAGGCTTCATCCCCATTTTATAATAAGTCGAGGCAAGGTTATTCATCGGGGTATAACCGCATTGTATGCTTGCATACAGCCATTTTCACCGTCCCTTGCATTATATTTTGCCACAGTACAGAGTAATAATAAACCAATACCGTGATAATAGTCAAGCATAACCGATTATCAGGTATCCACCGCTCATTTTTTGGGCTATGAATCAGCACCAGAACGGCAAATTCAGGAACGACCTGGTTTTCATAGGGTAAACTGATTCATGGCCAGCTGAGTTTCGAAGCGGAAAAGGTAAAGAGTGCAAGCCAAAAATTTAGTTATGCACTCAAAAATTGGCTATTCAGTCGTGTCACTGGTTATGAGGCTGTGTTCGCTCGTCAATAGGGTATTTCCAGCCTAGCATAGCCGATGTTACCGTGTATAGAGTGGCAGCAATAGGATAATAGGTCAACCACCTGTCGTAACTCCTCAATCAGATACAGAAGGGTAAAGCGCATATGTTAGGTCTCCACGTTGTGCACGGTGGCGGGGCAGTCTGGCTGAGAGAGACGTTGAGGTCCAGCTGCGGCTGATAACACGACCACGTAGCGAGGTCGGTAGTTTACTCCTTAAGAACAAGCAATTTCATATGCACCATAGTTAATATGTATACGTCACGAAGTTGATCTGTGCTGTAAAATAACTCGTTAACTGGCGTGGCAGTCACAGCTAGTTTCATCGGAGATTTCCATGGGCCATCGGTAGTTAATGTTATCCGTCGCTAATCCGCTAACTTAACTCGTTGGCTAACTAAACAGAACAGATTTCTGGCTAGGTCTACCGTGCCTGAGTGGCAAACCTATTCACATTTAACAAACAAATCCCTGATTGCCCAATAGGGGCCAGTAGCTATGTCCCTCGTCCAATACTCCGATACAGGGTCTGAAAGCGGATCCGGACAGGAAGACAAGGACAGCAGCGCATCGAGATCGACAAAGAGACGCTGCCGTGAGCCTGGCGGTGTGTCGCAAAGATCCGGAGGACAAGATGCTGCCTCTTTGCCGCCACTGCCTGCTGAATTTCGAGACTTGTACTCGACATCCGCGAGAATCAGCGTGCAAGATGATCCCAGCCTTCACAATGGAAGGACAAGGGCAATTCCCCATGTGGTTGGTAACTGGCCAACTCACATTTACCTAGAGTGTAGGTAGATGTTTCCAGTACCCAAAAATATAAACACAGGATTAGTAGTGACGTGAATATTCCGACCGTTGCTGATTTTTACTGGAGGGTACCCTAATAATACCGAACTAGGAGTCTTATCCAACATTATCAAAGGATGTGAAAGCACAGAAGGGAACGGCGTAGCTATTCATAGCCTCCTTTACAGCGATCTTGGTGCCCAACTACCGCTGCACATCAGCCTTTCCAGGCCTGTGGTACTTTTGACGGAGCAACGAGAATCATTTCTTGACCTTTTTCGTGACTACATCAAAAACTCAAAAATCCAGCCGTAAGTATCCAGCCTTGCGTCGATGATTCTATTGCTTACCCATTCTGCAGGTTTGAAGTCTCTCCACAAAACCTAGCCTGGGTGTCAAATTTTGAAAACACAAGGTGGTTTCTCGTCCTTCGGCTGAACCGCCCCGCAAATAATGGCTTGAACCAATTACTGCGTCTTTCAAATAGCAGTCTTGCATGCTTCGGTCAACCACCCTTATATGAGAGTCCTGGTGGTACGCAAAAACGAAAACACGGGAGGCAAGCAGGACACCAGCGTAACCCATCTTCATCTACTGGTTCTATTGATGCCGATTATACCAGCTGTTTCCATATTTCAATCGCTTGGACGCTCGAAGAGCCTTCTGATGACGAGAAGGAGCGACTTACATCTATAGAGTTACCAGCTCGTGACCTTATAATCAAATTCAATAATGTCAAAGTAAAAGTCGGGAATCAAATACACGGTGAAGCGCTTCTAACCTCGATCGCTGATGGAGCAGGCCTTGAGGGTGTCTAGGCAGGGGAGACTCTGGAGCAGCACGCATCGGCTCGTACTGGGATTTAAAATTATAAGGGGTTACAGGACCCTTATAAATGTATGACTACCACGATGAAGTCCATGAGCTGCCCAACCACATGCACTCAAAATCGGGCATGTACTTGCTTTTCCTAAAATTTAGTATTCTGAGTGTAGGCTTCTAGTATCGCTAGTGGTCCGAATTACTGAATAGACTGTCATACTTGAGTTTCCCGAAGCCGCAAGAATAGGATGACTGATGTGTTTTTATACGCGTCGGCCCGATAGGCGGGTTTATACTTTTCCGCGATTTAGAGGTATCACGTGATATTACACGCCAAGGCCGAGACCTTATTCTGACCTCATCCCTGCTGCTGGCCTCTAGAATTCACAACAAGCACACGAGGCGAATGAGCAGCTAAAGAGTCCATCTCGCGAGCTCAAGGTGCCTACCAAATACTAGTAATGACTGCGAATATACCCATCGTCACATGTGTATGTCGTTCAAAGGACTCCCTGTGTCAATCTTAGCTTAACTAATCTTTCACTAGGATGATCTATCTGCTTTCCATGCAAAACATTTCACTACCCAGGACTTCAACCCAACTGTAGCCTCTGACTTCTTTGCAAGCTCTTTCAATAACACGGAAGCTCAATCGACGGACAATGATGACTTATATGATGACCGCTTGGGGTATTACCTCGATGGCGTGAAAAGAACACTCACGGAGGAACAGGTTCAAATATTTCGTCACAGCGAGATCCAGGCTCTTCTTCGCCAGCGGCAACTAGAAAAGGAGTCTTCTAGTAATAATGGAAGCACTACATCGAACACGCGCGAAGAAGAAAAGTGTGATAAACCCAATAACGCGTCTTCCAATGCTCGAGATGTAATAGACCAAGATTTGGGAAAGCTCAAACCACCTAAACAACCAAATCACACAAATCAAACCATTACAACCCCAGATACCACGACACAAACTACTTTGAATAAAGTAATACCAAACGAAAAACCTCGGGTGGAGACACCACAGGTTCTCAAACCACCAACCGAGTTTCGACGACGAATTATCTGTTATGAAGATGCATGAAAGGAACGAGAATGAGAAGTGTCTGCTTTGACTTCTTAGAATGAGCTTGATATCCGTCGACTTACTCCCCTCTCTCGGGGATGTTCACCCAGAGTGGTCGTCTCCTTCCGAATAGAGAGATTAGCTGCATTCGTGGATTTCAAGGCAGAAATATTCAGGTAATTGATGGATTTGTAAGTTCTTCTAACAATTTTTTATTCCTCGATGCATAATATGATGAAATCCTTCGTATCGTCATCCTTAGTCGTATGCCTTGTCACCGGCTCTTTGTTGTTGTCTCTGACAGCTCAAAGCACTGGATCATACGAGGCGATGACGAGACATAATCTTCTCTCTGAAATCACAAATCACTCCGGTTCACATACACAACGAATAGACGAGACCCTTGCTAACCGCATTACTGCTCAGCAGGATAGGTTAAAAGTGAAAACATAAAGGAAGTTTCACTCGGTGTAAAAAGACGTCAATAGAACAAAACAACTATGACTTGTGTTATCACACAAAAACTCAATACAACGTCGAGCCCGTTCGCATAAATACCCCAGCTGGGGTCACTAGATGCTCTGCTGGATCATGAACTTTAGAATGGTGTTCTGGTCAAGAACTCGTTATCTGTTTCCGCACCAAGATTAGTTTCTTCCCCGTTCCCTTGGTTTTCGCGCTCCAAATCAAAAAGTCAAAAGGCATAGCTTAAAAACTTACAAGAAGCTATCAGTGGGCTAGCTCTTCCGGGTCAAGACCGTGAAACCTCAGCCAGTTGTCAAGATGACGCGTAAAGGCGCTATCCTCGTGAGATCTTGCAAACTCGTTCAGGTCGAGGCTTTCCTGGAGCTGGTCCGCGTCATCCTCTCCCGAATTATTAGCAGGCTCCTCAGACGGTGCTTCAGTGAAATCACGTCTTATATCTCCCGGTTCTGCCTTGTCCTGGGATTTGGCCACGGAGTCATCCAGCTTCTCTATAGCCTTGTTTAACGACTCCAACCTAATTGATAATACCATGGTTAGCATCGATGACAACGCGTCATACACGCTATATCACCGAAGGAAACCTACGTTTTTCTCTTTTCTTCTTCCTCCGCCGCCCACTTCTCTCCACCATTGAGCGGAACTCCCATGGCTTTTTATGTTTTTCCTTTCGGGACAAGTCTTTGTTTATTGGTGTTGGTTGAGATGTCAGATCTTTCAAAGAATCAAAGAGCAAGAGGTGCAACCTTATGTTTTTGGGAAGTCTTGGGATAAGGTGAAGCTGTGCAGTGGATGAATGAAGAGGAACAAAGACAGTTAAGAAACAAAAAGATGGGCATTTAAGTACATCTTTGATAGATGGACGAGACTAGGCTGCCGAGCCTCTGTCACACACCCCTGATGTTCACATAAATGCCTGACTCTTAAGTGCAGGTAGTTTGACTCTTTACTGAGAACAAAAGCCAAAGGGGCTCATTGTAGTGTGGACTACGCATTTTTAATTGCTCAGGCCTTTCTAGCATACTACAGTGGCGGTCTATCCCATCGATCTTTATTATTTGATTGGTGCGGAGAGCATTATCCGCCCTGTACACAGATCATATTTCCACTGGGCTTATACTGCCCTTGTTTTAATGCTTGGTTTTATAAGGGCAATGTCATAGGGCGAACAGGTCCGTACAGACTGTCTTGATTTGCCCCATAGGGGGATGTACTGCTGCATAAACTCCAACTTTAACGGGCGCCTTCCTGCAAGGCTTGATATTTTGTGATCTCAGTCTTCAGGTCTCGGAACTTCAGCAAGAGATGCCGCAACAACATAAGCGATTATTGCCTCTGATTATTATCAAGAAATCGCCGCCAAGAAGGATCCGGAAAATCCCACAGGACATGAACTAGTCAGTGAACTGGAACTCGATCTCGGGATTCCGAAAACACGGATGCAAAGTATGCGATCGAGACTTTAAATGGACCACATGTGCGACAACGCCCACGAGCCTGATGGGACGCTGGCTCCCGTCTCCCCGGAACAACAATAACGAACTCTGGGGAACGGGGAGGGCAAACGACATGCATATCATATTTGTTTTTCTCGCGGAACGCCTCTGCTGCTTCCGGCGGCCTCGCCTCTTAGTTCACTACCACACTGCTGGAGTGGCTTGTCTACATACACTCACTGGGGAGATGGCGATGTGTTTCTCCCTTACAGCTCATCAGGGCACACTCGTTAGACCATCACTCCGCACTCCAGACGTTATTGTCAGAGGTTAACGGTGCGTTCGTCTCATCTCTGATCACTGTGGGGCCTGGGATGCGGAAAGAACCGTTCAGGGGCAGGTGGTGGATATCAGACTAAAAGAGAGGAGTCAAGTTTATTATTTTCCGAACGATAATAAGAGCTATCCAGCAAACTTCAAGCCAAACCCAGCAACCTAATCTCAACCTCCAACTAATGTACAAATACACGAACATTGGACGTCGTCCAAGCCTAGGGCGGGCTGCCACGAGCATCGTCCTAAGCAATTGGGCTCGATGTCTGGTAATGGTCCTATTGGTAGATCCGGGATCCTGGTGTGATTCCCCGGAAATTAATTCGGACTCTGCAGCCCTTCGTCGCCGTTTCAGGGCCTTCGTCAAGCATCTGCACCCTCATTGCCTGCTTCGACCTCGTTCTTCTCATTGGGACTGTTGTCAGGCTCATCGCCAGGCTGTTGTTTATCTTCAGCTGTAGGCATCTTCAACTCTTGTCCATAGGCCTCTGGAAAGCAGAAAATGTACGAGCTTGTTAAGTCAAGCTTGCGTCGTTTTCTAGGAGGGCTGGCCATATCAGAAGGATCGGATCTCGGAAGCATGCCATTCGTGGTCCCAGTCTTCGAGTAGCCATTCCTTGTGTCTTGATATAAATTATTAGCTCGAGACGACACAACTTTTCGTACAGCTTTCTAGGAGCCTAGTTTCTCACTATCTGCTGGCAACTCTTCCAGGAGATTGCTTCCCGATGGCTTCCTGCTGTCAGAGCCATTACCCAAGGTTGCAAACCGCTCTTGCGTAGCGCTGTGGGCCGAAATGTTAACTATTAGCAACCACTTGTGTCTTTATACCATAGTTTAGGAGAGAACCAGACCTTGCAACACCATTGCCTTGCAATATACGTGGATCAGGCGGAGGGCTTCCATGGTGAACCTCCATAGAACTCGTTGGGCTTGGAATATCAGAATTCATTTTCGGCGAGCAATCTGGTGTAGAAGAATGAGAAAGGCAGCTCGTGTCTTATGCTGGAGAAAGGAAGAGGAAAATATTGACCGTCCTGCCAGCCAATTCCAATTCTGGATGAGGTCGAGGAGTGTCCATCTATTTATCCCCGGGAGACTCCATTATCTCTGAACGAGGACTCTGTTTTGGGAGAAGAAGAAAAGACAATAGCACCGACCGTCGCCACAAGTTCTCTCCTCCTTTTCCAGAAGACTTCATCGTCCATCAGGTTTGGCTTGAATACACAGAGCTCAAAAGAAAGAAAAAAAAAAAAAAAAAAAAAAACACACCAAAAAAAAAAAAAAATTGGGCGAGCGGATGCAGGACGTTTGAGCCAAACCACAATCCATGCTCCAATATCCTCCTACAACGGGCCTGCAGCAGTGGAAAAGACTGATAATCCCGTTCGGTTTTCTTTCTTTTCTTTTCTTGTTAACTCGATGAAGCTATCTGCCAAATCTTGACTGGATTCACACCGCCTTTCGTTTCATCAGCTTGATACTTGATAAGCCGGACATGGCCGTCGAAATATCGAAGAGCAATAGCCGGTTGATCTGAGCTCGGACGGCTGATCTCGATTATATTTTTCCATTTTAACCCAGAATGGAAGTACAAGTGCAGCTCCTCACAACTGCAAACTCTTTTTACTCGGAATTGGTGTGACGTGGAGCTTAATACAATAGGAATGTTCTCTCAAGATGCTGTGAATTTACGTTCAGACCGTTTTGGCTTTTATGCGCTAACTAGTGCCTTTCTGGAGGCGATTTGTGTTTTGCGAAATGACAATGACAGGCATGCATGTGTGCTTGTGCAAGCCCAGGCCGGGAAAGAGAGCTACGAGGATCACCCACCCTCCCACCCACCAGAAGGCGCGCGGTATTGGTTAGCCATTGATTCCCTGGACTTCGATATTCACTGCTGCAGTGCAAACCAGTATTGTCAAGAAAGTTTATTCAGGCTCAGAATAATGCATCCCCTCTGCCCTCCTGCACACCATTCTTTTTCTGAAACAAAATTTACTCAAACCATGTCTGCTCGACGTGCTCATACAAAAAACAGTCGATACGTTGCACTTTTCGCACTGCTTTGAAAATTCTGATTTGCACATCTAGAGGAAATGTGACATGCCATATCCTGACCGGGAGAAAAAGAAACAAACAAGTTGTATACCTGCCAACGGGGCGTTACCATGTCAGTCGCCGAACTTGTCTTTCTGTGGGGGTCCCTCAGTTACGGCTATATTTGATTGGCGGAGCATTCGACGGCTGCACGATTTGACACTTAGGGCAATGTCATGTCATTCATACTCTCACCTCGATAAGGTACCAAGGCGACCAAGGCGATATTGGGGGAAGAAGGGGGGAGTCGCCCCCTCGCCAGACAATATACTTGCTTATGCTACCTTTCCCTTCCGTCTCGATATATAACGACCAGTCATTGAGGCCAAGTTCCAACTCACCTATCTCAGACTTGTTGTGCTTCTTCACAGGAGAGCGAGCAGAGATAGATGGTAAGCGAAGCATGGAAGTGCTACGCCCTACCCATGATGAAATCACCATGAAAGCCATGCGGATATACTAGCAGCCAGGCTGGATCATGATAGAGAAGGAGCAAACTAACGGAACGACCAGTTTCCTATCTTTGGGGGATATTTTGATCGTTACGATGAAAACAGGATCAGACCTTTTCCCTCACCCTTACTTCTGCCCAGCGCCGAAGTCATTTGGGAATGCTTCGTTTTTGGAGTCAAAAGATGACAAGAGAAAGCTTTTGAATCTTTGCTGCCTGCGGATGCTGCATGAGAGTGGAGCCATGACATTTTTCCCGCCATTTGCGACTGAAGTACTCCGTACCTACGATATTAGTTACGGACCCACCAAAAAATAAAAATAAAAATAAAATTAAAGGAAAAAGGAAAGTCCCGGGTGAAAAAAAGAAAAACGGGCAAGCTACAGTCACTGACCAGTCAGCTTGAGAGAAGTCAGAGCCTGGATCTGTAACGGGGTCAGGTTCCAGCTCCAGGCCATCATAGGATGGTTGTTAGAGGGGAAAAGCAGCATCCCAGGCCTGACAGCACCGCTCCCCTGGGGACGTCTGCGTAACTTACCTAGTAACTGGTTGAAGGGGTGGCTTTAGTTAACGTTTTACAGCTCCTCAGATGACCAAAAGATACGGTCATTCTGGTGTTGGGAAATGGGCGCAGAACCGTTGCTTCGACTCTCCATTTTCCCTGTTGCATGCTTATGTTGCTGCAAGGGGAAAGCTTGAACTACCCCTATTTTGCGGGATCGATGCTCGTGGGGAGTAAGACGAAGAAAGACGCAGCGAGACGGCACATGATAATGGACGGATTCCATGCGGGTACAAGTGGTTAGCCAGAGGACCAGATCGTCTCTCATTAAATGAAACTGAGTTGGAGGGGTCATGATGTGCTGCTCGGATGCAGAGCAAAGTTCGATGGCGCAGTTCCCCCATGGGCAGCCGACCGAGCTGCGAGCGATGCCGGCGGAGTGGCCGTCCCTATTCTATGGGAACCGCAGAGGCGTACAGCCATAGAGCAAAAAGTCTTTCCATGATACCCACATAAATCCTCCTGGAGTGGAAGGGCATGTAGGCGGGAGAATTTTGATCGTCCGTCTCGTACTCCGTACGTTGAAGGAGTTCTCTCTCCTTGCTCATCTCTCCTGCATATGCGCTACTAACAAGGATCTGCAAGGTTTGAAGCCTTGTGAGCGAAGCAACTTGACAGCTCAGCGCGTAACTCACCAGTTGGCGGCCCCAGCGATTTCGTATTCGCACCCAGACGCTCTTCCAGATTCTCTTGATTGAAAGAGGAAAAACAAGGGAAATTAAATCGGTCGAATGAAAAAGGAGGTCAAAAGAATTAAAATATACTACCTCCTTCAATAAACGAATGCATGGACAACGCACCCTAGAAGGTGGAAGAAATACATCGCCGGCTTCGTGGCTTCCCGACTTTCTGACTTTCTATGGACTACCCTTACCGAGTACCCTAGTTGCAACTCTCTTATACCCAGATTGGTGTGAAAGTTGCTCCCAACTCTAGTTTACTTTAGGACGAGGCTAAAGTAGTAGGGAGTTCTAATTGTATGTCAAAGATAACTAACGACTATTTCTGTTAGGCAGCTTGATAACTACTACTATTCACTGCCAGAGAATTTGGCGAGGTCTCACTGTCCCTGAGCTCCCCTATAACTACCTAACCGCCAACGGAGCTTTGGACTCACATCTCCACCCTGTCTGGAAGCTAGGTGTATTTGGGCGGCGCCAATCGGTAGTATGGGCCGCTTCGGCACCTAATTCCCATCGCTTCCATTCAGGTGGTTTTGTCAGATTGGACGTAGTAGCTGGGGGGCTGGCCTGGGGTGGGTTCATCAAGATCGTCTCGGCGGTGACGCATATGGAATGCAATGGATGACCATAACCTTGCATGAATATTGCAACCTCTTTCACAACCTGGTCTTTGAATTGTTCAAGCGGGCTAACTTGTGTCATGTGTAGATATCGTGATGACATCTTTCATTTCGTAGGATAACGGCCATAGACTTTAAATTCGGCTCGCAAAGCGGCTTGCGTTATTCAATAACCTTCATAATGGCTCGTATGTTTCTATTTCTATCCAGCCTGACCGATAATGGTCAACATCTGAGACTGAATCCAGTGGACTTGGTTGGTCCACTCTGAGTTTCCTTGCAAATCGATGACTTGTTAACCTCTAATAACCAGGGGTTAGAATGTGATAAATAGCATCTCGCCAGAGTCCATGGATGACTGTCTGCTTGACCCCTGGGCGAGGGGCTTTTTTTCATATAACTAACGTAATAGAAACATGCTGTCAGGCTGCTGGTCAAACATGGCGAGCCTGCTGATTGGCGACAGGGGGAGCAACCTGTTAGTTTTTCTTCTTTGCCAGGTCGCTAGATCACCAACGAGGGCATAGTGATTCTGGAACACCAAGCAGAACAGCGCTGGGCCCCTTGGTATACGGGTAACTCTTACCAGTCCAGCCTTGCAGAGGTCGTAGGGCCATAGAGCGGCGCGGTCTTGAGCACACTTGAAGATCCATTCGTCAGAGAGATTGACATTACCTAGAGGCCAGCTATGTGGACCAACGGGGTCCCAAAGGTCCAGAACTCTGGTCCATGATTTGGTCATTTCGATAGCCTCTCTTGCATTCTTGCGAGTCCATCTAATGGACCTGACAATGAAGACAACGATCTGACTTTCCTTAGATCAAAAGACTGGAATAGAATCTGTCAACTTGCTAGTCATGAGCAGCAGAGAGTCGTTATGTGTCTTCGACAGCACGAGGATGAAACTTGCAGGTTTCTTCCTTTTCCCACAACGCCCGAATCCATTTATAAAGGGTGATGTGCGAGTGAATGATGCTAGTTAGCCGTGAAGGCTAAGCATTAACTGAAGAGAGTGACCTAGCTTGAGTCAGTCACTTCCAGCATTCACTCGTTGACTTGCCTCCAGCGTGCAGGATATCAACCAATCTACACAACTGCCCGTTGCGAAAGCAGGACTCTGTACGCAGAGATTCTCCGGAAAAAGTCCCAGGGTAGCGGCATGAGGGGGTCAGTGGTGTTGAGATATTTTCCTGGTCAATAGAAATAGCTGATATTCTCCGACTCGAGCATGAGTCGGGGATATTTGGTCCTCATTGGCTATTCCAGGATAACTACCCCTGGCTTGCGTCCATCCTAGACTATCGTGAAGCCGCATAAAAAAGTCTACCAAATTCGACGACCTTACATGGAAAGGTACATCACCTGCCTGTATAGAAGCTGTAAAATATATAGCTATCACACCGAAATTTGATCTGCATCAATAGCAAGACGTAAACTAAACGAACAGCAATGCAAGAGTGGCCGTTGATGATAGGAATCTATAAATGCATCTGCATCTAGATAAGAGGAGCCGCCGTATACGCTGCCTAGGCGGCTGCAGTCATATGGCCCTCTGATCTTAGTCCAGCATAATCCTTCCCGTCCCTCACTTAATGCCAGCTGCCAGCTTGTAGGGTATACATTGAACACGCCTATTCATATACGTACATACATAATACAGAGGACAGGAAACGATTGAAAATACAGATACATCACCGGTTTCCTGGCTTCCCATCCTCTCTCCTCATCCGCCTGTTCCTCCTCTGAGCGGCCCGGATGGCCTCTGGGGTGAGGATCTCATCAGGGAGCCGGAAAGAGGCTTCCTCAATTTCCGGCAAGGGTTTCCCAAATGCCATTCGCGTTCGGCCTCGCTTGTGCTTTTTGAGAGCTGCTTCTCGAAGATGAGGTTTGGAGAAGAATGATAGGAAAGGTCCTGTCGGCCAAGGATTGGGCTCGATGTATGTTGCTACGGGCTTTGAAGAATCCAGACCCTTGTTTCCTGTTGGCTGCTGTTGAGGCTGCGTTTTGGATTGCTTAACTGGTTGAGAGGTTTGATTGCTCTTTCGAATCTTCAGTTTTTTGTTTTTGGTGGCTGATATTACCTCCTGGTAGAGCTGGTGTGCAGCTAGACGGTCAACGTCGTCCGGGTCTGGGAGACTACCAATTGCCGTGGTTGATGTCCGTTCAGAGCTTCCCTCAACTATGCCACTTTCATCTTCGTCCTCGCCTTCGTTTTGTTCTTCATCATCATCATCTTCTTCTTCTTCCTCCTCCTCGGCTTCGTCTTCATCTTCGTTCTCGTTTTCTTCCTGCGAGTCTGACTGCTCGTCTTCTTCCGCCTGCAGTGCCTGTTCCCGCTCAATTCGCCTTCGCTTTTCCTCCTCTTTCCATGCTCGGAATTTTTCAAGCAAAGCAGTGACTTCTCCAACGAAATAGTCTCGTTTAGGCTCGTACAGCTTCTTTTCACTGTCGGTGACTCCGTTGATTCCCATGACCCGGAGCCAGTCGTGACCCTGTAGCTCGCCTAGTAAGTGGTCTAGTTGGGTCTTTTCATATTGAGCTCGCTCCTTTTCAAGGTTGCGCAGCTGCTTCTCTTGCCTTTCAAGCCTCCTGTGAGCTTTGAAAAAGGTATCTTCATCCAACAGGTCTTTACCATCAGCTCCTTCGAATGATCCAACATCAACGACTTCTGCGTTGTGTAAATTTTCAAGGGGATTCTGTGGCAGTGAAGAAGATTTTAGTTCTTCATGGTCTAGTGTTACTGGTTCAGCGAGGTCATCCACCAGGGTAACTGTCGTCTCGGCACAGAGGAACTCTAAAAGTTGATGCGTTAGCATGCAAGCAACCAGACGGTATATACCAAGCAAAACATATTACCTACCTTGTTTTGCTGGTTCCAAGCTAAGGATCTGTTCATAATTGGGGAAATACATGGCCAATTCACTCTTGGACGGCCGGGTGCCTCCATCATGAGACCGCAGGGACCTCTTTTCCCCTCCGGCTGGAGTTGTGGCAGTGGGCCCCTGCGGTGTTTTCAGATGAACTTCATTCTTAGTAGTAGCTTCAACACCCTGCATATCAACATCTTCTCCGCCACCCGGAGCTCTCTGGACAAGGGGCATATCTCCTTCATCCACCTGTATAGATCGAGGATGTCTCAACGAAGCCCTCGTTGGACGGACTAACGTCGAGTCACTGGTCCTGGTGGCAGAATTGGTTGTAGCATCCGGTTTAGCGAACGATAGACAGCCACCTGCGCTGGTTCCAGGACTGTCATCGCCGTTCCTGGGACTTCTGATGGTCACCAATTGCGTCTGTATGTGCCGCTGGGGTAGAGAGTGAGGCCGTGCAACGACGCTGGACTGGCCCTGAGCATCTCTGGCGCGCAGAGGGAGCTGCCCAGACACCTGGGGCGGGGAATGGTGTAGCTTTGTTCGTTTTGGCGGCGGCTCGTCGTGGGCGTAGATAACCTGGTGTGTGTTTGCATGGGTGTGTTCCTGGTGCGGAGGAAGTACCGGGGAGGCAGAGGTCGGCGGTGGCGGTTCGGCGAAGCCTGGCGGCGCCTGGTCGTGTTGCTGCTGGTGTTGCTGATGATGCTGGCGCTGTGTCCTGGTTCGCGTACTGCACGACGGCGGAGATGTCACGGTGCGAGTCATCATTTGGTTCGTGGTCCAAGGGGGCAAAAATCTGTGGCTAGACAACAAGCACCATGGCGGCAGAGCGGAAGAGAGGAGAACGAGCTCCCTGGTATGGGCTCTCGACGGCTATCCCTCGCACTGTTCCCGTGGGGCCAGCATGCACCTACGGCGTTTTTATTGTATTCGCGTCCTGGCAGCTTGTCCGCTGCGAAAAAAAATGACCTCGCCGTCGCCTCTTTTTCTTGACTATCTCGAAGTCGCGGTTGCTGCCCTGGAGTTAGGTTGGTTATCATATTACGATGTATACACCTTGTATCTTTCAACTTTGATGTGTATCAGTGTATTAGTACGGTATATTCCGCTGACTAATCGATAAAGTGAAGAAGGAATCTACAAAATGCGAAAAAATGTCTGCAAAAAGAGGATAATTCATGTCTTTTTCTCCTTGAAATAGTCTATTCTGATAGTGAATGTCCGGAATGACATGCAGTGAGGCCAGACAGAAGCCTGTTGTCGGCGCGGCTAATGCTATCGAAGTTGCAGGAACCGACTAGTTAATGGCATGGCAGCTACTCCGTACCCTTGGGCGGCTTAACCGAAGCTCGCCACTGGAGGCTGATTTAAACTACTGGGGAATCCCTGAGCTCTTATGCAATTTGGACAGGACTGGTTGTTTACGGTATTGCTGGTATTTTAAAAAGCTTTATCAAGGCTAAGATATAAACCCAGAATGACACAGGGTGCATACTCCAAGGGCTTGTACCAAATCCTGTTTGGTGCCTGTGATTAACCACGACTTGTCTAAGTAATAATAGGGGCTGGGAGTTATGAGACTAGGCGGAGTGAGTAAAAAGGGTATTTTTAAGAATAGGAGATCCAGAAAACTCTGGGTTCAGTAAAACGCAGCTAATCGAGGTCAGAAAACGTGCCGCAGGCGACAAGTATAGTTCCGGTACGCAAGTACTCACTTTAAGAAATAGGCAAGGCCCTGTCGTCTTGTTTCGAGGAACTTTGCGTTGAATTTAACTAGATTATTCATTAACTTAAGAGCCGAGATGAGTGTCTTGCGTAGGTAGAACATACATAATGCGCTCTTAGGCGGCAAAACTGGCAAGGACTTCTTGCAATGGGGATATGCCTCCGCAAGCTTGCATCGAAGGTCTACAAACTGGGAGTACCTATATTAATGGACGTAAGTTAATGCTAGGTGTTATGCTGTAGCCTAAACGTGCAGATGGACACAAACCTCATCCGAACCACCATGGATGCTCCCTAGACATTCTAAGCATCAGTACCGAAGTGCTCCGTGCTTTCAGAGGAGAGAAACCGGGGACACACCTCCAGAGTCTGAATGTTACATATCCATACGACATACGCCCCGATTCCCGACTGCCCCTTGACAACGGCATAGTTGTCGATGGTTACGTTTTTGGCCCAAAGCCCCTTGCTTTTATCGCATGAGGGGTCCTCGCTATGATCCTCTAGCGTTATCAGACCACTGGACCGGTCCAGGGAGGTGTGAGATGCATGTGAGATATTGCGCGAGTGCTTCCAGTAAGGCGGGGTAGCTGTCTGCGGGTTTGACTGAGGCGTTCCGGCGCGGGGAGCGGAAGCTGTCTCAGCGCCTATGGAATCCACATGGAGTGGCTGGGGAAGCATCGCGGTTTGCGCGCGAGGCGATCCGACCGGCTCCATCCATCAGAGTATCAGAGTCCGGCTGGTTTCGAGGATTTATACTGCGCCCGGATAGAGTCGTTTTCTTCAAAGGAAAGTGAGTGAGTGTATGAGAGGGTGGTAGAGCACTGTTTCCGGGTATGCGGGAAAGGCCGGCTTTCGAAAGCGTTTAAAAGAGCTAACTATACATGAGACAGCATGCTTAGCGAAGGCTGGTACACTGACGTGGAGGGTGCACCGTGTGACTTATCAATGCGTGTCTCAAATTCACACATGGAGAGATTGCATGGGGTGAGACAAGACCGGGAAGCTTTAGGATAGGGGGTGTACGAGGTCATCCGCAGTCCATGGGGGGCGAATGACAGCAGCTCTACCGATAGTTGAACATACCTAAAAAGAAACACACTAATAACTTCGGTTGATGGAGAGAGGGTATGGGGCGACGACAGGGAGGAGTTCTGCTGGAGATTAGCAGATTGGGGGAGAGGTTGGTTGGGTTTGACGTTTTCCCTCTGGAGAACTGCGTGAAGAGCGACGCAGCCAAGGCCTAGTGCCACCTCGGCTGGTCGCTAGTTAGGTCCCCATAACCTTGCAGATCCACGTCTGATCTCGAGAAAGCTCAACAAGCTCAACACCACCTCGTCCTTGAGTATTACACCGCGCACCAGCCCTTTTCTACTCTTTTTTGATGGATATAAAAGCTGCAACACCTCCGTCGTCTTCATCTTCAGCTTCAACGTCTGTTTTTAGGCTTTTAAGCTTATCTAAAAATAAAAATAAGCAACGTCGAGGATGACATAAGTTACATCCAAAAAGGGAATAGTTTGTCTTGGCACTAAGTTTGCCCGCAAAGTGAGCGCGCTAGTCCCAAATAGGCTTAACCTAGCCGATCCCATGGCCATGCAACTGTCCAATCACGGCTAGCCTCGAACTTTTTAATATTTGTTTGTCTCAATTACCTTTTTTAGGCTTGGAGAGAGCAAGGGGCAGAAGAGCGAGGAGCAGGAACTTCTCGCGCTTTCTCGTCCCCTTTTTTTTCTTCTTCTCCTTTCTCTCCGTCTGCTTCTTATCTTCTCCATCTCTCGCTTTTCAGTCGCCATCAGCTCTGCCATTCTTTGCCCCAGTCTCTCGCTCTTGTTGATTAGTTGCTTTTCTCGCACGTGTGGACACTTATCAGCCTGGTACCTTCTGCTGCCATATCTGTCATACCCCAGGTACGTCCACGAGGATTGTTACGCATGTACCCCGTCGACAGTTTTCACAAGCACCCGGTTCCTCGACTGTGGAATCTCATATCATATATCTTCCTGTCAGCGGAGATATTTAGAGTCATGTTCTTTTGCTAACTAACTACCTAGCACTAGCTACTGTCGCCATGTTCTTCCCAAAAGCTCTTCTCGCAGCCGTTGCTGTTGCTCGCCTAGCCTCTGCACAGGTCGTTAACCCAGATGATGTGGACAAAGCTACCAGACGTCAGTAAATCTGTGTGATCTGTCGAGTCTTGAAATATCACCAGGCTAACTCTTGCTGTACAGAACAATGGTGTTTGGCTCAGCAAACCTCATGTCCTCTTATCTGCCTCCAGCTCCCAGGGACCTCAGAGACTCCAGCAGCAAACGACTGTGATCCTGTATGCGCTCCTTGCCTCGTCTCCGGAGAGAATACAGGAATAGTAGCTAACCCGCATAATTAGGACACTCTTGTTTTTGACTGCACCTGCAGCAATGGCAAGACCCCCAACGCAACCGAATACTCTCAGACCATCCCATACTTTCTCTGCACAGAATCCAACAACCTATGTGTCAAGAACTGCAATGGCGACCATGCTTGCCAGTCCGCCTGTCGTCAAGACCACCCATGCGGTGCTCAGAGTCCCACTCCACCAAACTCCACCGCTAAGCCTACCATGACAGCCACCCAGACTTCCAGTACTTCTGCTACCAGCGGTGCCGTCTACACTGGATTCGGCGACGGGTCTGCTTCTGCTACCGACGAGCCAAAGAAGGGTATGGCAAGCCCCCAGGCTCTCCTGAATGTCGGCCAGATGTATGGAATGGCTGTCGTGGCAACCGGTTTCCTTGCTGGATTTGCTCTTCTCCTATAAGTCATGAAATAGTCTGTGTGAAATGACCTAAAGGATATCCGCAATGTATACATGAGCTCTTTTCCTTTCTCCGGACCTTAGATCCTTCTGTTTATTAATATCTTTTAATGGAATATCACTGGGCGCGGTTAGGGTGTTATCCGGGGTTCATTGTTGATAACTTCCGTTGTAACGCCTGCCTTGGGTCTGATTTCACACTCATCCTCGTCTCTTTTCTTGAGCGACGTTGTTGATAATTTTCTTTTTCTGTTTGGACGACGGTTTTAGCCCATCTCCGCACGGATGCCTTTGCGGCCCAAATATACATAATGCTTATTAGCTTAATTTGACACCTGTCTACATTTCTTGCCATGATAAAAGAACGTCGGCAACCCAAAGCATGTGTATCACTACCTGTTCTGTCGAAACCCAACCTAACATAACGCCATGCTAATAGATAAGTTTGCATAAAGCATCCAGAATAACTTTTTTTCTCCATCTCTCGAAATCAGCACACTCAACACAATCAGACAAACTACTCTTTCTTCGGTCGCTTGTGACTGATATCTTCATCTTCTAAAATCTCATCTGATTCCATACCTCCCATCTCCTCATCCTCGTCCTCATCGTCGATACCCGCTCGTCGCTTGAGACCCTTCATCTTTCTAGTCTGCAAGTCACTCAAATCCTGGCGACCAAGATGTACTCGTCCAATCTTATCGCCAATGCTGTCCATACCAATATTCTTCTTCGTTTTCTCCATATCCTGTGGCCTCTTCCCTTGTTTCATCGCCGTCTTCATGGTGTCCTCATCAGCTTCTCTGACTCTACCGATTCTAAAATCAAACTTTGGTCCAACTTCTTCTAGCTCCACGCGAGGCAACTTATGACCGCTCCTCCTGGTTCGGATCTTGTACCACCGCAAATGAATGGCCGGCAAGGAGTTGTTGGTAGCTGAAAGACCACTGTCTTGGGGCTCCTCAGCAGCAACCATGAGAATGTACTGCAATCCTTCAACGTCTATCTTTTCGGTCTCTTCACCCTTGAAAATATCCAAAAACATGCTCTTGAGCATCTTGAAGACTCCGGAGGTCTCGTCGGCCCATATAGTTCCCGAGAAAAGAATCATGGGTTTCATACCCACGCCAACATTGAGCTGGAAAGCAGATTTGGCATTCTTTTGTGCCGCAGCGTCGGCTTCCATCTCAGCTTGTGTTCCTAGCAGTAGTAGCTCGCACATGTCGAGCACTTTGGAATCATATATACGTAGTATGGTAATGCAGTTTGGCCTCTTCTTGTTGCTGCTGCCATAAATAGCGATGCCACACTCATTCTTTGTGGCTAGAAACTCAAGGCTCTCCGTGTTCTCGAATGGGTGAATGTTTTCGTTCTTCTTGTGGAACAGAACAGAGTGAGGTTTTGTGAGCGAGTGGAAGGTTTTTAGCACTGTATGGAGCGGTAAAGGACATTTTGGACCGTGGAGCAGGAGTGTTTGCTTTGGAGGCTCAATCACTTGCGGTTCTCTGGCCTTGAGAATGCGCCGCGTTCGGGCATTCCGTGGTACCCTGATCAATGTTAGTATTCAAGTTACAACAGAAACATAGTAGTAAAATGAAATGGTTATACTTACACTTCTCGCAGCATTTTGTCAGTGAATTGTATTCAAATTGTCGAGAAAACGGCCTGTTCTATGCGCAGTTGAATTAATAGGTCTTGTTCTTGTGAAGCACCTTTTTTTTTTTCCCCTATCAAAAGCTTCCTCAAAATTTTGAATTTTGATGCCAAGATTTCGCCCATTAAACTTTTTGGCTTTCCAGGATTTTGGTTTATCCGTATCACGTGGAGATAAGATCATCAGATAACGACTATCGATGTCCGCCAACCTTTATGCATCGGATTGAGGAAAAGCACCTAAGTTAGGGGAAATTTGGCACAGATAGATACCTAAGGAGCATAGTATATTGCTTATAGAAGTAGTAAGAGGTGGGTATACTTGTTGAGACTGTGATTTTTCGAAGAAACCGTAGCAAGGCACGGAAAATTGAAAAGAGTCGGTGACTTGTAGATTAAAGCCCAGCGTACGGAATACAATGAAGCGAGGAGCTAGAGCCTATAACCGAGCTGCGTGCTGAGTGCGTATATAAGTTGAGGCGATGTAGAATCGTATTGCGTATTGATAGTGTTTGCTGTGTCGACGCTGCCTGCGCCTCTGCGGCTGCGCCACACCTTCCCACGCCGCTTTTTCGAGTTTGCGTATCTGGTCCTTATCGGCCTCAGTACGCCGCCAGTCAACAATTAACGGACAAAACACCGTCGTTCTCCCATCTCTACATTGCTTAGGCCTTGCAGGCTTCCTTTTATCATTCTTTATCTTATAAACTAGTGACATTCTCCATTGCTACCCCTATATTCTCCGCGAGCTTCACTCTTTGACCCTCAGCTGGGAATATCACCCCATCACGAAGCCCGCTACAACCCAGCCCAACACTCCGCCTCCAGCATCTACTTTACGATAGAACTACACCTACAGGCTTTCTCCCTCGCGCGCGATATCGTATTATGGCGTCTCTTAATCTCTCGACTAACGGACCGTCCATAACAAAGAGCTACCAGTCGGTAGTGAACGCTCCCGCTCCAACCGGTCCCGCGGCGGCTTCTCCAACATACGGATCATGGGCCTTGTTCTCCGTTACAACTCCCCTTGTAAACGCATTCCAACAAGGTGGTGCCCAGAAGGAGAGTGTACTGAAGGTCCAAAGCACAGGAGGTACGTCTACCTTTGCTATAGTGTTTTGCAGGGGCCTATCCGGACTCGACTGACGCACGTTTCTTTATAGAGGGTGAACTAGTAGACCTGATCGAGGACTTCTCGGAAGGAAAAATACAATTCGGTTTTGTGAAAGTGAAAGACCCGAACACCAGCCTGCCAAAGCATGTCCTCATTGCTTGGTGTGGTGAGGGAGTCCCTGAGCGAACCAAGGGTTACTTCACTAGCCATCTAGCTGCCGTCGCCAAATTCCTGCAGGTGTGTGCGAGATTGCCTTCTGATTCCAAGCAAATCGACCATTATTTCTGACAGCTTTATTTAGGGATACCATGTTCAAGTCACTGCTCGTTCTGATCGTGATCTTACTCCAGAGAGTATTATTCAGAAGGTAGCCGATGCATCTGGTGCTAAATACTCCGGAGATGCCTCCGTTCCAGCGCCGGCTTCGACGAAACCGCCAGTCGCCGCGAAGCCAGCCTTTAACCCTACCCGCACCGCTGGTTCATTCAAACCTACAGTACGAGGTAACTTGCCTGGTCACGCAGCGAATGAGCCAGTCGATGAGGATGGATGGGGAGCGGATGCCCCTCCAGTTACCAGAACACAGCTAGAGAAAGTTGAGTCAGCATACAAACCTACAAAGGTTAACATGAAGGAATTGACTTCACAAAAGTCAGCTACCACTTCGGGGCCTGCCGTAGAGAGAGAAGCACCGAGTGATGTAGTAAAGGGTGGATATCAACCAATTGGCAAGGTTGATATTGCAGCTATCCGAAGGCAGGCGAAGGAAGCTGGACAGAACGTTAACGACCGCCCAGAGATAGTCAAGGGAGCCTATCAACCTGTTGGAAAGGTAGACATCGCTGCTATCCGTGCCAAGGCCAAAGGTGATTCCCCAAGCACGATCTCACCTGCACCCACTGGAGGCTCGGGTGGTAACGATGAACAGCCAAAGTCTCTTGCTGAACGCTCAGCAGCCTTTACTGCTTCAGAACGGTTGACCAGTCTTCCCAAACCAAAGGTTACTCCTAAATTTGGTGCGGTGGCTTCTTTCGCTGGGACCAAAGCCCCACTACCTGGTGGTTTTGAATCCAAGCCCCCAGTAGCTGCAGCCCCTGTTGGAATTGCCAGTCGAACTTTCGCCGACCAGGGAGGTAAAACCCCAGCCCAGCTTTGGGCCGAGAAGAAAGCCAAACAAGGTGGTGTCATTAGCCCTCCCCCAGTTCCGGAAGCACAGCCAAAGGATACCCAGAAGAGCCAGGAAACAGGGTGGAAGAGTTCATACACTGGAAAATCATGGGCTCCAGTTCAGACAACAAAAACTGGCGCATCTGCTGGCCATGCGGAGGCTCCTGGTGCTCCAGAACACGAGAAGCATGAGGAGCAGCAAGAGCCCCAGACTGGCAATGTTGGTTCTATCCGAGACCGATTTGCTCACGCCGCTCCCATCGGTGTTGCAACCTATGAACGATCTGCTCCCTCCCCCCCACCACTAGATACCAGCAACAAACCGACTTCAGGCCGCGGTGTCCCCATTCCGGGACTTTCTCAACCACCACCAGCACCTGAACCAGCACATGAAGAAACTCAGCGGGCGGTCCCACCTCCACCTCCACCCGCAGCTGAGCCGGAAGAAGAAGAACAGGAGGAAGCTCCAGGCTCGCCTATCCGGGTAGCAATGCCTGTCGGCCGCGGAGCAACACACGATGAGCACCCTGCTGCTCCGGAGCAGCCCCCAGTGCCAGAAATTACCCAGCATCAGGCCGTACATGAAGAAGTGCATGAGCCAGCAAAGGAAGAAGAACAGACTTATACAACCGCACCAGTGGCTGGTAGTGGTATTCAGGCTATAGCGCAGTACGATTATGAGAAGGCTGAGGATAACGAGATTGAACTGCGAGAAGGAGAGCGTATCACCAACATTGACATGGTTGACGAGGATTGGTGGCTTGGAGTCAACTCGAGCGGTGAAGCGGGACTCTTCCCTAGGAACTACGTCGAACTTGTCGAGGGTGAAGGTGCCGCAGAAGCTGCTCCTCCAGCACCGGCTCAGCCTGTCCATGCAGAACCCGCCGCCGCCGCCGCCCCTCCACCACCAGCTGCCCCTCCTGCCGCTGCCGCCGCACAGCACACTGCTACTGCTCTGTACGATTATGAGGCTGCCGAAGACAATGAGCTTAGCTTCCCGGAAGATGCCAAGATCACCAATATCGTGAGTGTTCCACTTGTATCTGCTGTTCGACCTGAGCTCCCTGCTAACTTTTCTTGTAGGAATTCCCCGATGAGGACTGGTGGACAGGCGAGTACCAGGGTAAGGTCGGCTTGTTCCCGGCAAACTATGTCCAGCTCGACAGCTAAACGGCAGCATCATCCTCTTCGGTGTACATACCACTACTCACTCCAAGGGAAGCCTTCCTTCGGCTATAACAGTTTTGGGCAGCGCCCGTTGCCTGCCTGCTTGGTTTGCCTGTTTTTCATTCAGTTTCTTGTCCACTGGATTAGTTCTTGTAAATGCAAAAGCCACTAGAGCCTTATTCTTACATTTCTTTTCTTCTCATCTCCATTTCCGTCTCTCCCTCCGATGTAGATATATATCAAACTGCTTCTGCCTCGACTTTATCGCCCTCACGTGCCTCGGCTCGGAATAAAGAATCTCCGTCTGCAAAATTGGAACCTTAGCCTAAACTCAAACTGGAACCTGAAGCAAAAAAAAAAAAAAAAAAGGCAAAAAAGACGCCGCCATCGCGAAACAAAAAGTCAACGAAGCGCATCAACACCTCTTCTGCTGCCCCAGCTGAAGCCCGTTCCCCCCAGCACCTCGAACTTCGCTCTTTTCGACGGACGTCTCCAGCTGCCTGTCGCTCTCCACGACCTTTACCGTTTTTTTCCCCTGCCGTGGTCTCTATGCCGGAGACGTCGGCGGTCGCCAGCTTTGTTTTGCCCTCCTAACACTTTCCCGGAAGCCCCTTGCGTTACCCGGCAACGTCAAATACAGTGCTTCCACGCCATAACCCGGATACGCGGTAGAGCTCGTCAAAATGACTTCCTTGGGCGACGACTTGCTTGTAACCGTCAACAAGCTCCAGGACTTGGTGTTCAATACCATTGGGAACGATTCCTTGGATTTGCCACAGATTGTACGTCTGCCTGAATAATATACAGGGACAACGCCGAAATACCAGGTTTAGCCCAAGCTAAATCTTTGGTTAAATCTCTGTCTATAGTTTTATAGAGTATAGAAGAAAAGAATACTGGCTGACTGGGTACCTCTCTTGGGTCACTTTCTGTTGTATAGGTCGTCGTCGGCTCGCAATCGTCTGGAAAATCTTCAGTTCTTGAAAATATCGTTGGACGAGACTTCCTACCCAGAGGAAGTGGCATTGTTACTAGACGGCCCTTGATCCTCCAGCTCATCAACGTTCCCTCGGACAGTGATGACGAAAATGAACCACACACTGCCGGCAGTGTCCAACAGCACGGAGAGTGGGGAGAATTTCACCATCAACCTGGGCGGAAATACACCGATTTTGCACATATAAAGCAAGAGATTGAGAACGAAACCGCGAGAATAGCGGGAAATAACAAGGGAATCAACCGTCAGCCGATAAACCTGAAGATCTTCTCTCCACATGTGCTTAATTTGACTCTCGTGGATCTTCCTGGATTGACCAAAGTCCCGATTGGTGACCAGCCTTCCGATATCGAAAAACAGACACGGACGTTAATCTCAGAATATATTGCCAAGCCAAACAGCATTATTCTTGCTGTGTCTCCTGCGAACGTGGACATTGTCAATTCTGAAGCTTTGAAGCTTGCTCGCCATGTTGATCCTGTTGGCAAACGAACTATTGGTGTGCTCACTAAGCTGGACCTTATGGACCATGGAACCAACGCAATGGATATCCTTACTGGCCGTGTCTACCCATTGAAGCTGGGTTTCATTGGAGTGGTTAACCGCTCTCAGCAAGATATCCAGGCAGGTAAATCTCTGGCAGAAGCATTGAAGTCCGAAGCCGAGTTCTTCAGGCATCATCCTGCCTACCGCAACATGGCAAACCGATGCGGTACCCAGTTCCTTGCTAAGAGCCTGAATACTACTCTCATGGCACACATCCGTGACCGTCTGCCCGATATCAAGGCCCGCCTCAATACGTTGATGGGGCAAACCCAGCAGGAGCTGGCCAGCTATGGAAACAAACAATTTAGTGGACGAGAGCATCGTGGCTCCCTGATACTCCAGCTAATGACACGGTTTGCTTCCTCTTTTATATCATCCATCGACGGAACTTCCTCCGAGATATCAACAAAGGAATTATGCGGCGGAGCAAGGATTTACTATATCTTTAATTCCGTGTTTGGAAACTCCTTGGAGACAATCGACCCCACCCACAACCTCTCTGTCCTAGATATTAGAACCGCCATCCGCAATTCAACCGGCCCTCGACCCAGTCTTTTCGTTCCAGAACTTGCGTTTGACCTACTTGTGAAGCCTCAGATAAAACTCCTTGAAATACCCAGCCAGCGCTGCGTTGAGCTTGTTTATGAAGAACTTATTAAAATATGTCATACTTGCGGTTCAACCGAACTTTCTCGATTCCCAAGGCTGCAGGCGAAGCTGATCGAGGTCGTATCCGACCTTCTCAGAGAGCGCTTGGGCCCATGCTCAAGCTATGTTGAGTCTCTTATTTCTATCCAGCGTGCATACATCAACACCAACCACCCTAACTTCCTTGGTGCGGCTGCGGCCATGTCATCTGTCATTCAAAACAAACAGGAGAAAGAGAAACAGGCTGTTATTGCTGAAGAAAAGAAAAAGCGGGATAGACGGCGGTTGAAAGAGCTTGGAGCCGCAAATGGAGTCGCTACCCCTGATGAAGAGGATAACGTAGATGAGAAACAACAGGCTCTTCCGGTCAGAGGACATTCCTCAAAAGCTGCTAGAACCGGATCCCCACATCCCGGACGCAATCCCGAATCCATATCCTCTGCTCTCAACGGCCTCCAGTCTGCCTCGCCCCCACGATTGGGAAGCCAGCATGGAAATGCCAAAGATTCGTTTTTGAACTACTTCTTCGGCAAAGACGGCCTGCCTGGCTCTACTCCTCCCCCAACATCCTCTGGCCTCTCGCGCCATGTCAGCCATGCAATGGAGCCTAGCTTTAGCCAGAGTTTCCGTCGAAATGAAGTCCGCTCTCCATCCATTCCTCACTTCCCTGCCCCTCAGGAGGAATATGCCCCAACCGAGTACGGTGATATGTCGTTAGCCGTAAGTTCTTAACCACCTTTTCCCCATCGCCCTTAGAGGATATATAATACTAACACCTAACAGAATGACAACGCCGAACCAGTCCTGACAGACCGCGAGGCTCTGGAGACGGAGCTCATCCGCCGCCTTATTTCATCCTACTTCAACATTGTCCGTGAGACAATAGCAGACCAAGTCCCCAAAGCCATCATGCACCTTCTCGTCAACCACAGCAAAGAAGTGGTTCAAAACCGCCTAGTCAGCGAACTTTACCGAGAAGATCTATTTCCCGAACTCCTTTACGAAGACGACGGCATCAAGGCTGAACGCGAGAAGTGCGAGAAGCTACTAGAAACTTATAAAGAGGCCGCGAAGATCGTGGGCGAGGTTTTGTAAATTATCTATCCACACGCTCTCTCTGTTTATTTTACCTCTCCTTATCTTGGTCTTTTATGCTATGATTTATCCACTTCCTTGTCTCGTATAACTAACGCACACCACTCTTTTCTCTCCTTTTGGTCTTGATATGACTCCGTTTTGTTTTTGATTGGTGCAAGTAATTCGTCCGCCGCTGATTGCCACTCATCTTTTTCGATATTGTTTTATTACATCTCACAACTCTATAATAAACGAATCACACCACGACGGGATTGAAGGATGAGGGGATGAGTGGTTGATCTTCGAACTCGGGGATTGACGTTTGCTGATTTGATAGATGAAGAGAAGGGGTTGGGGTTGAAATATGGAGCCGTGATATATATATGGCTTTCATGTGGGAGGCAGTGGAGTTTATGTATACATGTAGTTATGTAAAATGGAAGATCCTTCTGAATGTTATGATGTTCTCTACGTATAGCCAGTCGTGTTACAGGTTACCTTTAAAGACTTTGAGAGTATCCTGAGTGCAGAAATAACTTCATTGTTGTATATATTTTCTGGAGGTGTGAGAGGGGGTCCTAAAACTAATCAACAGCACCATTAAACCGATCATCCACTCTACCCAACCACCAACCACCAATCCCTCAAGCCATTCTTTCGTATGACGAGGAATCCAATCGCAAAGATCCGTCCAAACTAGACCAAAAGGGGGAAGATAGGGGAGTGGGATAAGAAACAAAAGAGGAGAAAGTTACATACATGGAGGGTAATACAAGATGTCATTAAGGAAAATGAAAAGGGAGAAAAAAGTACTGGCTTGGTTGAGAGTATGAGTGGGGAAGGTTTCATAACCACGTCCAAATAGGAGAAAAATATAAAGATAGTCTTTGAATGATGAGTATAGATCAGGGTAAGACGATATGGTATGTAGATTCGCCTTGCTTAGAAGGTACCGTCCATTTCCATGATTGAGTCAATGTCAATCTCTCGAGAACCCAACTGCTGGGGCCAGTTGGCATTATTCAACTGGTCGTTGAGAGTGCCGAGGGGAGGAAACATGCTGGAAATATTCCAGCTCTCAGACTCGTTGCCACCAAGACCAGAGCACATATTATTGTTCTCAAATCCACTGAATAGGGTGAAGTCGCCTGTTTGCTTGCCAATGTCCATCTTCATGCAGTCAAAGCCGTCATCAAAGCCCTCGTCGCTTTCATACGAGGCAGGGGAGTAAAGCATAACATTACCGTGTCCGGCCGGAGAGATACTGGAGTTCTTGTCCAAGGCAGGAAGAGGAAGGCAGAGATTCTCAGGCTCAGGGAGGCAATTCATAGCTTGAGCCTCAATAGACTGCGCTGGACTAAGGAGCTGAAGGTTCATAGAGGTGTACTCATTCTCGGTGACGTCAAAGTGGAAGTCCAGGTCTGCATTGCTTCCAACAAGGTCTAATGGAGACTGAGCCTGGAACCCTGCAGCAAAGTTACCGGCGGGAGTGGAAGAAGCAGAAGGGAGGTTTGTGTCAAGCTGTGGCAGAGTATCGGATGGATCTGCAGCTTGGAGGTCCGCATAGAAGGCATTGAAGTCTTCGTGCATAGTGTTGTACTCGTTCAACGAGGTAGAGTCAGGGAAGAGCATGAAGTCATCGTGATTAGTATTCTGCTGACCCACTTCGCTAGGTGAGCAGATACTCGGGCTTGGAGCCGGATACACGCCGGGGCTAGGAGTATACCCGACAGAGTCCTGAACACTGATGCTTGGAGACCTGTCGGAAGCAGCTTTCTCAAAAGGGGTAGATTGTTTTTCAGATGGAGACAGATATGGGGACATGGCCTGTGCACTAACAGGAGTAGGAATATCAACTGATGGTGCTTGTGGGCTGCTGATGTTGGTTGTAGTTGGCGTTGGCTGAGGAGACAGTTGGTGGCTTGCCCTGCCATTGTTCTTGGATCGAACATACTTGTAGCCATGGAGCTTTTCCATGTGCTGCTTACAGTTACTCTGGCGCTTGGTGTCATAAGTACAGCCGGGGTAGAGGCATTTGTACTTCTTTGGGGACTTGGAATGTCTGTCATTCATATGACGGTCCCTCTCCTTCTCAGTTGGCCATCCGAGTTGATAGTACTTGCATTTAGTATCAAGGCACTTCCATGGCCGAGTATGCACTTTCTCGTGTTTGCTATTGTACAGTTAGTCATAGTGCATACCATTGGTGGGAAGTAAAGGAGACTCACGTAAGATCGCACGGGCGACGGAAGACCTTATCGCAGTGCTTGCACTTCTCATTGATGTTCATTGGTGGAGCATCCTTCTTGCGTCGCGCCATGGAACGCATGACACTCTCTCGATTCTCCATGCTGGGAGCACGCTTCAAGCTTGGAACTTCTGGCTTCTGTTCAACAAAGGGCTCCCCGGTTTTCAAGGAGATAGCCTGTCCCTTCTTCTTCCTTACAAGTTCGGCTGGCCGGCCGGTTCTTGCAAAACCACCCTCAAGAACAAGTTCCTCGCCACTATGAAAGTGTAAGCAACAAAATATGAATGAAAGAAAGTAGTCAGTATACATACGAGGAATAGTCAAGTTCGTCACTGTTAGACGCAGTAGCACGTCGCTCCCGGGAAGATCTGATCAGAGCAGCGTACTGGCGAATTTGCTCGACCAGGTCAAGGAAGTACCCGTTAGTGTAGGGACGGTCTGCTGGACGGCGTTGGTCGTGGTCGTTGAGATATCCAACGGTTGTGTGCACACACTGAATGGTGAACTCGCAGAAGCTAAGATACGAAGACCTAGAGATGGTGTGATGGGGAGCCAAATAAAGCAGAGTTTTCTCAACGTCTCGAAGACAGGTAATCTCGCTGCTCTGAATACGCTGTGGTACAGATCTGACAAGGGAGTGGAAGTTCTTCAGGCGTTGTTCCTTGAGCAGTGGGAGAAGGATGTGACGCTGAATATGGCGTTTTCCCCCAGAGCTGAGGGTAGAACTCGACGAGACCACTGACTCACGAGCCTCGCGTTTCAAAATATCTGCAAGATAGTTAGTATTCAGCAAAGAAGATGCAACATTCTGGGTTATGCTATGCAACGAACCTTCACCAACGGAAGAGCCAACTCCGCTATCAGAGAGCTCGGCACGGAGATTCTCCTTTCCAGGGGGTCCAGTTTGTACTTGGTTCCTAAAAGACGAGTCGATTTCCATCAGGTTAGCAGAGGTGAGGCGTTTGCTGAGACCTCGGAGAGCCTTGAGGTTGCGTTTATCATCTTCGAGCGAGCTCTGTTTCGACAGTGACTTGTTCCCGAGACCAGTAGAGTTGCGCTCAATGCTGCCGAGCCAGCCAGCAACGCGGTTTTCCCTAGCAGCAGAGAGTTCCTGGAGAGTGTCCGGGCTAGTTGGAGAACGACGAAGCAAGGTTGGTAAATGGAGGACTGGGTCCCCTGGGGACGAAGGAGAGGCGGAGACATGGAATGTAGCTTCCTTCCTCAAGGTGGCATGGCGAACTGTATTTGAAGAGTTGCTGGGGGAGCGTCCATCACAATGGCTGGTGGAGAGACGGGGAAGGTTGGCATTCAAAAACGGTCGACGACGTGGACTTATACTGAGATCGGAGGACATACTGGGTGACTTCGTAGCGAGCAAGTCACAGAATCTGCACACCGACTCCAGTGAGCAAGGGCGGGTAGCTGAAAAAGGATAGTTCCATATGACTCACCAGCTGATTCTTTCGGAGGCCAGAACTAGACTGAATTATTTCTTGCTTATGAGCGTGGAGACAGCCGGCTGCAGCCTTTATAGATTGAGGTCTCGCAGCAACTTTTGGCCGGTTTTCTTCTTCCACGAAGGCCACACGCTGATTTAGACTGTCGAAAGACGATGTTAGCAATGTTGTCCTCTGGTAGTCATGTCTTCAAAGTGCCATACTTACAGCATTCACTGAGACCCGGAGTACAGAATTTAACGCCGAGATGCGTTCCCAGGCAGCAAACACTCAAGGACGACTTGAGGAGTCAAACTTCAAGGTCGAACGACGTCGAGAAATCAGCTAGCAGGAGATCCAGGGAGGCCTCAAGTCCAAGTTGTTTTTAGCTGGTGACTGTGTCGAGGCAGCGAACTCCAGGAGAGCGTCGGCTCCTGTTGACGTGAGATGGCTGCTGCCTAGCTGGCTGCTGCCTAGCGGACCCAGATTAGATCAGCGGCCAAGCGACGAAGCCTCGGTGCTTGAGCTGGACCAGCGGAGAGACAGAGACACCAGCAAACGAGATGCCAACAGGCTGAATTGCTGCTGTTTATGGGGGTGTGAAAGGGACGCAGAGCTGTGAAGGTGAAGTGGTTGATGGTTGAAGGAAAGGCGAAGGACGAGAGGCGGAAGATAAGAAGGAGAAAGAGAGTTTCCCTCGCGTGTTATTCGGTTTTGGCGGTTGCCTGATGGGAAAAGTGGGTCCTTCCTTCCCAAAACTCTCTTTCGGCGTCTCGGCGCTGCGGCTCCGGGAAGGTTGCTTACTTAAGCGATGTTGCTATAAAAAGAAAAGAACAACAACGACAGCGACGACTACAGCGACGACAACAGCGACAATGACAAGGAGAACAGAGAGGAGACCAGATTTGAAAAAGTTGATAAGAAGACTCGCTGGCGGTGGGCGGTGAGCTCGACTCCCAAGGCGCTGCTCGGTGTTGCGGTGCGGCTGCGGATGTGATGCGGCAGAGACAACACAGCCACCGCAGTGGTAGCCTCATCCAGCCTAGCAACGCGAACAGCATTAATAACACGCACTCACAAACTAAAATCAAGACCGGGATTCGCGGGCGGTGGAGAACCAACTCGCTATCTCCGCCAACATGGAGAGGCCAGCTTTCTCCTTCGCTGCTTCACCTTGTAACACAGCTGCATCCTTCGCCAGATTCTGGACGTCTCGTTGGCCCGGGAAACCAGCTGCATCCCCCTTCAGCCAACCAGCTTCTCGCTGCCCCGTGGGCGGGACGCACTTTGAGACAGCGCCTAGGCGTCATCGAGCAACCCTTGTCAGGGGGTCGGACAGTTGTAAACTCCGATCTCCTCCTCCGTCTCCATCCATTTCCTGTTTGCGGCTCAAAAAAGCCACCGACATGGGGGCTCGGCCTTTCACGAAGGTTCTCTCTCCAGCAAAAGCAATTCTTCCCCGTCTGGTGAGTCACACCTGAATACTCGGTACTCGAACCGAAATGGGAACAGATAGGCAAGGGCAGTCAGGACGGGTGCATTCTTGACGTCGCTTCTCATAAAATAGCCCCTAGATGGAGGAGTATTTCACTCAAGAACCATAGGCTGCATGAAGGTATTACCTTCCGTCTCCATGCATCATAATTATCACGTCGGATACTCCGTAACGCCTTGGGAATTCGGTGCCTATGGCTTGAACTCGCGCATACAGCTAGAGAAATCAGTACTAATAAAGAAGCCCTCTACTTATTATATTCAGCAGAGATAACAGGTCATATTGGACAAAGTAGGTTTGGGATCATTCCACTGCCTGGGGCGTCCTGCTTCGACTCAGACATGACCTTAACTTTGCTTCCTAAGACTGGGGTAGAGCAAAACCCTTCTAGCTCGAACTGGTCCTCAAATCTCCAAATATGAAAGCTACTCCGGAATATCTGTGCACAGAAAATGCCGAAGCAGGAACACGTTGGGATGAAATAAGTAATATACTCATTGATCCCCGTCATCAAAGCACCTCTTTGAACACCGCATCTTCACTTGCTTTTTCAAGTTGCCACAGAATAAAGGCGAGCATTATACGCAGAAAGATGCGAAGATGACCCTCAATTTTGACATTAAATGGGCCCAGCTCTTGTATTTGGAGGAACGGGAATTTGTTAGTACCTCGTGTAGGGAGAACTGGCTGGGATCCTGGGCCGAAAATATATTCCAGGTACGAAGTATCGTAGGTCCCGATACTAATGTGGAAGCCCAGGTGGTCTTGGGCCACCATAAAGGTATGATACGTCCGATGTGTATTTTTCCACTATATCTTTGTCAGTAAGAATTGCCCAAATAAGAATAAGAGCGTAAGTGGTGTAGTATCACCGTTGAGTCGCTTGCATGGCATTTCCAAATATATGCTGCATGCTCCATCGCTTGCTGTGCCAGAACAGGAATACCACTTCCCCTTCCCTTGCGTGGGGCACGTTTAACTTCAAATATCGCAGCTTCACGTGGCATACCAGCAACGGATAAGCTGAATGGGATACTCCCATCTACACGAGCCCGGAACTGCATACCGCCGTGTTGTAGAGAGGTTGGATGACTGGGAGGCCCAAATTGGTATGTAGTCTCAAAGGAGTTGGCCATACAGAGGGGCCTAGGACTCAGGCCCTGCACAAGGCTTGCTAAACCACCAAGTAGGGTAACTATAAAGTCTGCAACAAGTGTTTCTGTGGGTGTTCGACGTGGAGGTTCTTCTACTCCTTGAGCCGTTGTGGAAAACATTGCAGGGGGAGAATCTGGGATTGGCCGATCATCACTATCTGCCATTTCGATATCCACCATGTCAAGCTCTTCAAAATTCTGATATGTTGGGCTTTCTGGGTCATCCCGTGCCGCGTGCTGCATGGCATCATAGAATCGACTTGTACGTGGAGCTCCAAACACCCTACGCTCTTCAATCGAAGCCTGGATTGACCTGTCCTCCAACTGGTTAAACAAACTAGTGAGCATACTGAATGGGCCGAGGCCTCCGGCAAGGGTGCCTGAATACTTGGGCGGGGTGCTGATGGGGGTGTCCTCTGGATCACAAATAAGCTGAAACAGCGTCCCAAGCATGTCAAGCCCGAGTAGGTTTCTTCCCATTAGTTTTATCGCGTCATTGATGTGGTCTTCATTGAAGAAATAATCTAGCTCTGTAATATATGCCACAGCATACTCAGGGCCTTTCTTTTCGGGCCAAATAGGTCTGAGGGTCAGGAGTGCTTCCTTTGGAACTGTCGACGCAGAGAACTTTCCTGTTCACCACCAATGTTAGCCAGAGGATAAATCAGTTACGAGAGCGAGCTGCGAGAAAGGGAGCCGCTACCTTCCATGCACAGCTGCTCGAGGGTCCTATGTTGAAGACCATACTTGTATATCGCGTCTCGTCACTCTGATATGTTTGCTGGAACTTGGTCGAGGCCATGAGCAGCTTGCTGCCACCGCGGAGCCGCCATTCTGCAGCTAAACTTTCGCCTTTGCTTTAGGGTATATCACAGGCGGCACCGTTCTGACGGCAAGTTTAATCAAAATGGTTGACCTAAAAGAGCGGGCCTACACCAGTGGCCAGCAGGTCGAAGTTATCTCTTGACACTCGAGAGGAAGAGAGATTGGAAGGCAGACGCCGGAGGAGGAGGAGGAGGAGTAAATATAATGAGGCGGCAGCAGCCGCGGGGAGCTGACTAACAAACTTTAGGCTGGTACCTGGAGAGTATTAATTACATAATCAGTTCTTAAGTCTGGGGCGGTGGTGGGCCTATTTCACCTTCGACATACATACTTTAAATAATAACCAAACTGCCTAACCACAGATACACGGTTATTTATCAATCTTCATCACCAAATATGTCGGACTCGGACGCGCAGACGGACACCGCACCATCCGAAATACTGCCGTTTAACCAGCCGGAGGCGGTCGCTGCGTTTCTAGGCCGTACGTTTCTCTGCTATATGACCTATGCGGACTCCTCCTTTCTGTTTGACTGGCTGGAGAAGACACCCGATATCCGTCTGCGCTGCCGGAATACCACTGAGCAAGAAACCCTGTTCACAACGCCCCCAGAGCTCCTGAGGGCCATTCACACGTGTGAGTGGGTTACTAGCCCTGAGAAGGACCTGGGCTTGCCGTCTGACTGGGGGTTCGCCGGCCTCATCCAATTCGCCGTCCACAAGGTGCAGGAAACAGTGCAGGTAAAGTCTCGGGAGTAGGATACCCCGTCTGCTTTCAACATCTGTTACCTCACTGACTTGGTGCTAGACTTTACGGTCCTTTATTTACCCAGCTATACTGTGAAAAGGTCCGCAATATACATGGGCTCGAGGTCCTCTGCCCTCATCAGAACCACTGGACTTTTATCATTCAGGATCACACATGTGCACGCGATATGAGACAGAAAGCAGATTGTCGTAATTATATCCTAAAGAGTGAAATAATGGCAGCCACCTCAATCTTCTTTCACCAGATGAATGAGATGGTTTGGTCGTCTGAAAAGAACCGTTATACATCCAAGCCGAGATACAAGGGTGGTTTATTGACTGTATGTTTACTTCGCCGTTTTATAAACGCTTTATCTGACAACAATCCCAAGGCTACTGTAGTGACATTTACACGCGGCAAAGTACGCATCGTCCAAGCAACTATCAGACCGTCGGAAAAACATCCAACCCTCGACCTTAACCTAAGAGCTAAATACACTCTTACAAAGGCAGGGTACGACAAAAATGTTGCCTTTGACGTTCTGAAATGGATTCTCGATCCACCACAGGCAGAGCTTGAGACGGAGCCCTAGTTCATGGAGGCGGTCAACGAACTTCCCGAGAGTGTGAAAGAATAATGAGCTCCCGAGTGTGGGGTTGATTATTTGGCTGTGGCTTCCTAGTCTTTGTGTTTGTATCACTCCGAGCCTAGTTATCGAGCTGGTTATTTATAATTAATTTCTTTAGTCACTTTACTAAGGAGCTGTATTAAATTATTAGTAGAATATGAGGATTACACTAAGGTTAAAACGTCCACTACACGTGAGTATTACTACCTACAGTTTATACTCCAGCGGCCCCCGTGTAGTACATGTGCAAAAACTTACTTAGCGCCGGCGTCGGCTGGCGCTTCCCCAGATTGGACCTCGGCATCTCGACGAGCTTCTTGCTTTGCGGGCCAACGTGAACATTTTCTGAACAAACAACAATCACGACAACCACCGCGCTGTTCAGTTTTGCATCTCCCTTCACCTTTCTCGCATCATTAGCGGACTACAGCTGTTCTTTACATGGAGGTCGTCTAAGCTGGTGATTGTGGTTAAATTGAAATTGTCATGACTTCAAATGGCTCCCAGGTCGCGGCGGACGACCACCAGCGTCGCCGCCGGAAGGAAGCTCTACGCCAACGGAAAAACAACAAGGGACCGATATCTTCTCGATTGATGCTTGATATTCGTCTAAAAGGCGAAGTCGGGGTTATTTCAGATGAGCTCCTGGCCAACTTGTTTCCCCGTCGAAGCTCTCATGGTAAGATTTGCTCCTCATCAACCACTGAAGCGAAAATACCCCTGACATACACCCTTAATTTAGATGTCCAACCCTTCCCTGAGATAATCTATGTCGCCTTGGCCCCCTGGGTGCCTAACTTCACAACCGTTGAGGATGTTCAGTGGACTATTGTCCCAGTCCACACGCAGGCCAGCGAAAAGGCGAAAGCTTCCTTCATCTCAGGCGATGCGATTCACTTCCCTGTTGCCGCCAGCTCAATTCAACCTTTCATTCAAGTGCTGCAAGGCAGCGATCCCTCTCGATCCTCCTTCCTGCTAGCCCAGCGTGGAATTGAGATTCACATCGTTGATGTCACGCCACTACATCTGGACACTGTATACGTTACGGTAGAGCGAAATTTGCTACGAGATATTGATGAGATACAGGGCAAGTTCGGAGGAGGCTTCGGTGAAAAGCCGCGTATGTCCCAAGGCTTATGGCCGAAAGGAAAAGGGTTGGCTTCGTCTCATGATCGTACGATATCCAAGGGGGTAAAAAATTCTGCCACGCAGAGAGATGAGCGGTTGATGGAGGCTATACGCAGAGGGCTAGCTGAACGAGATATATTGCATAACGGCGATATAATCCCTCTTCCTTTGCCTTCGCATCCCATTACGCATGCTCCACCCCCGCCGGCAAGGATTACGTTCTGCGAACCTGTCGCTCAGGGACGGTTGATGCCAAAAACCAAGATTGTGCTATTACAGGCGCGATCAGCACGGAAACCGCAATATAAATCTTTATCAACCTCTAGCCCTACTCAGCTTAAACGAGTTACTGAAGATGATACCGAAGACACGTCGAATGATATGTTTTACTCTGCTGGAGAAGAAAAGGAGCTAGAGGAAGGCACTGATGAAGGCACAGATGCTGAGAACCCATCGCCTCCGGGTGAATCTGATACGGAGGTTTCGACGGAGAGTCGTAGTGATGCGGAAGGTTCAGAAGGTTCAGACGATTCCGACGATTCTCTGGAAGATATGATTTCTCTCGCTGCCCCAGAACTACCACAGCAGCAATCTGGAGCAATGTCTGCCTTCTCCTCTGCCACTCCTAGACTCGGTGGAAGGTCCCTTGGAATACACTCCCCAGGCAGTGTGTTTTCCAGCTTTACATCCAATACTGCTCGTCAGGGCAGACACGCTGGCAAAACATTCAAGGCTGAATGTCTCCTCGACCACATACCCAATGAGCTCCTCCATCCAAAACCCCGAGAAGAGGATGACCCTGATGCATTCATCTTTGTTGATGTGCACACCCTTGTCAAGATAGGGTGCTTCTCTGGAGACTGGGTACGTGTGACTCCGACAGAGGAACCTCAACGAAATATGCTATCCTCCTTAGCTTTTAGCGGTCTCAACGGCTTAATGGGAAGCACTGAAGAACCCGAGAACTGGCGTGTCGCAAGGGTTTACGGTGTTACGGGCCTATCTCCTCCAAAAATCAGGTATGCAATGAACAAGTCGGCAGAAAGATTGTCTAGCATCTCACAGATTCCTCCCCATGGTCTTACTCCAACGGTCCTTTTACCTCCCCTTCTCCTGCATAACCTGCAGAGCCCTAGCTACGTAAAACTTTCTCCCTTGTCCCTTGGCCCAGCTCAACACGGCCCTTCGAAACTGGGACTAGCAGCCTCCCGTGGTAGCAGTGTGCCCAAAGCACCTCCTACGGCCAAAGAAGTCACTTTGTTAAAAATATCTACACCTCTATCTCTAGACAGAGCACTTCAGCCCGCCATATTTGCTGCTCTTAAGCATCATTTCGAATCGAAACGGCGGCTGGTAAAAGCCGGGGATATGATTGGAATTAGTATAGATGAGGGACTTGGAAGGACTGTTTTCTCTGCGACCAAGAGCGCAGATGCTATCGGCCAGGAGGATGAGTTACCTTCCCAGCTTGCTCTTTCTTCGGGTAAACCTAGTCATTCCAGCAAGGTTGGCGTGGCTTGGTTCCGTGTCAGCCATGTCACAGCTCCTATGACCAGCACAGAGCCAGACGGTGCCCCTGACCATGAATCGTGGGGAGGGGTGGCAGCTATTGATACCCTCAATACCCGAATGGTGCAAGCAGGAAGTGAAATTGGAACCGTTCCCGGAACTCTCAAGAACACATGGGAGTACTGGCTCTCCGTCAAATCGGCGCCACAGCCGAGTATAGAGCAGAGAGCCACTCCATGGCTGCAGGCGGACTCCCCTGCAGTTTTTATATCTCCCATTCAGAGGCGTGTGAGAGAGCTGATAGCGGCTGCTACAAGCCCAAGAGCCATACAACTGGGACTAAAGCCAGTTGTTATCCTTCTCACCTCTACGCAGAGAAATATTGGCAAGTCAACAGTTGCACGTCGAGCATGCGCTGATATAGGTCTTCACACTTTCACCATTGATTCATATGACATTCTCAGCGAAGGAGGGGCAAATGGGGGAGATATGAAAACAGAGGCATATCTGAAGGCAAGAGCAGATAGAGCGTTTGCCTGCGGTTCTGCTTGCACTGCTCTGTTGATAGAGCACATTGAAGTGTTGACGGCTGATAGAATTGTTACATCCTTAAAAGAAATTGTTTCAAGTTCTCGAGTTGTCATTACCACGACCACCGACGTGGAAAAGGTTCCCGAAGGGATTAGAAGTCTCTTCACGCACGAGCTTGAAATGACGGCCCCCGAAGAGAAGGAAAGAGAAGGCATTCTTAGAAATGCGGTGGCTGATTTAGCCTTGCGACTATCTCCCGATGTTGATTTAGCTTCGGTAGCTGTTAAGACAGCCGCACTTGTTGCTGGAGACTTAGTCGACGTTGTTGAAAGAGCTGTGGCTGAACGGACTTTACGGCTAGAGAAGCTCGCAGATTCCGCCGCGCCTCCTGACGCAAAGTCAAAAGTCAGTGTCCGAGACGTTCAAATCGCAGGTGGCGATGCTACGAGATCTGTCACCAAGGCTGATTTTGATGCTGCTGTCGACGCTGCACGAAAAAACTTTGCCGATTCCATCGGGGCTCCAAAGATCCCCAACGTTACCTGGGACGATGTTGGTGGACTTAGTAATGTGAAGGACGCTGTCATGGAAACTATCCAACTTCCACTTGAACGGCCGGAACTCTTCGCCAAGGGTATGAAAAAGCGAAGCGGTATCCTATTCTATGGCCCTCCGGGAACAGGAAAAACGTTGCTTGCAAAGGCAATTGCTACGGAATTTTCTCTCAACTTTTTTTCCGTCAAAGGTCCTGAGCTATTGAACATGTACATTGGAGAGTCCGAAGCGAATGTACGTAGGGTTTTCCAACGCGCTCGAGACGCACGGCCATGCGTTGTCTTCTTCGATGAATTGGACTCTGTAGCCCCCAAGCGTGGCAACCAAGGAGACAGTGGTGGTGTTATGGACAGAATTGTCAGCCAGCTTCTTGCAGAACTTGATGGTATGAGTGGTGGAGATGAGAATGGGGGCGGAGTCTTCGTTATTGGTGCTACCAACCGCCCTGATCTATTAGATGCAGCCTTACTACGACCCGGCAGATTTGATAAGATGCTCTACCTTGGTGTTTCGGATACCCATGATAAGCAACTTACCATTCTAGAAGCTCTGACTCGCAAGTTTAATCTGCATCCGGACCTTTCGCTGAAGAGAGTTGCAGAACTCTTGCCGTTCACTTATACTGGTGCCGACTTGTACGCACTCTGCTCGGATGCCATGCTCAAGGCAATCACTCGGCAAGCTACTGCCGTGGATGTAAGAATAAAAGCTCTCCCTAATGGACCAGTTACAACGGCATACTTCTTTGATCACCTCGCCACTCCTGAAGATACTGCTGTAATGGTCACGGAACAAGATTTCATTGAAGCGAAGAATGAGCTGGTTCCTAGTGTTAGGTATGATCCTCTCTTCTATAGGTAATATTTATTCTATGTTGTGATTGCTAACTACTTGAACAGTGCGAAGGAGCTTGAACATTTCGAACGAGTGCGGAAGACATTTGAGACTGTTGACACTAAGAAGTCATCCATTTCTGACGAGCAGAAGACAGTCGAGGATGTGTCTAGAGATGGTGTGGATATCACAGCGGATGGCTCCCTGACAATAGGCGAAGCCCCCAACGCTTCCAACAAACAGACTGGAGATGCTAGGGATACCGAAGATGATGACTACATAGTCAGAACTGATCATTTAGCCAGCATTGAGTCGTCAAAATGATTGAGCTCAATTCTTTATCAGCGATTTGCAAGACACATTTATCCATTATGTGCTATAGATTTTTTTGTATAATAGCCAGACGATATATCTGAGTCTACTTTCATGGTGGAATGACCAAACTTTTACTTGTTACTCTTGGTCATAGCCTTAAAGGCTAAGAATAACAAATATCTCTTCCGTAAATAACCAGAACCATTAACATTAGACATAAACCACGACTTCTATCAGAAATGGTATGCCAACGTCAATCAAAAAATTGAAGCTCGAGTCATCCCGAGCTTTTCAAATACGTAGTCCAAATTGCCCGACGCGGCTTGAGTTTGCGGGTGGTTTGGTCCCAATTTTTTCATATTCCAGTCGACTGACTTCTGCATAAGAGGAATGGCATCCTCCAGTCGGCCAGCATGGAAATATGCCACGCTCAAGTTGTTTATAGCGGCAATGGTATCAGAATGGTCTTCACCAGGGCCCTGTCGTTGCATTTCCACTATTCCTTCTAGGAGTTTGATCCCTTTAGACTCCCACGTCCCTCCAGGCATTTCCTCGGCATTGGCTTGGTTGAGACGACCATACGTGCTTGCCAGGTTCAGGCTACATTTGATGGTTGTCTGATTAGAGGGGCCAAGATGAGACTTTGCAGCTTCCACGGCTTTCTCCTGGAGAGCTATAGCCTCCTGGAGCTTATTCAAGGCACCATAATCTCTCCCTAATAGGTCCATCGTCATGATGGTCTGATAATGTTCAGGGCCGAGAGACTTTGTTCGGAGATCCAATGCACGTTGGTGCAAGTCCAGAGCAGCCTGGTAATCTTTGTTGTTAAAGTAGCTGTTGGCAAGGTTGTGCATGCTGGTCTGTGTAGTTTGGGAATCTTCACCCTTGATGCGAAGCATAATATCCAATGCTTTTTTGTCGAGCTCAAGTGACTGATCATATTCACCTTGTGCTTTCAGATCAATGGCAAGATTATTCAGGCTTGCTACTGTGTCTTCATGGTCATCTCCGAGGATTTGCTGTCGCACCGAGAGGATGTACCTGTCGAGTGCTTCGGCATCCTTGTGGCGACTCACTTGTCGGTAGAGGTATGCAAGGCCACTTTTGGCATTAAGATCATCGCCATAGTGTTCTTCAGCGTATTTGACTGCTCGTTCCTGTGCTTCGCATGCCTTGTCCCACTCTTCAGCGTCCCCGAGCTCTTCAGCTTCGAGCAGGATTGTCCAGTACTCCTCAGCATTCTCATCATCTCGAGGTCCAAAGTAGTTTTTTTTCGTGTCAACCGACATAGTAACAAACTATTTATCTCGTGAATCAAATTCCGCCCGTCCGTTGATTGGGAAAAGAGACGACGAAGGAGATGCCGGGGGAATCTGGGGTTTTCCTAGTGGTTCAACAGTCTAGGTAAGTAACTAATCCGGTATACGAACTTGCCCCTTAGTAGTTAACCCCTCAATCGGCGATCTCGAGCCATCCATGTTGGTGGGATGCAAGCTCTCCTCAGCCACTGTAGGACGTTCCACAGGCCACCACAGGCCTTGGGTCCAACCTCGTTTCTGCGCCTGCGCCTCAACTGTGTCGCTGTCAAAAAAAGGGGCTTGGATGTTTCGATGTTGAAAAACGTCGTTTTATTGGATGCTGGAAAAAGAATAGTTATTACGTAATCATGAGTCTAATTTAAATCAGCCGCAACCACCTCGAGGTTGCGGCAAAGAGAAATAAATGCAAACGGAAATACAAAGTGCAATGTGCATGCATGTTCTGGTACCTTTGTGAGGTAATATACGTATCATAGATAGGTTTATGCTAATACTTATCTCCTATCACATCAGAAGGTTCTGAGCTATCAATTAAGGGTCAATTAGTTGGCTCGCCCAGACACACCACTCGCCTCGCTGCCAGCAGGCTCCAGCGATCATGGATTCCATGCTCAATTTCCGTTCGCCATTCTCCTGGTTCTCGTCAGCGGGGAAGGATGATAGGAATTTACCAAGCGTTGAAATAAAACCTATCCAAGCTCATGATATCGAATCTGCGGAAGAAAAGCCTGGCAGGCGGCTACGGCAACTGCTAAAATTAAACCACGCAACTAATGCTATCATATATAACAATCTCTCATTCTTCAATCACATACCCCATGTGAGCTACTACGTATCACCGGTGGTCAAAGTACTTCTTCACTAATGCCAGTTCTTAGCTCCTTTCTACCGCTTATTTGCTGGGTGGAAGCTCGGATCACCTGGACCGTCTCTATGAAGCCGAATCCAAGGAACAAGAGCCCTGGAGCGCTTCACCTAGTGAGATTGGCCAGGCAGAAGACTGGAGATTAGCATTGGGCAGGAGAGAGTAAGATCTGCTTGAAATATTAAGGATCTAGCCAGGAGACCACTCTACTAACCTATCCAATAGATTTCAGAGAGCTTATGTGGATTTTTTTGAAGATGAGCTGTCTCGCATGGGATATGATTGGAATGCTGTAGTTTTACAGTATCTTTGTTCCGAAGAAAAACCATTAATAAACTCTTTGATTGCTGGCTGTAAGTTTTACTCATTCTAGATACTTATTTAAAATTGCTAACTCATTGCTACAGTCGGCCATCCGCTTATACATCTTGGATATGCATTCGAAGTGTCCAGCCGAGAGATTGCTATGGAATCACTCGCAATGGTTTCATGCTGCTATGACGATGTTCACAAGTTCTTTGACGAACCATCGGACCTTCAAAAAAGCATGGCCCCAAAATATATCACTTGTTCAACTTACGAAGTTCTAAATAAAATCCGTGGAGATAAACGTTTTGACGGTATTTTTAGAGGCCCAGGAGCTAATAATGTTGAGGTACTTTTGAAAACACACCAGGAGTTGATACTTGAGCATTGGATGGCATGGGTCCCTCAAGATGCAAACTTAACAGAAGAGTTACATGCCATACAGCGGCTTGCAACAACATTGATGGCGACCCGTCACAACGGAAATCAGCATGATTTTTTCTTTGACCATCTTCTGACTACGACCCATGCGCTGCGTGTCATCATACCACTGGTTCCAAAAAAATTCCATGGCCCTCTACTGCGTCAGTGGTTTTTATTGGCAGTGGCCATTTATATTGCCCAGCTGCGACCGAAAATAGATGCTAAAGATATAGAATGCTACAACATTGATGGGAAAGACTGGGCCTGGGTCGATAAACTGGCTCTAACCCACGAGATGGCGATTTCACCTCATTATATCAAGCCTCTAAGAACGCTCAAGGAGGCGGCTAAGACCTGGAGTGATGAGGAAGGGTTTTTTCTCCGGGCTGCAGTGAAATTTATTGAAACATTCGACGGGTTTGGTGGCCTTGGATGAGCCATGGGTGTAGAATCTGAGTTGAATCTAGCCCCGAGTGTGGTACTTAGCGTTCGAAATTACACTCTAACATGATAATTTTGGCTAGTTAGTAGGATTTGATAGCAGTAAGTCAGCTTTTGTATAAGCCATCGCATAATGCCGTAATATTTAATAGTACACAGTACCGATTAAGTGGTCTATTAAAATCTACAACGCCCGCTAACGTAACCTCCTTCGATTTCAAAACGCAAAATCCCTAGCAGCCAGCGGATGCTTCAAAACACAATACCCTGGTCATTCCATTCCGATTTTTTCTCCCTGCTCCCTAGCCTTCAGCTCTTTCACTGGACTCATGGCAAGCTCAATCAAGTCGTCTAATGATACCCAGCCTTGTCTTCCATCAATTATAGCATGTGCAATAACCATCTTCCACTCATCCCACCACTTGTTTTCTGATTGGACAGCACACACCCTTCGTGGATCATCAGACGTTTCCGAGCCTGCCATGTTTGCGTATGGCCATATAGACCGCACCATATCATACCGCTTTGGATTCTTAAATAGAGATACAATCTGGGTATAGAATGAATTTTTTGTTTTTGGACCTGGAACAACGACACTGGAATGTGTGGAAGGAAAAGTAATCATGACACGGCCTTGGTAGTTCAGTGAGGCTATCAGTGTCCGTAGTCGGCCCTCTAAGATCTGAGTGTTCCAATTGATCACTTCCCGGGTTAGGATGAAGCTAGAAGACAATTAGCACACAGAGGCATTATACAAAATAGAAGTACCTGTTAATTTTCGAAGCAATGTGATCCTACTTACGTTTTGTTAGTAGCCGGGTCTCTGCAAAACCGATCAGCAAAAGTAGCAATGTCTCCAACAGTTCCTCCTGGAGAACCGCCAGGGCGATTGCCAACAATCTTCACGTAGTTCCATGATGAAGACGGGCCAGGGGGGCGGACTATTTGGCTCAACATATTTATCCGGATATCGAAATCAAGCTTGCGAACGCCGGTAATATCCCTTACCCCGACTATGCGCACCTCTGGCTTAGGCGGCAATGCAGCTTGTTGGACTATAAATCTTGTCAAAGCCTCTGGATTGGAGCTGAGCTCTGAAGGTGCCACAGTGATGGTGAGTCCATCTTTCGATAAGCTTGACCCAGGGATATGATAGTGGGCAAAGTTTACTGGAGGAAGATAGGAATTGGACAGAACGGGAGCTCGTGGACTTGATGGTTCCTGAGAGAGAGCAGTCGATGGCTCCGTATAGTCTGGGGGAGCATCCTGCGGAGTCGCTTGAGCACGAGGAGGAGCCGGCCGCCGTTGTATTCCAGCAACTGGTAAGGACAAACTGGATCCTGATTTCTCCATGTCTGCAAGATAGATGAGAAAATGAACAGCCTGTGGGCTGGGATTCAAATTGGTTTTATTCCGCTGTGTCTGGCCGTGATATCAGGACATATATACCATCACCAGAGCTTGTTGCGTCGAGTTGCTTAGCCACAGCTGGCAGAGACGCCTTGAAAAATCGCCCACAAGGGGTAAGGCGCAAGAGAGTGAATTGTGCTGCCTGGCTCGAGAGTGACCATCTTCTATACGAGGTCCTGGAGCTGCCATCCTTGTTCATACTCAAATGTTCAAGCCACAGTTTGATGTCTTTTTCTTTTCTTTTCTTTTTCTGCGAGTTGCGGCTGAGGCGCGTGTTTGCACTGTTTGCATGCTCACCACGTCTTCAAACGCAACAGGAAGATGAACATCCTCAACGTCGACAAGCTTGACGGCGATGGCTTCTTCGTCTCCTCCAGAGTCTTGTGTGCAGCTCTACGCTGAGCTGCTGGCTAATATACGGCAGATACGTTTTTACGTTACCACTAAAGATGCCGTACGGAACGACTCTCGACCGGTGGTCACTCTCGATAGCTCGCGCTCTCTTGTGACAGTATCGCATTCCGACAAGACCCTTACACTTAAGCTCCCTCTATCTATATCTGCCCGAGCTAGAGAACATCTGGCGACGAGTCAGGCTACTTCGCACGGCGGAGAGAACGAATACTCCTTTCGCCTTCCGATAGATGAAGCAAGTTCCGCTGTAGATGTCACCTCAAGCCACGATTATACCTCAATGAGCCCTTGGCCAGCGAAGAATATGACGGCACAAACATGTATTTGTTGCCGCTGCTGCGCAAATATATTATTTTCCCCAAGAGAGGCCCAAAATATTATATGGAAGGATCTCCCTAGCGCAGACTGGGCCGAAATGATGGACCTATGGCATTGTCATAAGCCTGACCCGATACCTAGCAAAGACGGAGATACGGACTTTACGAGCCTGAATGGGGATACCAAGGGCTATGGTGCTTCGAACCGAGTCGTTTGCAAGCCTGGAACAGTCTTTGTCAACATTACTTCGTTTGTTATGACACAAGGCGACTGTCAGGGGGCGAAAATGACGGTAAGAAACTGTCCCTTGCACATAGCGGACTTCAAGTACCCCAACAAGCCTTTCGTTCTAGGGAAAAAAAAAAATTATTATCAGATTACAGTTATTGTGGCGCGATGGCTACATGGCCTATTTTGGATATTGCCAGGAGCTTTATTTAATCATTGGGCAAGAAGAAGGAGATTGGAGCTTCCACCGTGGTCCGATTTCCGATACAATTGCCCTAGACCAACAGGGCCGATATCCTCGGTTTTAACCCAGAGCTTTGAACACCACCCAGAGCTGCAGAGATGAACACTCAAACAGCACAGGTCACAAGTAGCGTGTGTTGAAGCAATACCATCATCCTCCTTAACTTCACACTTTTCTGGGCCTCGTGTCTAGGAATTGGTGACTGGAAAGAGATGGATGATAGTATCGTTGATCGCATCTACTGGTCTCTTGTGCTGCTGGATGTTCACGCTCACATCCCTGGGCAGTACTAAAGGCAGAGGGGTTAAAGATCCGCAGATATCAGCTGTCTAGACGTATTCCATGCATTGAATTCAGCCAGAGTCCCCTTGGCCAATTTGAGATACAGTCTAAGATACATACATGAGATCAAGGCCTCGCCCACTGTGGTTTGTGGCAAAATTAACCTCTTCATTATATGCACCCTCCGTCGATAGCGGCCGAAAATATTGCCACCTGGCTCTGTCTTTGAATCTATGAGTTTCTTCTGCTCGTTTGTCTCAGTGGCTAATGTATGATACCTATCAATTATAGATTGCAAAAGGCGATTCGTCTTTCGACCAAGGAATCAATTCCTTTCCACCACATTCTGTGCCAAATCTTTGTTGTAAGTCCTGCGGTTCAACCGTTGGCGAAATGCAAAACTCGCTTCAGGGGATTGAACTATTCAAAGCCAGCGTTTCCATATCACACCAAGAAAATTGCGCTTCAGGCACTTGTATCGACAAGAACTTACTGGAAAATTATCCGCCTGAGTTAATTGTCGGATTTCAGCTGCTTGAATCCGTCGAGCGTTCAGGAACAAGGAGGTTTGCAATACACTGTGGTTCCGCGGATAACCAGCAACATAATGGTCTATTGGTATGATTACCCCGTCCGTAAAACAAGGGGAGATAGTTATATTTAACCACTTTCTTAAGGCATGGGTCTTCAACACGGATTTGCGATACTCCTTCAAGGATACCTCCAGCGCCAGCCGCTCTATATCTGCCAAGTGTGCAATGAAAGTGTTCTACAAGCATGTGGCCAATGTGCAACCCCTGGTAAACCCAGATCTGGGAATGCCATCTGTCACATCCTTGGAAGAACTGCGTCTTCCGCTTCACATATATCACTGCATAAAAACTGTGCTGGAAAAGAGCACTAGTCTATTGCCTCCATCAGGCAGGAAGTTTGGGGAATGGGAGATCGGACTTCTTGACCTTGAATCAGCCTGATATGACTCGTATATGATACAGTTATCAAGCGCCGATATCTCTCCCGCAATAATGCGGTTTGAATCGATTCAGGACTCTCAGGTTCAGGTACCTGAGTCTACCAGTCAGCCAGCCTGGTCTCTCTGCCGTCATTTATGCTTTCCCTACCCAGCTGCATGAAGATCCATGACTTGCCAGGTTCTGTGCCCCAGCACCGACCAATTCTCAACCTTCTGGCATAACTCTATCCTGCAGCTTTCCAACCCCGGTGGCTTGCTGTGTCCCGGCGCTGAGGTTCGAGCTCTAACTCGACTGGCCAACCGCGTGGTAGGATTTTTTTTTCAAGCACATAACCTATCAGCTGAAGGGCTAGGCTGCAGCCTTGGGTATACGAGACTGAACAGCTGAGGGAACTCCAGCCAGCCGAGTAAGGGCTATCATAAATTGTTCTGCAGCCACCTCCGCCACCTCCTTCCCTCCAGCAGCATCCTTCAGCTTGCATATTCCGATAGCTGAGATGTTCTGGGATAGATATCCGAAGAATCCGAAATGCTGTATCAAAAGCCCCCTGCCAAAAGACTGTAATAAGAAAATCTCAAGACAAAGTTATGCTGTTTATAGCTCTTGAAGGTGTAAGGGGGAAGCACAGAGCCGAATGAACTCCGAATGTAAAAGCCATATTCTGTCGAGAAGTATAACAGACACTCCCAACCGGGTCAACCTTCCATAGAATATACGAAAAGCATTATGGCAATGTTACTGTCCTAATAGTTAGTTTCTCCCGGCTGTCATCTTGTCCTCAACGCGTCAAGCGACACAAAGCATGCTCGCGAAGTCTATTTTTATCCATCGTCTGTACACCGCGCTTCGTCTCGTCGCTTATTCGTTTATTCCGACCCCAGCATATGCAAGGAAGACCCCAGCAAAACAACTGCAGCGGCTTTTCGACCGACCAGGCCAGACATCGGCCTTTCTATCCCTCTGCGCAGGCTAGTGCATGGTGTCAGCTTGTTTATCGCTGAAGGATGGCTCACTCTCGCTTATCTGGACGTTAACTAGCTACCTAGTTATTCCCCCGTTAGCTGTCACATCAACAGCACATACTCTTACCCTCCTCCAACACCCCAAGTCAGCTGGTGGATGACAGCCTTGGTGTATCCATGAGCTTAACTATCCCTGACCGGGCGTCGATACCCTTTGAGGCTGGAAGATGCTGTCCCCTGGTTGGTTGTCATAGGTTGCCGGGCAGTGGACATTTACTATTTGCAGGTTCCAAAGCTGGTGGAGGAGGGTTGACATGGCTAAGAAGCTACCGTTGACAACGTCTGCATACCGAATTTACAAAGTAGATGACGGAGATGGCTGAGAATTCCCTCCTTCCAATTCCATTGAATGCATCCTGGCGTCCTTGAGGAACCAATGTTGAGTGGTACGCTAGAGAACTATTCACATCAACTCCAGCCGAAGTTCTCTAACCGAATCACAAAAATCACGGGCAAAAGCTATCAAAGAAGTGAAAAAAAAAAAAAAAGGTTCCATTCAGGACTCCAAGAATATCTCGAAAAAACCCCACAGTAAAAACAGGTGAAATTGAACATTGCCAACGCCGGTACCGCCATCTTCCCTGTCAACAGGGAGCGTTGAAGCAACCTCAAGAATCATATTAATCATACATTGATGCAGGTGATGGGTAGGTAGGAATGCCATCCTCTACCCGTGAAATGCAGCACTATCTCCGCCAGGAAAGGGAAGAAAAATATAAAGTAATAAAAAAAAAAAAAAAAAAAAAAAAAAAAAAAAAAAACATCCTTTGGGAGCCATGTGTTCACGCAACCTTCCGCCATCACCCAAAAGCATCAGGATCCAGCAGACTGATCGATGTGTCCAAAACGAAAAGATTTGTCTTTCTCCCCTTTTTGCGCAATTCTCCACACCAAGCTCGAATCGATTGAACGCCGTTGGATTTGTATCGACCAGTCGATTCTGGCAACCTCGACGACCAGGTTGAACGGCATCTATGAGCTCGAACTCATTTCTATTCCCGCCGTGAGCTCCATTGCCCATTCTATGCTTCAATTCTGAGGTCAGGGAGCAGCGTCTCTTATTGCCCACTGAACACAAGCGTACCTCAATCTATCAACACGATGTGCCACACACATGGCAGTTTTTGCCAGGGATTACCCATGTGTCTTCTCCGTTCGACTTGCAGCTTGGACAGAGTACTCCTGGCATCTAGATGGGACACCCGTCAGTATGCGTTTTCACTTCGAGGTTCGGTATAAAAAAAACTTACTGGAGACATGTGGTTTCGAATTCGGGATTGTGATTGAATGTGACTCTGCTTAGCGGCGTTCCCAACTGGCCTGAGACGAGCGACTGCAACCATTGTGAATAAAGGGCTCCGCTCTTCCTCTCTGCAATATAAACAACAATGTTCCTCCAAAACCCGTGGGTTCACACAGCTCGGATACCTGTGCTCGTCACTTTCTCGTTCTCCGTCTTTCTCCCTTGGGTATGTGTTATGTGTGGAATGAATGTCGATGGGCAGATGTCTTTATTTATATACCGAAGTCGTCCTCTTTAAGATTCAGGAGGGGAAAAGGAGAAGGTCGGCGCAATGTGACGAGGAAAGCTTTCAATTAGCGCTATGGCAGCCGTGAGGAAGAAATATTTTTGGATGGACTGCTGTTCTTTTTCTTGTGTTGTTTGACGGGGGAGGCTGCGTTTAGAATCTCTCTCTTTTTTTTCTAAGGAGATATATATTGGTCGACTGGAAATTTTTGCCTTCATCAAGGAAACAACGGTGCCTGTAGAGAGCGGAGGCAGGCGAGCTTTATATCTGTGATACCCACCAATTTCCCCAAGTTCGCGGTATGTACTATTTATCCTCTGCAAGGCTCCACGATCGGCGCTACCAACAAGGGGACCAAATGGGTACTGATACATTTGCCGACATGCACAAGGTTAAATTTGCGATGTGATGTCAGAAAGCTGGTTTAGCTCGGGCGAGGGTCCCCAACATTGCAGCTATCCAATCTATTGGATATCCCTATCTCCCAGACAGGCGGAGCGAATCGCGATTCTTCACCCTTTTTTTCTTCTTCTTTAAAAACATTATTCAAGCTAAGTATGTCCAGCACTGCCGTTGTTCCTTTTCCCTTTTTTGCATCAACCCAGAAAAAAAAAATGAAAATGAAAAATATAACTATTTCACACTCTCGCTGGGGTTGTTTCCCACCCCCCTTGATCTTCGGCTGCGCTTCTTCTTCGGAGATGGGAGATACATCAGGAATACAGGAATACCTTCATACAGATGAGTTGTCATAAACTCCCCCCTCAATCCTCCCCCAAATCTAATTTCAGGCCGCCACGAAACCCACTAGAGGGAGACAGATATCCTCCCTAGCGTCGACGCCCTGTGGATTCAGATGGCTGATGGTGAAAAAATAATTAGAATTCTCCAAAAAAACAACAAATGCTCCAAACTATCAAGTCTGTCAGCAGAATTTCAGGGCCAAAAGAGCCAATCCCGGCCCTGTGGGGCTTTCATCCTGGATATGCTTCTCTCCCCTGTACGGAGTATGCTGTACTATTACCGCCCGTTCGCCTCTTGGTCTCGTTCAATCTGTCCTTTTTCGCTCTCTTGCTCGCTGGCTAGCAAAAGCCAAGATCTAACTCCAAGTGCGAGTTCGAGTCGCGCCCCTCATGCGGTCCACCGCTGTCCGCGCGGTGAATTTGGCGGGCTTCCCCCACGAGAGTACCAAACCGTTCAAAAGCAGGATGACGACACTCTATGGTTGTTTCAGTCGCCTGAGCTGTCTATCGACACTCATCTGGACCTGTCGACCGTTGATGACCATATCCAAAGCGAGTTCGAGCATACGAGGTGCTGTCAGGTAAAATGGCTTCGAATCCACGAATGAAACCAAGCTAATATGACACTATCCATGATTCTCTCCTTCGTCACATTTTTCCTTACCCTGGGCCTTTCTCCTATGTTCCAGATTTTTTTCTGGAGTCAAGGATGCGTACGGGAAGTATCCAACCAGCTCGGCTCCTTTGTTTGCTGCTAAGCTTGCACATTAAGCCCAAATGACATTAATTATGACACACGGAAACTCTGGGTTTCTCTATGTTGAATAACGCTCACGCAGGCCCTCTGCACCTTGATCGGTCAATAATGATGGCCCACAGCTAGTACGACCTCACATGGGGCAATCCACCAGTTACAATCGCTAGCGGCTAACGGCCGACCGCATAATGACGAGGGTGGCACGAGCGAAATGTGACAGCTCGAGTCAGGGATTGCCAAAACCCTGCATCATAGCCTACGTCTTAAGCATTCCCAGGAAAAAAGAAGGAAAAAAAAAGAGTGAGTGAGAGTGAGAGACAGAGTGAGAGATGCAACCAATTTGATACGGCATTCTTCGGACCCCAGCAACAGTAGTATATATTACCCAAATAAGGCATCTGGATCAACCCCCTTCCTTTCAAGCGACAAGACCTCCCTATGGGGTTTACGCAAGTGTGACCGCTGGACACGGAGTACCATCCCGCAGTCAAGTCCGAGGGAAGGCCAGGGAGGAATCTCCCCACATAGCTGCGTCGCCACTCTTCGCAATAAGTATATCTCACATCGATATTTATGATGACTATTTACGGCGTAAGGGAGTACCGGAGCGCACACAGGACAAGGCCCGCCTTGCGGTAGGCGACGGTTATATACACATTTATGAGCAAGCCGAACTCTTTCGGTTTGAACGAAGCACCCTTCTTGGACTTCTCTCGATGGAGACTCCATGATGAACCACATTTTCTTGTTATTTGTTTTTCCTTGCTCTCCCTCTACAAAATTACAGTCTTTGATGATAACTCTTGTCGAGCGGCGCAGCATCACATCCAAAGAAAAACCTTACAGATACGGCCAAGAAAGGTCCCCAAGGTCCCAGGGAGGATTTGACAAATAAAAGTTTTTTGTATTTTACCTCTGCGGCCCTTTGCCTTCCCCGAGTACCGTCGCTTTGGGGAGCGGATCTCTGCTCAAAAAAGGTTCCTTTGCATTAGCCAGACCGACATGTTATCCGTACCATGTACCTTTTCCAGTACATGCGCCCCTATCATTTATCCATGACAAAGGGCCAAGAGATCGATGGATTTAAGCTATTCTAGCCTTCTTTTTTCGTCTTCTTTTATACAGGAAAAGGGGGGAAATCAAATGCGACGTTTCGTCGACAAACTAGGTACCATCTTTCCGTCAACTATCGACATGGAAGCTGATACTCCATACGGTTCATGCAATGAATCGACATGGTGCACACTTGGCGGCAAATGGTGGCTTGAAACAATATGGGATGCATGTCCTTTTCCATGCCTCCGTATAAATGGAGCCCGACCTGGCCGTACACCCCGGCCATACCATGTCTGCCTGGATAGCTGAAAGCTTGGGAGAAGCCAAAACTCGTAATGTTCGGCGTGCTTCTGTCCGTTGACGGCCTGATCCTGGCTGCTGATTTTTTTTTTTGGACTTGTGAAGCACGCAAAACAGTGTAGGGATACGCCTGTCTGGGTGCCGAGCCTTCATGTTATACGATCTTACAGGGCAGGGTTGTATCCACCTTTGGATCAACCACTGCAACGGAACCTGAAATTAGAATTGACGCATTCCTATTTCAACATTTACTATACGGAGTACGGAACCTAGGTATGCACTACTGCTGGTCATATGCAATTAGACATATATTCTCATGTATATGTACGGCACTCTCGGAAACAGCAAGTGCCTGAACTATCCAGCAGCTATAATGGATATACTGAATATATTGGCTCCATTTAATATAGTTACCACGAAAATGCGGTATGTCGCCGTCAAAAAAACGCTGTGCAGCGAAATTTGTCAAAAGTCGCGACCTTCCTCCTTTCCTCTCTTTTTTTACTTCAAATTTTCGACAGACTAGAACTAAGGTCTAACGCACTATGTGAGCTAGCAGGCTTTTACTGACCAGTCGTTCAGATACTCCGTAGGAAAAAGTCCGTAGTCGAAATATGAGCTGAATCGAGTAAAGAGGAAATCCTTTACTCTTCGCGCTTCGATATCCGAACCAAAAGTATTCCATCGGTTGGTTTCCCATTGGTATCGAATAACCGAATGAACCGGAAACCTTGACGTAGGCGATCTAGCCTTATACAAGCCCATGCAAGCAAATCGTCAATACCGATTTTATCGTCTTTAATCTTGAACCTGCCAAGGAATATCGGTCAGCGGGGTTGTCCTTAGTCAGTGACGAGACCGTCTGATGAACGATTAAGGAGTGGATTGAAGCAGAAAGGAAAGGAAGAACAATGAGTAGAGTGGGGGTTGCCGGTGGTGGCTTTGTGGAGGGAACGGGGACAGCAGATTCAACGCGTTTGATAGCCGTCTGGTTCGTTTACTCCCAGCCCAAAGAGGAAAGTAAGTGAGAAAGAATGGAGGGATAGAATCGTTTTGCTTCTGTCGCAGGCACATCACTGCGGCTTTTTTCCTTTTCCCCTTTTCTTTTTTCATGTCTTTTGGGTACGGCTCAGAGTGTCGGGTGAATTACTCCGTCCCCTCACCAGCTTGGGACAGTAAACTCTTGCCCGCACGCCGTACTCTAGACATCCCTACGAGGGCGTATGTATGTGGGAGTCACCAGGTGATTCCGCCATGAAAAAGGAATCACATTGGCATGTGGAGACGTCGACATATATCAGCACTCATCCACATCTCCTCGCGATGCGGCGCTGTTTGTGATATGCAGGTCGGATGGAAAAAGGGGTGATTGGCTGGGCTTTCACTAACCTGACAAAAGAGAGCTCTTCAAGAATCCCAGGAGCGCTTGGGAATTGGAGGATTTGGCCTCCAAAGTCCGGATCGGCGCCACTGCAAGTTTTAGTTCGACATTTGTAATTGGGGTCACTGCTGTCATAATCCTTGCTGGTAGCATGGATGCTGTCCTTGGGTCGTTCAACATGCAAATGACAGGCTACATATGGATGGAAACTTTTGTGATTTGACTTCCCATCCCCCGCCATTATGTTCTGTCCTGCATAGATTTCAATAGACAAATTCACTTTGCGTCGAACACTCGTACTTGCCTGCACACCATTAGGACCCCCGTCGTTGACAGCGGCCGCCATCTGCTCCTGCGGCGATGAGCTTGTCGAACTGCTGCGAGCAGCCGATCCACGATACTCCGAGGGTTTCAGCACCCATCCCCCACTTCCTGCGAACATCCCTTTGTTCAGCATCATTCCTTTGTCGTAGCGTTGCCAGTTGAGAGCAGCAACTTGAATGCCTTGACGCCAGGCAAAAGATGGGTCTAAATTCGAGGAATCTACTCGCATTCCTGAGGGATAAGTTCGCATCATAAATTCTTTGTTGTGATCGAATAATGCTTGACGTTCCTTTTCATGTGCAGCTTTCACTGCAGCTTCTGAGAGCGAGAATATATGATGTGGTATCTTCGCCTCTGTGAGAACGTACAAGTTAATATTTGGTATCCGTAGATTATACTCCGTAGGGAATGTATCACTTTCTTGCTCAGAACAAGAGTATTTTTTTTTTTTCTTTTGGACACAGCAACCAACGAGTTCAATCTCTTTCACGTCCTCAAGTTACAGGCCAACACAAGCCAATGGCTCTCTCTTTTGTTTTTTCGGGGGTCATTTTAAAATGGTCTAGCAAAATGGCCAATGCACCAGGTACGGAGAACGGCAACGGGAGGTGGGCTAAAATTAAACTTGAGTGAAGCTTACCAGGTTGAGAAAAGTTATGAAAAGTATAACCGCGCGTGAATATTCCGAGTCGGCTAAGGGACTGAATGATCTTTTGAGGCTTTGTTTTCGTCGACGTCGATCCAGCTACGAACTTATTCTGAGCTCCGTCACCGTCTCCGCCCACAGTCTGAAGGTCGACGACCTCGATAGACCCTTCGGCGGGCGGGGTATCATCTTTATCAGGAGATACCCATTTCACCTTTATCAGGATTTTATTCCTCAGGGAGCCTGGGTTAGAAAGATGGTTTAAGTCTCCATTGGCAATCTGGGCATCCATTTCAGGTGTGAGCTCCACAAGAAGCCCTTCCCATGCTTCAGTTATGATATCAACCATAACCTCTTGCTGTTCATGAGAAGCATGCACCTCCAGACTGACGATCACTGGCAGGTCGCTCGTTACAAATGCATTATCACGGATTGTGTAACATACATCACGGAATGTTACTTCTTTAGTTAGTGTATGACCATGAAATACTCGGGGTTCACAGCGTGTTGCATCTGTTGCTGGGGCCTTAGCAGGCACAGCATCAGGTGTGCTTCTGGTGCTGAGTTTATCAAAGCGATCTGAAAGAGATGACAAGCTGAACAGGCCAGCGCTCTCTTTTTGAGCCTTTTCGTGTCTCTTCTTGTGCATCTTTTTGTGACCATCTTCTGGATTGTCTTCTGACTCGGAGCTCGATGAGTCTGGTACACCGTCCCAGACATCAATCTCAAGACATCTACAGCCGCCGAGTAGAACCTAATAAGCTAGTTAGCATCGTAAATGCAATATTTGGGGTCTTATTTTGCAGAGCAAAACAGCCTAAATAGGTAAATCCGAATCAAGGGCAGAAGTGGACATGAGCTTCCGGGTCAACCTATTGGCCGGGCTTTAAAATTGAACGTAGAAGGGAAAGAAAGTGAAGGAGAGGGACAAGTGCAAAAGCGGGGGTAAAACTAGCCAATATTCGTGCTGAAAAAAAGAGGGAGGGAGAGAAAGAAAAAGAAAAGCTGCATTGATCAGCGAATTTTGATCTTCAACCCATTGCAGTCACTAGTGTGTGTGTGGAAGTCCGAAGCATACAACTGCGAACTTTAGCCTCTTTTTTCATGGCTCAAGATCGTATTATGCGAGAAATACACTTCCTGCTGGCTGGCTTCTGATGACGGGCAGAACATTCCATGCTGAAGATTTCCGTCTGCGCACACACACACACACACACACCTCACCCCAGACGGGTATCTAAATGGGGAGGCAGATCGGCAGCATGGACCATGTTGAAGCGTTATAAATGCCCAAGAAGAAAAAACATAAAATAAAGAAATGGTGGTTAGGAGAGGAACAGGAGAAGAAGGGGAGAAGAGGAAAGGCGAAAAGGAATCATTAAAACAAATCCAGCCACATACGTTTTTATATACTTCTGTACTGGAATCGCTGTATAGCTGGTTGCCAGTCAAGTAGGTGTTATGGCTTGAATTAATGAAATAATTGGGCATGGGAAACGATAGATCCTCTTCGTACGCCTGTGTGTCCGAAAACTGCGGCATTGCTAAGGCAGTTGACATGTATTCCAGGAAGCTTGAGAAGCTGTCGAGAACGCCATGCTGCTGGCCACTGCGAGGCTGGTCAGCTTTGAAATGCTGGTCCTTTTGGATATCCTGCAAGAAATGAGCAGAGGCAGAGAGGGTTGCACCGTCCGGTCCTGTAGGCGTCTGTCCCTGTGGCTGCAGCGACTCGTAGATGCGCTTCAGATGGGCCAGGACGGCAGGATTAAAAGAGTCGACTTTGTACGTTGACGGCGCTGCTGGAGCAGATGTCGTTGGAGATGCCATTTTGGGAACACGCAGGCTGTTTGTAAAAGGCCCTCGCGGCAAAGCTGAGCAGCGGTCCTCTATGCCATGCTAAAAGCGCTTCTAAGGGGCTTCTTCTGCTTCTAGACAGCGCGTAGTTGGATATCGAGCTCCAAGTTCGACGTCTGGTCCTGTTTGTTTATATGGTGGTGAGAAGGGATGAAGTTGAAGTTGGCGTTGACGCTGACGCTGACGATGTTCCGGCCTTAAAGTGGGAACCCGCGGGTTTCATTGGCTTCTTCCGTCGTCACCACCAACAAACAACACCACCACCACCACTCACCATCTAACTACAGGTACTGCTGCTGTCACTGCTACAGTGTACTCCGTACCATTAACTACAACGGACAGGGAGTAGGTGAGTAATGGTTTGTCCAGCACGGGCCCAGTTGCTAACACCTGCTGCCAGGACCCTCTATCCCCGCCTGGCTTTCGGGAGGTGGGCAGGCCACCTTGGAATGCTCCCGAATGTCCCGGAGGAGGGCCCCCCCCGTATTGAGAGCCTTCAGCTTCGGAGCTGGCCTGCCTGGGGCTAAGTGGTGGCCTCTACTTCCGTGCTGATTGACTGGTTGCTTGAATTTGGTGTCCGAGGAGAACTGGGCATGGGAATTTAGCCAAGCTCAGCCCGTTCAGCTCTTAACTATATGTTTGGCTTGGGCGGTGCGATTTTCCCCGTGCTGGCTGCAACCTCTAGGGTTTCCTGCGGCAAGGCGACGAGATAGAATGAGAGCGAGCCGTCTGTTTGTCTTTTCGAACCAAAGAGCCGTGGATCAATATTTGCCATCACTGGAGTGAAAGTAACGGGAGGTGAACCATGAACCCTGGGCATGTTTTCGCTTAGGCATAAACATGTTGGGCCGCCTTGATGAAACCGGCTTACCTTGCTTATTACATGTACGGAATCCAACCGGCATATCTCTTAAGTCCATGTGAACGAGCAGGACACAGCTGAGAATATCAGTCGCATCCTGTACCGCGTCTGAAGATCGAAATAACCTCAGCCTGGAGTGAGTGTGTCAATGCTAATGCAGCAGACAAGCGGTATTTGGGACCGGCAATACTGCAAGCAGGTGTTTGAGAGAGGGTTGCCTTCGAGGCGTGTCTGGCTTACCTCTGCCATTTTCCAGTTACAAAGGAAGTATACATACGAAGTGTCCAAGCCCGAGTTCTTTAGAGGCAATTTTCACCGGGATTTGATTTACCCTCCCGCTCATGCATAGCCCTTTTTTTGGGGGGGTTTCATTGGCGTACTTCCCCGCTGCGGACCATGCTGATGAGGTTGTCTTCAAATGCTCCTGCAATTCTTGCATCATGCAATTACATATCAACCGAAAGGATACACGCAGCAACATCAGTGTTCCCCTCTGATACGCTCACTTCCGCGTCCTATTTCTGTCATTTTAGCCGAAGATGCGTTTTGCAACCCTGGTTTGTTATTCGCCCAATCGCTCTCATGCGTGGAATAGGAGGTCACACCAGGCCTCTACATGGCTGATCTCGAGCCCCCGCACTAACTACCTCGCGGGGTTGGTTCGGGCCGCAGCAGTTAGATCTGTGGATGAGGATCCTTCTAAATTGACCCTGTATGGAGCGACCAACCGCAGGAATTGGCGCAGGGTCAGAGCTGAGAATGTAAACAAAAAAGGGGATCAACGGGTATCCTGCTGTCCCGCCCACCCAACATTTCCAGCTCTCCTCTTTTTTCTTTCTTTCTTTTCTTTTTTTTATAGAAATAATTGTTTCCTTGCTGCTAAGCAAAAGACCCGCTTAGCGCCTCCTTTTTCTTCTCTTTGAAAACTGGAGGCAGTTGAGCTAGCTATCGTTTATGATACCTCGGAAAGAGTTCCTCTGTCCAGTTGCACGGAGCACCAAAAAGAAGTCAATTATCACAACGCTAAACATTCATTTCAATCAAGGCTGATTACTCACAACGGCCTCTTGCCGTTCACTCCAACGTGGTTCGGCCTAATTTCGGTTCTGCATTATTGCGATCAGACAATCGCAGTTTAGCCCAAAGCCTTACTTGCGCCATTTGCAGGACTTTTTCCACCCCTTGCCATCGTGCGGAACAAAACCGCTCCTTTGGGTAATCCGGCGTAGCTTGAGCTGCGCGGAAGGGCAGAAGATCAAAAGTGTATCTGACCTTTCGTCCAGGTGTTAAAACGCCCTCCCATACTTCATGATGAGCTAGGAGCCGCTATTGCGTCGACAACGGGTCAAGTGATACTTGATAACTAGACCTTAAACCTCGACTTGTAACTGTGTTGAGCAATTTCTCAAAACGTCACTGTTGCTGAGATGGCCGCCCAGCCAACCCCAGAAACAAAAGAAAGACGGATCAAAATCTCAAAAGAGTTCTATAGGGCAGGAAAAAGTGAGATTTCAATATAATTGTGCAGTAGCTTATCCATCTACGGGGCCCGCACATGCTTTATAAACGATTCTGGCGTATCATGTTACAGGGATATACACACCGAAAAAATAAAATCTCAAGAACGCCGGAGAAAGAAAATATTTAGTCACAAGAAGATTGGTGAACAAAGAGACCAGAGGTTGCGCAACGGAGATATCAAAATACCTCATTCTGAGGAAATGCATCTGGCAACTTTAACTATTGATGCAATAGTCGACGTATCACACGTTTAATTATTGTTGGCTTAGGGTCACGAAGTCTCACCCATTCGCCATTAAAGGCATTAACCAGCCAGTCAGAAAGACCTAACGGGTAGAAAATTAGAGCTATGGCCTAGGAAGCTAAGGTTAAAAATACTTACGTTGATGAACCATTTTATAGGCATGGTGGAAGTAGATTCCATGATTTGAATCTGGGAATACGTGCATATCATAGTTGTGTACGCCCAGGATGTCCAGTTTGTCCAGTAGCGTGAGAGTGTTCTGGAAATGGACATTGTCATCTGCTGAACCGTGCATTATCAAGAATCGAGTATTCTGTGATAAATTTGTGGCATTTGATATAGATGCGTTCTCATATCCACCTTCGTTGTTTTGTGGCATGTGCATGTAACGTTCGGTATATACCGAGTCTATCAGGAAAGTTGGTCAGATTTTTGGAACGTAACAGATTGGGAACAACACTGCGTCATAATTCGGTAGATAATCTTACCATAATAACGCCAATTAGTTACTGGCGCAACTGCCATCCCATACTGGAACGTTTCCCCAGCATCTTGCTCCAAAGTTTTCAATGTCATAAATCCGCCGTAACTCCATCCCCAAATGGCCATACGGGTCCTATCAACGTACGGCTTTTTACCCCAGGCCTTTGCTGCTTGAATTTGGTCATGGGCTTCATAATGCCCAAGATTGCGTCGTACAATACATTTGAACTTGCGCCCATTGAACCCAGTACCTCGACCATCGACAGTGACGACGATATAGCCCAAGTTAGAAGCAACATAGGTCTGAAAATTGACGAGGAACTTTTTGCTAACTGTTTGAGACCCAGGGCCGCCGTAAAGTTGGAATAGAACGGGGTATTTCTTTGTTCCATCGAAGTTTGGTGGTCGGCGTTCAACCACAGGCAGTTCAAAACCATCAACAGTGATTGTTGAATAGTGTAGTGACGGGAGGCCGAACTCATTAGATAACTTGGCCAGCTTCTTGTTTTCCTCGAGGATTTCAACGAAGTTGTCCGCATTGCTTGGGGAACTGATGAGCTTCTGCCACGGGATTTGGGGCCCCTGGTATTTCAAAAGCATATATCCAGCTCCTTGTGAGAATGAGACATCATAGTATGCCGATTTGTCGGAGTCTTTTAGCATCCGAAGCTCTGAGCCATCAAGTTTGACACTGTATACATGTCTATCAATGGGGCTTTCCTTTGTAGCAACAAAGTAGACAACGTTGTTCTTCAGGTCAACGCCAGAAGGAGCGTCAACGACCTCCCATTTTCCAGTCGTAAGCATCTTTGGCTTGGGATTCTCCAATGGGGTGAAATATGCAAGGTGGATATATCCTTCATGTATAACGGTGTCAATATACCCATCATCCGGTCGGCCAGAAGAAAGATCGGCTGGTATGTATGTTGTGGTGTGTGAAGGCTCAACCCATCCACCATCAATTTCGTCGATATTGTCGGATCGAACGATTTTACCCTCTCGCTTATTGGCATCAATGACAGCCACTTTAACGATATAACTTTCACGATTCGTTTCCCGAACCAAAACCTTCCCTTTGGAACCTGGGATGACTTCCACAATGAGTCTATCATCATCCTTCAAGGCATCCTTGACATCAACCGAGAAGCTCTCTTCACGCTCGACATCGTAGAATTGGAGACTGACGGTGGGATTAGGGGTACCTGCTTTAGGGTATTTAATTCGTTGGACATATGGGTACGATTCCTCGCCAGGTTCGGGGTAATAACCGGGAGGACTCGAGAGATAGAAGTCTATGGGAAATTCAGGTACTAGGGTCTCGTTCGTACGGAGATATGATATATACTTTCCATCAAGGGACCACCAAGTGGCGCTGTTTCCTTCAAACACTTCCTCTTCGTATACCCAATCAGGGATACCGTAAAACAGGTTCGTTCCACCATCCGTTGTTATAGCCTTGACAGTCTTTGAAGTGAGATTTCTGATGTATAGGTTATTGTCCCTTGTAAATGCCACGGCATCAGAAGTGGGAGACCAGGTCGCAAGCTGTATTCTCCCATTGGGAGCATCAGGGTCAAGAGGTTGGGCTGTCTGGGTCTCGACATCGAACAACCAGTATAGCCCGGTAAAAGAATGTCTCCAATTCTTCTTTTCTCGCGTCATGGCAAGTACTGTCTTCAGATCTGGCGATGGCCAAACCTTTTCAGGGCTAATACGTTCGTCATTGACGAAGAATACCGACTCCTTCATCAAAACCATTGAATTATAGTTTGATTGCGTGCCATGGATATTTCGGACATCTTCGACATGTAGATATGGGCCTGTGCCCCCCTCACTCTTCTGTAATAGTAAGCCGTCTTCTCCCTTCGGTCCGGCAATCCAAGATATGGTGTGTTCAGCAGGCGACCACACACCCCCTATAGCATCATCTAGGGGAATCTTTTTGCCGGCAGTAGGAGTCCCAGGCTTTGTAACATCACCTTCTGGGCTAGTACTCGTCTTTTTTCCTGGAGATGTAACGAAGAACAGAAAAGCAACAGCCCAGCCTCCAACACAAAGAGCAACCAGCAACCAGAATACAATTAGTGTTCTTCTCTGACTACTCTTCCCGTTTGATGGGATATAGTTGTCTTCTTCCCAGTCTTCTTCGACATCGTCACGGTATTTCTCTGCGTAGTTGTCTTGGGTACGGGCGTTGTGATTACGAGCTGGTTTGGAGGGTTCCGTAGTCGCGTGGCTTGCTCCTTCGACGAGAGTAAGGGATATAGAGGCCGTTGAGGACGAATCGATCGAGTCTCGAGCACGGGATTCAGGAGCGGTAAGGGGCATAGCCTCCTCGTCGTTGATGCGGCTGCCGACTCCCATCATGTCTAGCTTCTCTCTGACAGCGTCACGCGGACACTAATTAGCTGAGTGAAAATCAGCACAAAGCGACCATTAAAGGCTACCCAGAGGCCGGGATCATATCTCCAGGTCTTCCCCTTCACTCCAACCGCGATGATGGGTATTATCAGCAGCGGTTTGCTTGGAGTTCAGATTTCGAGGTTGTTGCGATTTGTCGTACAATAATAAGCTCTCCTGGTCGAGCTTAGCTTAGGTCAGCCGAGAAAGCTTGGCAGGGTCTCAATAAGATAGAGTTTAATACTTCCCCGGATTTTCTCTTCTTTGTCAATAACATGAATAACACTAGATGATTCTAGAGTTATGGATCGATACGGGGTCTACCGCTTGAGACTGAATTATGAAATAGGTTGCATTGCTATATTTTAAGGAAAAGCGCC